TTGGGATTTTTTTCATGAATTCAAATGTAACTTGTAACGTTTTATGAATAAAAATGAAAATGAACCACCTCATTGTTTTGATGCACAATAATTTAAATTTTAGCGCCACATATCAAAACTGACAAATGTGACATTTAAATAGTCACAAAAACAGCAATAGACGTTCTGTAATGCTGGCTTTGCATTCTATGCGCCTTTAATTGAAACAGTAACTTTAAAATCAAGTCCTGTCTTGAAATGAAAACACATTTTTACCAGCACATGCGCTGAAGATTGATTGCGAGGTTAATTACATAGGACTATATATATTCTGGAGTAGTAAACAAACAAGACAAGAATGTATGTCATTAAAAATGCTGAGAGATTTTCTTTAAGACAAGTGGAAGTATAAGAGACATCACATTTTGGGAGAAAGTGGGCATGATGTGGTGTTTGTCACCTATATTTAAACATTAAAACTCTAAATAGAACACAAGACACTTTCTGTTTGATAATCCATCAGGCCTGAGTACAATTTTAAAGAGGAGACATATATTACAACATGTTTTACAGTAATCTGACCATATGCGATTTGACTTATCCAGTGGGTGGGACAGGCATGTGAGTGAGGTAAACCAGAAACTGTGACCGTACAAAGTCCTGCCATGAAGGGAGAAAGAGGGAAATGAATGACAGTGAACTTTATGTATTTGTTCTGCATTACTGACATGAAACGAAGCAGGTCTAAACTGGGACTAAAAGAAGCTCTGTTATCCACTACAATTGTGCAAGTGATGCACTTGCTGAAGAAACGTTTTGGGAAGTCTTTACTTGCCAAGTTTAAATCTTTGATCCTTTGCACCATTCCACTTTTGCCCTATACTGTTTTTTGTCTGCAAATATGAGTGTGTCCATACCTGGTTGTGAATGAGTTATTATCAGGCTCAAACTCCTTCCTGGTCAATAAGTCTGATCCTGATGGTTGAGCAAAAAAAAAAAAAAAAACAATCCAAAGATGTATATAGTATTAATACTACTGCAAATACATTTAGAAATAGATATATATTTTAGACTTCATCTGAGGCTTAAATCCATCATTGGCCTAAGTGGTAGCAAAGTGGGTTAAAGTTAAAATAGTCAAAATGGCTTCTTTGCTTTAATGATACTTTGCCTTTACATAGCAGGGACTTCAATTTGCCTTATAGGCCTCTTGTATGGAGAACATGATTAAGATATATCTTAATTCTCAGCAGTCAGGTGCAAGATGTCCAACAAGGTCTTAATCTTAAATATTATTTTAAATCTCAAAGATATTATCTTAATTGACTTAAATTATTAATTTGCGCAATCTAAGAAAGACAAGAAGGTAGAACAAGCTAGAAATATTAACAATATGAGACTCAATATTGTAAAATAAAACGTAGGTATTGCACTATATTGATAGTAAATATGCTACGTTTTTCAATTGATACTCGTCCTGGAAGTTAAGAGGTAAACAACCCTCATCGTGAACCTTTAGACAAAGTCGAGGTAAACACGTCGGTGGTCGATCCTTCTGTTTTATCAACAAAATAAAGAACACGACTTCATCAGAAACGATGTGTCTTCTCTCTTATTCATATTTCTTATTCGTCTTTGTGCGGCTGTACTGAAACAATCTTCGTGTTAGGAAGAAGAGGGTAGGTGAGAAGTGAAAACTTTTTGGTCGCTCGAGGTGTCTTAGACGCAGCTGAAAGCCACTTCCTGCCAAATAGTGAGCCCGTCTAATCGTGACTGCATCAGCTACTTCCTGCATTGTTACGGCTCTTAATGAGGATTAAGTTGAAGCTGTCATGTTGTAAGGGGCGGCCATTGAGCCTCTTCCACGAGGAAAGGGAGAGACAGGTTCCATGGACACTGACTTATCTGTTTGTAGATATGATGCTTTCACCTACAACATCACAAAGTTCAGCCCCTACTGAACAAAATTCATTTAAATTAAAGATCACTGCCATGTCGACCTGATATGTATTATAGGCCAAGCATATACAGGAGGTGATTATAGTCAGGTGGTCCTGTCATTTGTTCCACCACTGTGAAAATGTAAAGAACGCACATCAAACCTTCCTTTTTCTCTGCAAGTGTGAGGCTATTCTCTACGAAGCCAATTTGGTCTTGGTGGGGGGGCGAATTATTGGACAAGTTATTGGATATTAATTTGGCTTTCAGGTCATCAAAATATGTAGCCTATGCCTATGTTTTAATCATCACTGGATGCAGTCAAGTAATAGAAAAACAGGTGCTTATTAGACACAGTGGGGAGTTTGGGTGGTTTTACCGACCACTTTGGTACAAAATGATTCATCTCCTACATTTTTTGATAGAATTCTGTGCAGTCATGTTACCAAAAGGACATGTCTTCATGACTTGATCATTCTCTGGATCTTATCTTGTTCAAACACTGATCAGAGCTTTTGTATTTCTCAAATGGCTCGACATCTACTGGACAGAAAGCCATGTAACCTGGAAACTTAATTTTCCATTTTCAGCATTATTAACAGTGTTCGCAGAATGAAACACCTGCTAGACCAATCAAAGCAACCAAACATGGGACATCATGGCGGTATAGCAGCAGTCACAATTAACAACCGACCTGTTTATTACTGATGTTTTAGTGGAAACAAAAAGTTCAACATGGTAGTCAACTTTAAAATAAAAAAATATTAGTTCACAGTCTAACTGAGCTTAAATAAAGTAACCCTAGTAATTGGACATTTGCAATTGATCTAACCTGAATCCGGCCAGATAGACCTCTATATCTACCTTGCAAATATGTATAAAAGCATAAGCTCACAACATTTTAAATGATTGAGAATAATACTGATAATAATAATATATTGTTTTTTATAGTGCTTTATAGGAACCCAAAGACGCTTTGACAAAATATAAAACCATAAAACTAAACAAAAAACGACGAGGACAGTACAATGAAGAAGTAATGTAGGGGGAGGGGGGAGTTAGTGGTTGTAGGCAATGTTGAAGAGGTGAGTTTTGAGGGATTTCAGAGAATAGCAAAGACATTTATGACTTGTTTGCTAATAATGGCTTCACTGTCTGCTTTTTATCTATAGCCTCACAAGCCGGTTAACTTTATCCAATAATGTTTAGAAACTTTGGCAAAAAACACTTTTCCCATGAGGATGAACCCTTATGACCCTGGTGACCTCTGACTTTTTCACTGTAGCACCACTTCTGATTTGACATGTTATTTTTCAAATGTCTAAAGTTTTAGCTGGAGAGTTTTAATATCGGGTTGCAAATGAATTGTCTTTTTGAACTAGTGATCCTCTGACTTTTTATTTTCTTATTTGACAACTTGTGTCCTTCATCAGGGTCATCATGCGGAATCAACTGCACGTAACCCTTCACTAAATTAAAAACTTTTCATCAAAAATGTTCATCTAGTTCAACAGATAGTAAATGCAGAATCTGTTTCTGAGGCACAAGAGTTTGGTACTGGAAACATTTTGGTTTCTGTTTGTTGTCCAATTAGTTTAGACCAGCCATGTATATGAAATGGCAGATTTTTCGTGCAGGAAAACAGTCCATGTGAAGAACAAAAGAGGCAGGACACATTGGCCCAAATGCTATTTTAAAAAACCCATTGCTATTGGATTCTATTATGTTATGAGAACACAACTTCAGTGTCCTCAGGTGTAGCCGGTCCTGATAGTTTGTTAATATGCAGTAGTTATTAGACCAAAGAAACAATGACTTTTCCCTGGATCCACATGAAGAGGGTCAACATTAACAGAAAGATTTATGATTATCCATTAAGTCCTAACACTTTTTTCTTCTCAAAGCATTGCCCGGGCTAGGTGATTATGAGAAGATGGCCTCTTGGTATGGTTTTGATTGCATTTATTTGAGACAACCTGAGACCTCAGGAGACAATGTGATGAGATGGTGGAAAGACCTGATGACACAGCATCATCCTGAGAGGGCCTTTTTGTCATTTAAAGAACAGCAGGATAATGCTGATGAAGCACACACTGATCACACCAATCCCCCTGTTAGGAAACAGAAGCCCCTAAACACCCACTTCAATCTTTATGACTATTTCAAACACACATGTGTGCATGTGTGTGTATATGTGCTGTGGGTGTTTGTGGACGACAGAGGATTAGTTAGTTCACAGGGAAGCTTTGAAGGTCTTGTCATGAAAGAGACAGCCAGCTGTATCCTTTATGGAAGCAATACTGCAACTTCTGATGTGTTAACCCTGCTGTGGCTGCTCCAGATTCTGAATAGGCTAAGAATCTAACTACAGCTGTTTAATCCCTGAAACGTTAATACTGTATGTTGAGTGTTCGCTTCAAGTTTTAAGGTGAATTTTGTAAACTAGGTGGATGCTGAAATGTGTTTTTTTTTTTTTTCTCTGTGAATTAAAAAAAAAGAAAAACAGTGTAGTAAGGATGAAATCATGATGCTGGAGTGTGTTTAAGGGGAATGCCTTAAATCATCACATGTCATTATTGCAATATGTGTTTCTGAGTGTGTGTGAAAGAGTGAGTGTGTGTTGGAGGGGATGTCTGGGCATTCTGGTACATAGACACACTCATGGGTACGTCTGAGGAGCCCATGGACCCTGGCATGGTCATCCTGGCTTGGCCCTTGGTGGTCAGTGGCTTACATGATGTGATCCGGTCGCCCTGGTATGCCGAGGTGCGCATGCCCACTAAGAGGACGCAGCGGCTCCATGTGTGTTGAGGCGCATTATTTGGCAACAGACGCGGCAGTGGGGAGGGCCGAAAAAAAAGAGGATATCCCTGGATTTCTAAAAAGCAACGATTTATCGAGGTAAACTGCAGATTTAACATTCCCTGGTCGACCATCGGCGAAGAAGAGGCGACAAAGCGACCGAGTAAGTTGAATAAGGTGAAGCCGAAGTTTTTTTAGTGAGTGGATCGAGGGGAGCCTTTTATTCGGAGTCGTCGAGAGAAGCCAGGTCTTCCTCCACCTATCTGTGACGATAAAGAAGCTGATGGGCTGTTGAAAAGTAACACTTCTCCGCAGAGCCAAAGGTTGAGTGCCGGGGAGGAGAGAAGGAGGGGAGGGGAGACACTTGCCCAGCCAAAAAATGTATTATTTTACGTTTGTGGCATGTGCCCAGTTTGTTAACTATGATCCCTGGACATGATGTTGTGCAGCTGAAGTCGTTCAATGAGGTTAGGATTATAACGTAACATCGCCAGCGGCTCTCCGGTGGCAGGCTCAGTCCGTGGGCCGGTCGATGACATTTTTGAGTTCCGACTCGGTTTCTCTCCTCGGGAGGGGACAGAAAGGTAAACAGTCCATGTGAGACTCATGCAGTCTCACTTTTATGCCAACAGGATTAAAGTTTTTTTAACCCATTTTTTTTTTTTTTTTTTTTTTTTAAACTGGTGATTGTCCCGCATAGGAGTGCAGGCAGGTCAGCGGTTCGGGCTCGGTTCTGGTTGGTGTGGGTCATGTTCACGAGCTGTCCGGCACCAGAACTTTTACCACTTTGACTTTTTCCTTCTCCCGACATGAAGGGCTTTCACAGCGAGGTGAAGAAGTGGCTTCGTGGGTGTTGTTTGTGCGATGTAGCTAATGTTAGCCAGCTAACTAATAACATGCTCACGCAGCTCACCTCCTCTGAGGCGGGTTCAATAATGAGGAAAAAAGCCGGCTAGTTGCACATGCAGTGTGGGCTGGGTTTAGTTTTTAAAGGGCTGAGCGTGGTTTGGATGGGGTACTTGGTGGTGTAACATTAATGGTGTGCGCTGCTGCCCGCTTTAAGCCCCTTGGCACCAGTGTCGGTTCTGCTATCTGGTAGCTAATCTTCCTACTTCTCTCTGTGACAACCGTAGTCTTCCTCCTCTTAAAGCTGAACACACACACACACAAACACACACTGACACACCGCACACACTGACACGCGCTCCCTCTCTCCCAGACAGGCACGCGCTCACACATTTCCAGCCACATGAGTTCGGGACAAAGATAGGGCTCAGGATGTCTTTCATTTAACCATTATTATTTTTATTTTTTTCACGTTCAGTACAGTCTGTTTTTTTTCTTTCAGACGCATTAATTATATTTGTTGATTTGATGAAAGGAGCGTTTGATTCTTGTTGTGTTTGGACGGGATCATATGCAGCTTGTAACACGGTGCTGTGAAGGTATGGGCTTATCTCAAAACCTTTATGAAAGGCTACAGTATAGGACTATCAATGAAATAGTGGTTTGGACTTACATTTTTACCATAATAATACTAGTATATTGAATACAGTATGTGATGTCATTGGAGTCTGTGAATTGCCTTTCACACTTCTTGTCTAGTTTACAACTTTGGATTTATAGGAAAATAAAAACAAACAAAAAAATCGAAGGTTTTAAATTGTTAATAGAATGAGTTAATATATTGCTGCCAATGATGCAGAATTTACAATTTCAGATACATGTTTTATTGTTAGCACCGCAACCATGGATTATTGTTTTATCCAATATTGCGTAATATGTTGTTTTTATTTAATCTCTTAGTTGTTTGGTTTACAAAATGTATCGAAAATTGTCATCTAGCTCAGTTTACCATGGTTTATCCAATGTGATGTCTATACAGCATGCCAAAATCCCCAAATTTATGTAAAAGCAATTAATGGTTGCTTACATTTTTACTACAACAAATGGTTATCAGATTATTGCTTATGAAATTTTTGTCAACTCTTTCTGGAAGCTTTTAGCTACTTTTTTTTTAAGTAATGTTAATTGGGACGCTCACTACATCACCACTTAAGATGAAGTGTGAGTTTCTCTTTTTAGTAGGGACACTTTATTGTCTCTTTGCAGAGCTCTGGAATGAACCTCTAGTTGTTCATGCAGACAAAGGCCTTGTAAAGTGTCATTTGAATGTTAACAATCTGTTGCATTGTTATTAACCCACTGTGAACATAATACATGTTCCCTTTAGTGACACTGGTCAGAAAATAGGAGAATGCTTTGAAACAAGTTGTACATCCAAAGTAGGATGCAATGGAAGTCCTACACCCCATTGGGACTGTATTAGTATTCAAATTACAGCAGTGTGTCAGAACATGCTCAGAAGTTTCTGCCTTGTTGTTTTGCAGAGAGCACTGTTGCAGTGATCCCTCACAAGACTGATCCAGAGTAGGTGTGGAATCAGCAATTGTTCTGGAAAAGGGTCGTCTGCTTGCCACATTTAAGCTGCTGCACATGATTGCAGGGGTCACAGGGCAGCTGTTTGGTTAGGCCTCATTGACTTCATCTCATATATAGGCCGCTCTTTGCTGTGTAATTGCCATTTCCTGCCTATGCGAAGTCTGTGTTGCAAGTTGATGGATAAACAAGTAGGGATGTAACAATTCACTCAACCCACGATACAATTCACGATACTGGGTTAACAATACGATTCTCACAAAACGAGACTGAAGACAGTAGTATGAGTTGACAAACCCGCTCGTCAGTGGGGTTTGTCCTTGGTGTCGATTAAATGCTGCATCATATTGGTTGTGCTATTTGTGTAGTTCCTTGTCCGCTTGCAATATTTGCACCCAGCTTTTGTCTTGTCTGTTATCTTCTCACTTTCATTTTCTGTCTTGGGGAAGCCAAAATGCTTCCACACCTCCGATTTAAAAAAAAAAAAAAAAAAAAAAAAAAAACGGTGGTGCGTCCTCAATTTCAAAATCTTGCTCTGCAGCTGCCAACCACTTCTGCTCTACAGCTGCCGACGCTCATGATATTGTTGTGACTCCAATGTTGAGTACCAATGTGAACCTTGACTCCTTTGAATCGATTTTTAATTGCCTCACGATTAATCTTTACATCCCTATAAACAAGCAATCTAGTGACCCACAGATGGTGACTTTGGTTATGACCTCCTCTAGAATGAAACTGCTCAATTCTTCTATTGTGATCAGACTATGAAGGTTTATGTCTCGAGTTGGTGCATGTTATTTTGACACAGCTGCATCCAGATGATCAATAAGAATATATTGCTGGTGCAGCAGTTTCACATGTTGTGCAGTTCCATGGCTGCACAGTGTACTAAAACCCTGTGCAGTTTAGAAATATGTTTCCTCAGGTTGAAGGTCCATCAGTAGGTAAATAAAATGCTGAACACACTGTACATGCAGCCAGACATCGCTGATAGTTGAGAGTTAGTCTGCCAGTCTGAAGGAAGGGGGATTGATTGATTGTCAGTTGACTTGATCCGTGAGTGACTAGGTAAATATCCGCCTCTAGGAAGTAAGAAACTGTAGATTCAAGTGATTGGCACTCTGATAGTGAGAGCAACATGATACTAGATCAACAAGTATGTGTATTCTTTACTGGTGAAAGCCCCTCTCACGAACAGTCAAGAACCTGCACAGGACTAAGTGGTAATGTAGTAAATGTGATTTAATTACACTGCAGATGTCAAGAGTTGGAGTGATTAAACTGTTGGTAAAAATGCCTGCAAGGTTATTACCATTATGACATGATGTTATTAAGCAACTATAAGATTTTGTTTGCATGTATTGGTTCTGGTTCATAGAGTTTTTCACTCTTTAAACCTTTTTTCCTGTGTTGTGTTACATTTGATTTGATATTCAGGCCTACAAACTAAAACAATTATATGATGTAGTCTCTAAAGCAAAAATATGAAACATTCAGACACATTTAGAAGATTACTTTCAGTTTAGACTCATCAGTAAATTTGGGGTATGTTAATGTTTTCTTTTAGTTTCCCCTAATGTATCATATCTCAGCTTAATTTGTTTTCTTGCACACTTTAGCCTGGGGCTCAGTGGTTAAGTCATTAAGTTAAAAACAAAAAATATATGTATATGTGAGACGCACACTAAAGAGCTGCAGAGTGGCCATTACTTAGTGTGATGTGACAACTTCAATCAACTTTAAAGCAGAACTGAAAGTAAAGAAAACATGTTATTACTGTATACAGTACAGAAATGTCATCTACTTCTACAACGGAAATACCGTTAGCATGCTGGGAACGACTTAAGATGAATTAAAAACGTTGTTTTTCTTGCAAAGACAACAAACCATGTTCCTCTTTCAAAACAGATTTTTTTTTTTGCAAATTGTGAGTTTGAATTTTTGAAAGTGATTTTGACAGAGTTCATGGTAAAGTATTGTTCAGATAAAAGGATGCATTAAAAAAGAAGACATCCAAATACAACAGTGGCCCATCAAACTATGACCACTGCACACTGTACAATACAAACTACACAATGTGGTTAACTGCTGTTTCAGGATTTCCATTTGAATGTTTATCAGGATTTTATTGTTCAATGAGATAATTGTGCCATGAAGCATTCACACCACACATGCTGAATGAAAGTTGTTAAAAGTAAAACTCTCTCTTTATATCTGGGCCGTTGAATAGTCTGCTAACTTGGTTGTGAGCTTTGTTTACATAGAAATTATTTGTTTATCATCAGGTGTGTAAAGTTAAGTTTTCTTTCTTTTTTTTGATGCCATCAGAAGCTTTGCACTGGTTGCATGTGTGATGTGGAGGTCTTGGATGGGTGGGGGTTTGATGATCCACCGTGTGTGTGCGCGTTTGGCGTGTGTGTGTGTGTGAGTGTGTGTGTGTGTGTGTGTGTGGGCTTGGCAGAGATGTGTGTAAAGTGCCATGGAGATGTAATGTGAAACCTGTCAGCCATTCAGACCCTTGCTTCATAGACAGGGTCAGTGTAAGTTTGGGGGGTTGGTGTTCCTGTGTCTAACTCTTCAGCATCATTTCACAGCTTTATGCATCACAATTTATAATTAGCCCCCCCCACCCCCACCCCATCTTAAACACATACACACTCACGCACGCACATATACACACACACACACACACACACACACACACACACACACACACGCTGTATAATGGCCGTCAGTGTAACGTCTGCTCCGGCACCTGAAGAGTTAAAAACTAGCTTCAGCTTCTCTCTCAGTCATACACACACACACACGCACACACAGTGACAGAGTCATACACACACGAGCAAACCGGTTTATACCGGTTCTCAGGAAAAGTGCTTTGTGTGTCCCACTGAATCCTGGGAAGGGTCATGTCATGTGTGTCTCAGTGATGTCAGAGTATATAAAAAAAACTTAAGTCAGCTCAGTGTTATCAGATGGCTGCCCTGCATGCTGCATTGTGATGCTGTATGTATGTTTTATAGTTCCATCATGGATACACTGTGTGTCCTATGCTTGGCCGCCATCAACATTCTGAGAACAGGAAGGGGCTCGAGTGTGCACAGTGTGCCTCAGAGAAGTAGTAGGGTGTAGGGGTTAATTGTAGGCCCACACAAAAATCATACCTTCCTGTAGTGCTTTGCTGGGAAGACTGGGGGTCTCCACAGCCTTGGCTGGACTGGTCTTGATTCTGAAACATAGGACATGCTTGTGTATTTAGGACATGACAGCACTGTGTTTCTACTTTGTCATCGTACAGTCTTGTACGATGATGATTCTATGTCTTTGAATCAGACTTGCATTTTATGTTTGAGATTGTGTGACTTTGGAGGCCAGGCTCTTTCCTGAAGAATTTGTCATGGGCTAGCAAGTGGTTGCCTTTAGTGCATGTGATGTTTTCATGGCTGCACAATAATAGGCTGGTTTTGATATTTTTATACATAAGACACGACAATCCCTTTCATCACATTCTTAAGCTGGTTGTCAGTATCACAGATGTGTATTGATCCGTAAAATGAATGATGAACTACTTTGTCTTTCTAGCAGTTGAGGACATTGGCAATTTTGGAGTCTGTTAGGGCCTAAGGCAAAAAGGGGGGTGTCCCAGGGGGCTCCTCCAAACAGAGTTCCTCCCATGCGGTGACCTCCAGTCTTGAAAAATGAAGCCAATGCGGAAGTGCACAATCCTGCACACCGTCGAGTGTCCGCTTGGGGCCGGCTCCAGGAACACCAGAAGTCACATACTGTACACACAATATGCAAAGAAAAAGCCAGTTTTTACAGCATAAATAAACATGTTTACAGCCTGGTACAAAAAAAACGAAATAGGTCTGATTGGTTATTGTCATCACTGGTACACACTGTACAGGGGTGAGCTTTTTTTTTTTTTTAAACCGCTGATGAGTACTGTCGTATGAGGCCACTTTCGGGAGGTTTCCTACCGTCAAAGTTGCACAAACGGCGTGATAAACTAGGGCTGAAAGAACAAATCGATAGAAAGTGTTGGCAACGTATTTGATTGATCAACTGCATATCTGAGCTGCTTCCGCTGAACAGGTGAATCTGCCAACTGCAGGCTACAAACACACAACATTCAATTCAAATTGTTTTGAGTTCTGTCTCATGGTGTCAGATTACACACACACACACACACACACACACACACACACACACACAGGCATCGCAAAGATAGTAAAAGCAAAACAGATAAAAAAAAGTCACAGTTAACTAACTCTCACTCATTTATCATTTGGATCAAATTTGTGTTGTGATGTGATTTACAGTAATAGCACCGTATTATTAAAAAAAACACATTTTTGAATGAAGCATCAGTGAACCAGAACAATGTCTGAATTATGTCTAAAATATATGCTATATGCTATATGATTAGAGAGTGGTTGTGGTTACCAGATGTTACTGATTCATCAATAGTATGGTTGACTAACCTATAATAGTGCACGTCTTGTATTGTTGCACAGGATAATAAAGGAATGAGGTCTTTAATACATAAATGCATCTTTATCCTCTCATATGGAAAGTGCATTAGAAGCGGGCACACAACAGTCTAACTGGCCATTATCAAACCCATAAAGGTAAAGATGTATTGACCCATGTGGTCTACCATCCCACTGTCTCCTCATCTGTTTCTGACCTGACACTGTGGGATTGAGAGCAGCCACTGTAGTGGTAATGCGTGTGTCTGTGGACTGCGTACTGGTGCAAATCTGTGACAGGACGAGCTGCTGTATCTCTCACTCTTAACTCCTACAGCTGGCATGGCATCTGAAGGTATGGCATTTCTTGTATGCTACGGCAGATATCAGTCTGTAATGGATCTGGGGCTCTTCTGTGCCTAACTAAACAAAATGACTATTGTACACAAGCTGGAGTCTTTATAAAATAATTAAAACTTATTTCACCAACACATATCAATTAATACTTGGATTCATGGGTCGTCATGAATCAGGCTCCAGTTAATTTTGGATTTCCTACAAGTCCACGTCAACTGTCATTTATTTTACATGTTCTTCCGTGTTTGATGTCTTACTGCAGGCTTTTTTGTTGTTGAGACCATGAGACCAAAATACCTTGTTTCTACTCTCAAGTGGCATCGAGAACTTACTGAGTTCTCCATTTCAGTTTCCCTCATTTTGGTTTGTGGTTTTGAGTGAAATGTGGATAATTAGATGTTTTGGAATGATACTTGAGTCATCATTGTCCTCCTGTGACCTCCAACATGTTTTGTCTGGGGGCCATTTTAGTCACACTGTCTCCCTTGCAGCTTATTCAAGGTCATTTTCTGTCTATCGTTCACAACCCACCATTCTTTGAGAATACTGGGTTACTTCAGTTTTTATGGGGCATTTGCTTTGTAATATTTATAGGATAAACAAACCTTCACAACAATCAAATAGATTGCAGACGCTGATGATCATGAGTTGTTTACACATTGCCAGAGGTTTCTTAGAAATTGCAAATGAACAGCTTTTAGTCTGATCGGACACAGGTGCTGTCACAATAGGGGTGTGACGAGATCCTGCACCATGGGTTCTGGTGATGATTAAAACGTGATGATATTTTGCGTTGAGGTGAAAACATCTTGTGATATCGGTACATAGACACAGAGCAGCCGCCATTAAGACAGTCTGGTGTTGAACTGAAATGACCATAGAAGACGTCCCCGCCACTTTGAAATGTTGTCTGTGATCAGCACTGTCTAAATAAAAGTGAGTTCAGGTTGATCTTACTGCTTATATTCGTATTATTGGAATAATACGTATATGGGGTGAGAGTATATAGAATATATAGTGAATAAAATCCGGGATCGTTACACAAAAAATGCATGGAGATGCATTTTTATTTTAGTGCTGTTTAAACACAATCTGAGTCATGGCTAGCAGAGGAGTAGAACATTTTATTAAAAATACCTTTTTTTTCGATCCAAAAAACAGGAAATTCGTTAAAAGATGATTAATGCTTCAAACATTTCTAATGGACCTACATTTTATCTGCATTTTTATAACTTTCAATCGAATAAAATAATTTTTTTTCAGTCATATTTCTTGTCATAACATTTTTCTTCAAAGTAGTGTTAAAGTATCGTCTTATGAACCCCTCATCTTCCAAATAAACGGACATTTAAAGGGTCCCAGTAGACTTTTCTCGTAACTAAACAAAAGTTTTGTATTCAGTCAGCATTACTTTCAAATGCAATGTGCCTATTCTTGCCATCTGATAAGCATTCCCCTGACAAACTAACCCTCTAAGAACCTTTCCCTCCCTCTTGAAACATTTTCAAAATATTTAGAAGTATTTTAGAGCTAGGATTTTTTATATCATGGATGTAAAACAAGAACTGGATAGAGCTTTGCAGGCGGGACTCCATTTATTCCAAAGAAAGTTGCTCACTGTTGCGCAAAACAAGAAGTTTGACTTCCCTTATGGGCATCATCCCCTTCCCATTAGCATTGTGTGGCAGGAGCATTGAGTCATTCAAATGAACACGGTCTCCAAAGTGTCCCTACATATTCATTATGTTGAGGATGTACAGTACCTCTGGATTTGGCTGCTTATAGATATTACTTTTAGAGTCAGTGGCTAAAATTTCAATTTTCAATTTTATTTGTATAGCGTCAACTCATGACAAGTGTTATCTCAAGACACTTTACAAAAAGCAGGTAAAATACCTTACTCTTTGTCTGTTAACATTACAAAAGAGCAGGTAAAAAGACCTTACTCATTGTTATGTTACAAAAAGCAGGTAAAAGACCTTACTTATTGCTATATTACAAAGATGTCAAATAAAGCGATGTTCTTACTTGAAAACAAAGGTACAGGTTTACAACGGTGAAAGAGATGAACACAGTTTACATCCATCACACAATCTGGTTCTGTGTACACAAATTCTAGTGTTTGTTTACAAACAGCTAAACATAGACTTCAAGTATCATCAGTATTTTAAGTTGAAGTCACTCTACAATCCCCTTTACCACATGCAAATAATATATGTTTTAATACACTGACGGACATTTAAGTTGATTTCATCTATTCCATTTTCAACCATTTTAACTAGTTTACCTTACAAAAAAGTTACAGTTTTGACTAAACACTCAGCATAAGCCTGCATGCTTAGAAATCTCTGTAGAGAAATGTAACTGTTAAAGTGGTGCCAGCTTTGTTTTAAATGTTTGGATGTTTTGATTAAATGTAATTTGATTATGCATAACAAGCTTAAATGAATGCATTTCTGTATCTTGTGGGATTTGACCTGTAACTTTAATGAGGCCTTAATTTATTACAGTAAAGATATGACATCCTTTTCTTCCTTTATCTGCAGGGGATGTCTGAGGAGGCTGTTCGCCAGACACGCAGCCAGAAGAGGGCGCTGGAGAGGGAGTCTGCTCCCCAGTCTATGGAAGCAACCAATGATGACAATGAAAGCAAAAAGCCTAAATTGGACTCATCTGAATGTACAATACAAGCACAAAGTAAACCTACATCTGAACCTGTACCTGCACAGGATGATAAAAGCCTTTCTAGAGATGGCTCAGCAGAGCCGGAGAAGGAGCTGCCAAAGGAGCAGAGCAAGTCTCCGTTACCTTTAGTGTTACCTCCGGCCTCTCAGCCGGTGAAGGATGATCAGAAGCGGACCCAGAGACAGCACACAGATGAACCCAGCTCAGACTCACGGACTGATAGCAGTGACAGAGCTGGCAAAGCCAGGACAGAGTCAGCTGGCGATACGAGGAGCAGAGTTCGATTGTTGGAGTCGAAGGTGGCCAGTGGCATGCTGGCTGCAGGAGAGGTGAAGGCCACCATCAAAGTGGAAGTTCAGACAGGAGAGCAGCCTGTGGACATGAGCACTTCCAGAGGGTGAGAAGCCCTTAAGAGTAAACTTTTCTCTGCCAAGACAATTGTATCAAGTGCCTGTGAGAAAGAAATGGATTGAAAGTCGAGAAACTTTATGTGCACAGAAGTTATCTTGTTTATGTGAATCAATGAAGGCTTCTCGATGAGTTTTTGTTTAGAGAGACTTTAGAGAGTGTAAAAGAGCACGCATGACATTTAAATCTGACTGAATTAGTTAGTTTTATGATTGTGATGTTCGTGTAGCTTTGTGTTTAGAGGAACAGGGTGGGAGTTTTTTTTTTCTTTAGTCCCCAGAGTTGAACTTTTATCTTCCAGTCTACCTCCATTTTCCCCCCACTCACCACCTGAACCCTAAAAACTCCTCTCACACAAAATGAAGCCGTGTGTCACAAACCGGTTCCAGCCGGTTGTTGCCATGGTTTCCACAGTGGAAGGAACAGTGAGGGGAGGGAAAGGGAGGGGGGGGGGGGGAGAGTAAGTGTGTCACGTGATGATGACTTGGAGGTCATGTGACTTCTTTGGAAAAGTAGAGATTAATCCACAGGAAGTGATGATGGCGCTAAGCCCTGAAGAGAGAGTAACACACACACACACGTACACACACGTACACACACAGATATCAGAAGAATGACCAGGAGAGGTCGACCTCATGTTGTTAAATGTTGACTATAACTACTCATTCTGTGATTCATAGAAATACATGATCTGTGTAGTAACAGGGAGGGATCCCTTTTCGAGGAACATTACACTTGTTCCTCAGTTTTTTTTTTTGAAGCCCCTAGTCAAAGAATTTAGGTCAACCACTCTCACACGTAGCTGGCAGTTGAACTAGTTGCTTTGCAGGAGAAGCTATACGTGTGCATAATCATGTAGAAAGAAGAGAGGGGTGAGCCAAATAGATTACAAGATTGCCATGATGCTTTAATGTCCTCATCGTGCTTGAATAGAGTATGTAGCTAATACAGGTCGTCCAAGAATAAGTCTCAAACTTATATTTTGCCTATCTCAATGGGAAACATGCATTCTTGAACAGTGATTCTATGGTAACTCCTTTATCAGAGCTTGAAGTCCCACCTTGCTCCTGCTTAGCATTTAGGACTGTCTGCTGTTGGAATTGCATCAACCTAAAGAGAAGCTGTGTGGAGTGAATCTGTCTTGACTTGCAGGGATTTTATAGGAACTGATTAACCGACTATCAGAAATTGTAGTTCAGTTTGCAGATGATACTAATGGGTACTAATATTTGAGCGATTGGAGGTTAGTACTCTATCTACCTCAAACAGCTGTAACACTAATGTTTTCATGGTTACCAATCTGTCTGTGTTTTTGGGAGAATATGTTTTTAAACATGCAAGGTGGCATTTAGAGCCTGAAGATGTCCATTTTTTGATATTCTTAAGTTTAATTAAGACCTTAATCAAACTGAAACATACAATTTGTGACAATGAAAGGGTAAACCTGGATGTTAAAGTTGGTAAAAAGTCATTGTAGCTGAAGAGAACGTATATACAGCATATTCTTTTATATACTAACATTTGATTTGATTTTTCATTTTGGCACATCTGATGTAAAGCTGTTTTTTGATTCCTTGTCTGGCCTGTGTCCAGCAGTGTAAAAAGGGAGAAGCGCCCTCCATCCCCAGAAGATGATGATGTCATTATCTTGTCAGATAACGACTCTCCAAGTCCTCCAATGAACGGCTTGAGCCATTTTAAGGAGCTCGACACAGCCCTGCTAATGGTGAGACGCACCTACAATTAGCTTTAAAGTCATGCTACTTTTTTTCCTGCCAGGGATCCAGAGAACATGACCTTTTTTTAACTTTTAAATGCGGACATTGCAAGGTGGTTCAGTTGCGACATGATAGCCTCAAAAACTAAAATGGGTGAGCAGATAAGGGTTAAACATCCCACTGTGGTAGATTCCATATTGGCCAGTTAAGGCTCCATTATTGAACAATTTAGTTAATAGGAATAGTTGTGTCTTTTATAATTTGTGTTGTTATGATCTGTACGTACAGAAGAACAGCCCGGAAGAGAGGGAGCGCATCATTAAGCAGCTGAAGGAGGAGCTGAGACTGGAGGAGGCTAAGCTGGTGTTGCTGAAGAAACTCCGCCAGAGCCAGATACAGAGAGACACGCTCCAAAAGGTAAATAGTCATTAATGGAAATCAACCAAAGCCAACCAATAGTCACAAAACAGGCACACAACAAGTATTCTTTTTGTTATGACCTCGTATTAACTTGTGTTCTGGGTGAGCCAATCACAAGAGGACAGCTTGGGAGTACTTTTATCAGTGCACCCAAAATGTATTGCAAGCACACTTAGATGAAATAATTCAGATCACATTAAGAGGTGACCTTGGTGTTTGACCCAAAATCTAATGTGTGTTTGCCAAAGTGTTCAGGGCCAAATTGAAGGTCTGACTACTGTTGGTAACCAGGGCAACTATTTGGTTGCAAGGCAAACAGCCTGTCTGTTTGTGTGTCATCTGTTAGAGTTGGGCATGCTCCAAATTAAAGGACTAATCACTTCCTGTATTGATTACGTAGAGGACCATATTTTTGGTGTGCAAATTTGGAGCGATCCCATACACTTAAGAGCAAAGACAGCGCCTATGGATATAGGGGTTGCAACCCGTGTGCAGTTCTTCACAGTTTACAATGATACAGTGCTGAGAGGATGCACAGGTTTTGTGGAGAACAGTGTCTTAAAAGACTTGTAAATGTTCACTGTTATCAGGGACCCCAGTCTGCAGTGCATTTCATACACTTAACAGATAAACCGCAGAACTGTAACACCGATTTCACTTCATAGTCAAATAAAGTTTTGGTATCTTTATGACACTTCTGTCTGTAATCATCCTGACCCTTTTTTTTTTTTTAGCTTTTGTATTTACTGTGTTGCTCTCTCTGCTATAAGCCCATACAACAGATTTTGGTTAATGTATTTTATGATGAAAATAATGTACCTGTTATAGTTGGAAAGTGAGATTGATCTCATGTGGTTAGTGGAGACTAATTTCATAGCAAGGTGCGAACAGATTTACTTGGAGCTGTCCACTTGTGATTGGATCTATGTACAAGGTATGTTAACATCATGTGTAAACAGGCGTTATCTTAATCGTCTTTCTCCGTCTTCTTTAGCCCTCCACTCTGTCTGATTCCTCTGCTCCACCTCCTCTAATTCGTGGAACAGTTACAAGCAATAAAGGCTCCCAGCAGGTAAATGCTCTATTATCACACCCGCTGTCAGGCAGGACATCAGTGCAACAATTCATTTGTATAGGAGTTTATCCTGCTTTAATGGGGGGTTTTGTCAGCAGATAATGACTGCAAGGAGTTCTGGGACAGTCATCCCTCCGCCACTGGTGAGAGGAGGACAGCAGATGTCATCCAAACATGGCTCACAGATCATAATGCCGCCTCTGGTGAGAGGGGCACAGGTGAGTCATGCGGAAATGTTATTAATGTACGGCAATATTTTTATAAAGCATTTTTTTAGTATACATTTTTTATTTATTTGTCCAACAACAGCGTAAGCAGTACCATTGAACTGATATCTTTCAGAGATGTTAGAGACAAACAGCAGGGGAAGAATTGCACTTAAAATAGACTTATTGTGTCTCTTTGCACCTCTCTCTCTTTGTCTGTGCCCTTGGCCTTGGTGCTTTTGATGTCCCTCCCTTGTCCAACACTACCTGTCTGTGATGCCCCTACGTGTGATGCCCCTCTGTGTCATCCCTCTCATTGTCCTGGTTAGCCCATCTCTGTATCTCCACAGCAGATCCAGGCTCTCCGTCAGCAACAGCAGCAGCAGTTGGCTGCCTCTGGAGGCTCAGGCTCAGGACCCCCTCCTCTGCTGGTGGGCCCAAAGACCTCTGCCCCTGCAGGCCAGGGCCATAGAGGAATGGTCCAGCCAGGCCTGATAAGAGTTGGCAGTAGTGCTACCACCCTGGTTAGTATGACCTGTATGTTAATCAAACCACAAAAGCACATACAAATTGTTCACCCAGGGTGAAAACAAAAACCACAAAATGACTATAGGTACCTTTATTTTGGCCTTCATATAATTGTGTCCAGTTCAATTTGTTTGGTTCTCTCTTTATCAAATATTTAAAACTATAATATAATATTTCGTATACCGTAATATAGGCTGTAGGTAAGGTAAGATGACAGTTATTTTAGAAGCCCCGCAGGTGCGTCACCGACCCCGACGCAGTAGGTCACGAGGTTATTAGAGCACAGCCACAGAGTAAAGATTACTGACTAGATTTGTTTTAATCTCTGCAGTAGAAATGAGTCACTATACACGCAGACTCATAGTTTGTTTACTTTTGCATCGGCTTTGGAAGAGAAGACAGCGACCGCGTAGACGTAGGAGGAGAGTTCACTCCTCTGTATGTAGCTGTATACACTTCGTGCATCATTTTTGGTCATGTAGCGCACATATTGTTGTACTTGGTTAGTGAAGAAAACGTGACAGAGACAGTTATGTTTGTATAAGGAACCGAAAGCAAATGGTTCAACACATACCTTGTTTAAGGTTTGTATACGTTTTGTTTCAATAGTTAACGTTAATAACCGCGACAGTTGTAACTTTGTCTTTGTGAAAATAACATTGTTTTTACAGTTTATTATTTAGTACCTAATGATATTGGGTAAATCTAGCTCATCATTAAAAACCCGAACTAATTAGTTCACAAAGTTTCCGGGCGTGTTTAAACCGAAGACTGTAAATATTAAGGTTTAAACTGTTGATTGACAGGTACAGGTGCACCGTGCAGGTAGAAGTTAGCGTACTAAAGATAAGCTTCAGGTACAGGTGCACCGTGCAGGTAGAAGTTAGCGTACTAAAGATAAGCTTCAGGTACAGGTGCACCGTGCAGGTAGAAGTTAGCATACTAAAGATAAGCTTTAGCTAACTGTTCTCCGCCTGAGTTTAGCTAGTATAGGTCAAACGCTTATCACGACCTTAACTTTTAATAAATATGACCCTGTGACCCATTACGAACTTTTTTCGGAGAACTGGCGGACCAAATTTAACTGTAATTTCATGTCATGTAAAATAAAGTATGAATGAATCATGTAATGGCGACACGGGTCCGTGAATGATCGAGTCCCGATAAGATGCTGTTTCTTAATTTGAGGATTTATAAAAAAGAACATTTGAATAGTCTCACAATGGCTGATAATTTATCTTTTATCATTCAGCACTTTGCAATTAACAGTAATTCAACACCAACTGCTCCCTGGTCACTTTAGATTTCCTCAAACAAGTCAAAACTTTTCCTATTCTGACTTGTGTCGTTTCTTTTTTTTCTTTGCTTGTTTCTAAGGGCTCACCATCTAGTTTGAAGGGATCCTCCTCAGGAAGCAGTGGCCTGTCTATGGTTAGCGTAAATGACTCTCCAGCAAGCCGACAAGCTGCAGCTAAACTTGCTCTGCGGAAACAATTAGAGAAGACTCTCCTTGAGATTCCCCCTCCCAAGCCACCTGCCCCAGAGTTTAACTTCCTGCCCTCTGCGGCCAACAATGAGTTCATCTACCTGGTGGGGCTCGAGGAAGTGGTACAGAATCTATTGGACACAATCCACAGAGGTGTGTAGGACGTCTTCTTCCATCTTATGATGGCTTTGTCATTTGTACATTGCACAGGTTAACAGGGTTACAAGGGTTAGTCGTAACATTCTCTAGGTCCAGCTTCTGAAAGTGAGAGGAGTGGCTGCCTTCATTTACGATAGTCATTTTATATTATGAGGTATGTACTGCTGGTGACATCTATTTGGGCTTACATACAGAGTAATGGATATTTTAGTTAAATAACCATTTAAAATGATAATATAGTCCAATTTAGCCATGGAGAAAACATTTATCAGTTAAGGCCCTTGTTGGTACTCATAGGTGTTGGATCTTTTTCAGACAAGGTCCAGCCAATTTTTAAAAGATTTTAAATATCTGTGTAACTTTGTCTGTCAATTTCTGTGTCTCTGGGTTTCCCATCTCTCTCCACACAGGAAAGACAGGCGTTGCACTGTCCAAGGCCAGTGCCAAAGATCCCTTCATCTGCACCCAGTGCCACACTGACTTCACCTGCCGCTGGAGGCAGGACAAGACAAAAGGCGGCGCAGTTCTCTGTGAACACTGCATGTCATCCAATCAGAAAAAGGCTTTGAAAGCTGAACATACCAATAGGCTGAAAGCGGCGTTTGTCAAAGCACTTCAACAAGAGCAGGAAATAGAGCAGCGTATAATTCAGCAGACATCCTCAACGGTTTCCCACAGTAGCTCTTCGTCCTCGTCTTTATCATCACTGAAAGCAGAGCAGCTGGTGTCTCAGCAGCTGAGGCAGGCTCAGGCTAGAGCGTCCTCCCTCCAACACCACCACCAGGCCAATCGAGGCACCAACATCCTTCACCATCACTCCATCAAGCAGGTTAGAATCTCTTATTTCATTACTTGAAATGCCCGTTCAGAGACACTACAGTTTTGACTCAAAGCCTCTTTTATGCGTCTTTACTCCACTCAGAGCTCCCAGGGCCAGCGGTCCCATGGTATCTCATCGTTAGGGGTGAGGGGGGTCCCCCACTCCTTCTCTTCCTCATCCCAGCTGCAGAGTGCGGTGGCGGCCGCAGCTTTGGTCAGCCGGCCAGGTAAGCATGCCCATCTTTCCCACCGCTCTGTCCAGAGTTCAAAGGTGAGCAGCAGTGGGATCGGCGGCAGCAGGAATGTCAGCGGAGGTAGTTCTTCATCCACTGCATGGAAGAAGCAGAGCAACAGCAACACAGGTAGACTTACATTAACACCAGCTCGACTCTGGCGACTGAAACCTGCTCTTTTTCAAATTCCTGTCTGGTCCAAAAGCAGTCCTTGAATATCCTTGTGCCAACCCATATCACACCTTCCTGATCCGTCCCTCAGTTTGGTGCTTTATTAGGTCACTACTTTACCTTTGAGTAGAAATGTTGTCATTTTTTTCTGTGTCTGTCTGGTCTTTGTTGGATCATGGGTGCCTATATATTCTGGGGCTCTGTCGAATCATGCTGCTTTTTTCATTCAACTGAAAATACATCAAACTGGCAGAACAAAGCTCCTTCCACACCTTTATCCGGCTCCTCTGTCTTATGTCCACAGGAGTCACTATGGCCTACGTGAACCCAAGCCTGACGGGTCACAAGACGTCAGCCACCATCGACGCTCGTCAGAGGGAGTACCTGCTGGACATGATCCCCTCCCGCTCGTCAATCTCGCAGACTGCAAACACATGGAAATAATGTACACAGTACCTTGCTATTCATTCATTGGTTTTGTACAGGTTTCTTCAGCTTAGATTTATTGGCCAACAGCTACCCCCGGAGGACTGTTAAACAAATACAATCTCCTGAAATGAGGGAACGTTCCTTCCTTACATTTGTTATGACTGTTGTTTAAGTTTTCTTATATCCTGTTGTTTATTTTGAATTTTACTGTTTTCTCATAACTGTGCTGAAACATTTTGATTTGAGTGGGTATAAAAAAAATCTAATACTTGAAGGGACTGCCCCTGGGAACTGTGACAGTCCTCTTGACTGGGTGGTTAAATAATTTTGTTTTAAGAGGCTGCATTGAGTGCTTTGAATTTTTACATTTTAAAAAAAGTGCTCTGTTCAGGTCTTATGCGCTCTTTTTGCCATTATGTTGGTCAAACTGACCCAACGTTGGACACTTGAATGCTTATAGTAATACCCAAGAGTTCAAAATTAACAAAACACAATTATAAATCAAAACAAACGTTTTCAGTTCCTCATCCCTGTAGTTATGTTAGGTTTGCTCTTTGTTGTATTTACAGTAAGTTATTTTTGATTTTTCATTGATGTTTAAAATCATCTGATACCGTGGTTTTCACAAATGAAGGGTTTATTTAGCTTTTTTCCCTTGTTTAACAGCATGCCAACCTTGAACCCCTCTATTCATTTTGCACCTCAGCTGAGAAAGCATGGTGTCTTCGCTTAATTCACCTGTAATAGCCATTTGTAATTTGCTTATTTTATATCAATGTTAAGAGTGTCAGGTCAACGCTGAGAAAAAGCTAATTCTGAGGAACAGAATTTGCCAGGCTGAAGCCAGAAATCTTGGCTCGGATTTATTCAACCATAATCCCTGCAATATGTAAACATAATTAGTCCAGAATCAGTCCTGAAAAAACACACCAGATGGCACCAGACCATCTTCATCCATATCCTCGAGTCATTTCTCTTCTTTCCCTGCAATGTGCAAACATGTTTAAATTTATTTGGTTTACTTTTTTCCTATCTCCTAAAGAAATAATAAAAAAAACTATACATTTTAACCACTTGTTTTAATTTATTATGTGTTAAGAATGCACTCTTGGGGTAAAACTAAGTGGATATGCTTTATTAGTGCTCTAGCTTTCTCATTGGATTAGCTAAGTTTGTGTTTTTGTTATATTATGTGGAGTTTGTCAGATCAGTATCATTTATTCTTCACTCATTAAAGTGTGAAGGTCCAAACCAAAGAGGCTAGAGGAAATAAGTCACATAAGCATGCAATACAGGGTGAATCATTTCAACAAAAGGGCTAGTCTGGAAAAAGTGAAATTTGACAAGTGAGATGGAAACAGGAAAGGCAGGTTGATAGGATCACAAGTCATTGGGGAAGAACACGAATGATTAAGTTAACAGTACATTTTGTAACACAGCCAGAGATTAAACAGCTGTGTGTGAACATCTCAGAAGCAGCTGTCCCATATAGTTTAGTCCAAATAACATTTCAGAAAACAAATGTCTCTAATGGCAAAGACAATTCATGGTGAAAAAAAAAAATCAATCCCAAGCAAATTTAGATATATTATAAGAATTATCAGGTTGTATGTTTCATTTTGTAAAAAACGATAAAACAGCTTGTTCTTGGTTCTTGAAAACGACCTTTCCAGCGCCTTAAGTAAGGTGTAAAAACAGGTCTCACCCAGACTGGTGAGGGGCGGTAAATGACCACAGAAGCTTTTCTGAACCGAAGAGGAAGAATTCGTTTTGTGAAAATGTACAGAGACCTCACGATCCTGGAAAAAAAAATCCTCAACTTATCAACCCTGCTAGAAAAAAAACCCCAATAAAAACTGTGGAAATGTCTCCATTCTTCTGAGCTGTACCAGTGGATATGAGGACTTAATAATTGATTACTCCCGCCGGTGGAGGGCAGCAATACGTCAATGCTGCGTCTAGTCTGCCAACCAAAAGAAGAAGAAGAAGAGTTCATTTTGTGACGTCACCAGCGTGTTGCCGGAGAAGGCCGGAGCAAGATGGCGGGGTCCAAGGTGAAGCAGGACATGCCTCCTGCGGGAGGCTATGCAGCTTTTGATTACAAGAGAAATCTACCAAAACGAGGACTTTCGGGTACTTGCACTACACACTTAAGTTACCAAATACCACAGGTCCACACCAGAGCTACTAATCATTCACAAGTTGTTGACATTTGCTACACTGTAAAAAGCGGCTAATGCTAACAGGTCAGTGGGACAGACTCAAGGAGCTCGACTACAATTTAAATGTCGAAGTCATCAGACACTCGTGGTTAAATATATTTGTTAGCGCAGGACCAGTCTCTTTTGACCGCAGTGTTTTTTATGTAAACAGTTGAAGTTGTTGAGTACAGTTTTCATGTGAAGTATTGTTGACAGCGGTGATGGCTAGCTGCTAACCTGCAAACACTGCACCTGGTGTTGAAACAGATTCTGTTTGATGTTATTTAAAAACTGTTCCTGACGGGGATTGCCTTTTTTTTTCAGCCTATCAAGCCAGCAGCTCAATGTGTGAAACTATCAGTTTGAAGAAATGTAAATTTGGTTCACAGTTTCTGACCCTGTCCTGTCAGGTGCTCATAAACAGAACACCAAACAAATCTCTGCTGCGGATTCATTTGCAGCTTTAAGTGTGAAGTGAACTGGTGTGACAGGTTTGAGCGATCAGGAAACACAGTGGATTGTTGTGTTAGTTGTTGCACACTTTGAATGGAGAATAATTAGATGTTGTGCCTGAAGGAGGACAGTGTGTCACAGACGAGTGAATGAGAGAAAGTGTGCAGCTACATCACACTGGTTGTGATCAGTGTTGCTGATGTTTTGAGAGTCCACTACTTTTGGGGAATTTAAATCTATATGGATGTGTTGAAGTTTAATGAAGACAAAATATTTTTGATACAAACAGCTAGTCTGTGCAATGCGTGTCCGTATGTTAATTATGTGAATGACGAATCTGCAGTTTAAGCCTATAATGAATAAAGATTGCTAGATTAATGTTTTTGAATAATTGCCTTGAAGAGTAGTTTTATTTCTGTTTATTGACTTATTCGTTAGAGGCCAGTTGGTGCACTTTCTTTTCTGACAGTCAACATTTGAGATTGATAATGGTAGAATTGCAGCTGAAGTGAGGCAGGGCATCTTTAATCTGTAAATACTTGCATAAGAGCTGTGTTGAGCAAATGTAGTTCACTGTAACACTCATGATTCTGTTCTCGGTCTACACAAATCAATATCCGCTTCTATGAATGTATACCTGTTTAAACTCAAAATTTTACTTTAGTAAAGTGACAGAAAAAAATATTTTTGTGCTGTTTCAATTAACAGCTGTGGTTGCTCTATTACAGCCCAATTCATAGTGCTGATTATTGAAGTCATTTTGGGCTTTAAGGAAGGTATAAAAGGACACCACTCTATTGTTACATAGGATAATAAACAACAGTAATTTTATCTTTATTTTCTTGTTGTCTTGATCACTGGAAGCCACAGTCTGAGCAACCCCTAATTACTTAGACCTGGAATTGAGGGGTCACCCTGTGGGTCTTCCTTCTACTGTCAAGATAAAACAGTGGTATCTTTTTCACCACCAGATGGAGACACTGCGCTGTCTTTGTTTTAATCATCTTGAAAATCACAACCTCCAACTGTAATTCAATGTGCAGATCCAGAACTCACTCCAGACAACACTGGAGTTGAGAGTTCCTGTTTCTCGATCATCAATTATTTTTTTTTAGCAGTTTTTAATATTTTCTCAGCTATAACTATTACCACTTTTGATACTGTTCGGGAGCATGGATGATTAAGGCTTCTTGCCAAATAACCAATCAAATAATTACGGCTTTTTCCAAAAAAAGAAATGCAGCCTGTACTAATGTCTAAAGTTCCCTTCATGAAACAAACTCGCAGTGAGCCACAGTCACTGCAACCATTTAGAGCTGCAGATGTAGACTTTGTAGTATGCATCTAATGCAGGCGAGGAATGAAGTAGCAGTGTTAAGTGGTGGTATGAACTAGAGTATCACCTTAACAGGTTTGCAGGTGAAGCGGCTGTTGTAACCTCATGCGTCACAATGTGTTGGTCTGAACTACAGGTGCAAATGAGTTCATTAAATAATAATCGGTTACAAAACAAATGTAATCGATAATTGTTTTTGTACTCCACATGTTTGTAAATGTTTCTTGTTGCATTGTGGGTTCTAGGATAGGCCTAATTCAAAACAGAAAAAAAGGAGCACACTCAAACAGAAATAAAACTTCAGGTGCACGAGCACAAAAAGAAAATAGATGACAAACAAAGCGCTGATAAAAGCTCTGTGCTGAAACGTGTGTCTGTTGTTGATCCGTACGCTGCTACCTTAAGAAAAGTATCCCTTTAATTTACCCCTTTCTGAATTCCCAGTGAACTAAAAGTCCCAAACAAACAAAATATGTATTATGATCTACGAAAGTTCAGTTCAAATTGTCTTTTTAGAGATAATTTGAAGAAGGACTTAATAACTACAAAACGGAACGACCTTATAGGGAGAAATAGCTCATAGCGGACAGACGAGTGAGAGTGTCATTATGCACAGGTGAGAAAGATGACACAACTTAACTTAAATCGTTCATTTCTGCACCTCTAGTCTGAACTGTGGCAGGTATTTACTGTGTTTGTAGATTATTGTGAAATAGGTTTGACAGAGAAGTCCTCAGCAGCTGCAGTTTGCTGCATGTTGTTGATGTATGCCAGAAGTCAGTTGCGCAAGGCTTTTTTAACACAAACTACAAATCCTCTCTTCTTCAATGTAATTTATTCAAAATTAAAAGGGAAATCTTAATTACTGTATCTGGCACACTGTAGTTCGATTAAGCACAGCAGGCTATTGCAAATGTATATCACATCATGGTCATAAAGACGTGTTACAGAAAAATATGCCTAAGGGATTCATCTGTCCTGTTTTAAACCGGTTTGAGTGGTTGCTAGTATCTGTGGCCTTCCGGGGGTTGAGAGAATAGTACATAAAAGGTTCATTCCTATCTGTGTATATATGTTACATGGTACTTGTATCTAAATAGGTTCATTGTGGTGGGAACTTAAACCCCAACATTAAATTATCTTTGTAAAGAAACACTAACATGAAACTGTCACTGGTTTCTTCTTCCCTTGGCAGGATATAGCATGTTCGGGATTGGCATTGGAATCATGGTGTTTGGTTACTGGAGGCTTTTCAAGTGGAACAGAGAGAGGAGGTGGGATACTTTAAACAAATATATATGGAAGTCAAAGTTTCTAAAAATGTTCATTATTGTGCTGTAGCAGCTGGTGATTTGTGTTTGTACATCACAGACGCTTGCAGATTGAGGAGTTGGAGGCTAGGATAGCTCTGATGCCGCTGCTGCAGGCCGAGCAAGACCGAAGGTGACATAAATCATCATGCGTACAAATTCCCTTTTCACATTTTAAATTGTGATTGTGACTCTCAAAGATAAGCGTCTTTAAGTTACATGTTTCTTCTGATCAGGACCTTACGGATGTTAAGGGAGAATTTGGAGGAGGAGGCGATCCTCATGAAGGACGTTCCAGGTTGGAAGGTAAAGGAAACGTTTTGACTCCTTGTGTTAGACTCCTGACACATAAGAGAGCCTTGCATCACATTTTTGATCACTGGTAAATGTTGATCACAGTCACTCTTAAGTGTGGTAGTTAGTCTTTTTCATCTTTGTTCAACATCTAAAATTTGAAGCATTTCAATACATTTAGATTCCATGAGAATGAAAAGATGAAGCACTCACTCATTTCTTTTTTCAGGATTATCAACACTTAAATTTAACTTACTGTCTTTTGAAATCCTTTTTTTGTTTTTACACACAAAAAAACATTGCAGCTCTAAATGTTCTTCAATCTTCTTGATTTTAAAACCTCCATTCTTTTCTCAATAAAGCGTTCAAAATCATTTGGAAATCTTAAGCATTAATCCCCTTTACAGAAACCAGACAAATGAGGCCAGTTGGAACTAATTGGTATAGGTGGTGGTGTTATATGTTAACTCTGGTAGTGCAGCACTGTTGACCCCATCTCAACTGTTTAGATGAACTCACAACTTTATTCTCAATAAAGAGTAATGAGTATTCGTAAGTAAATCAAAGGCTACTCTCATTTTTAAAGACTCAACATAAATCATCACTGGAGATTAATATTTGTTATCAAATGTATGCAACAAGGCTCTAACTGCACACCAATGTTTCAATAACTCCTTTATATCTTTGCAACATGAAGGAAATACAAAAATACAGCAAATACTGTATTACCTCATTCTTTTGTGATAGGGATGGGCATTTTAGACATTAGTTCAGGTCCCAGCAGCACTAACACTTCAATGTAGGGTCTGATTTTGGAGGTCTGGGTCATTATGTCAGTATCCTATTGATAAAGACTCTCATTACATGCTTTAGGTTGGTGAGAGTGTCTTCCACACAGACCGCTGGACGTCCCCTCTGACAGAGGAGCTGTTCAACCTCCGGCCCAAAGAGCAGCTTTTGCATAAGCGTTTTGGCTTCTTGTCATACGTCTGAGCAGCGGACTACAACGGCTGACAACTTGTGGACCCAAGCCCTCAATACAGCTTGTAAATGTTCAATATTAAAGTATCTTTTTTCTGTACCTCATCTTGGTTTATCTGGTGTCATTTTTACAATGTGGACTTTATTTAATGAATTATTGAACTTGACATCTGAGAGTTGCTGGTAACCTTATGTACAACATTTTATCTTAGGAGCTTGGAGGGCTGATGGACTAGCAGTTATGTTTTGCAGCACACATGCAGAGGGTTTAAGTCTAACTAGCGGCTCCTTTCCCACATGGAAAAATAACTTTGGGAATGATTGAGTATACAATAGTGAAACAAGATAATAGAAACAGTTTTGCAGTAAACTGCTCTCACCAAGTTTAAATACCAATTATGTACTTCCATGATTTTTACATCATAGTCAGGATTAATTAATTTGTGCTCATCAATGCAATGATTAACCTTGGTATATAAAAAAAAACAAGCCATCTGGTTTTCACTTTCCTCGTTTTTATTTAAAAAGCAGCATCAAACAGCATCATTCTGTAAAGTTCTGTGTAAACTTCATTAAGCTGACATGATGAAAAAGGGCCCTGTTTCTTGACATTCGACCACTTCGTCAAGGAAACTGCCCAGCCCTATGTACAGGTCAGACTGACCCCTTTCAACATGATTTCTTGGACCATGTTCATATCAAATGTTGACATTCAGAGCAACATCTTTGAAAGGCCTCAACTTCCTTGTCTGCAGGATCCTGGCAAGCTCCTCTCCTCAGGGGCTGCACGCTGGACCTGAAACAGGGCAGTGCAGAATGTTCAGCCAGGTTAAGTTTTCTGTACCACAAACCAGAGCACATGGGATTTTTTTTTTTTTTATATCCATGAAGACAAGGTTGTACCTGTTATCTGCATAAAGGGTTAATGCCGCTCACTTCAGCCTCAAGGAGATCCAGTGAAGCCTCCAACAGTCAGTTTACTCTAGAGAGAAAGAAAAATGGATTACACCTGGAAAATTACATCAGTCACAAGACAAATCACAACAAAATGCATGCAGCCCTATGTATGAGTCTGAAACTCACCACTGACTCTGTGTAAGGATACAAAGAAACTGCAAATTATCTAGACACCTTGCACATCAATAAGGACTGCGGTGGGATATTACAGGAGCAAATTTGAAGACTAGTGCAGTGAACGGAAGTGGACTGAGCACAAAATTACCCACGAGGCTGCTTTTAGTGGTGCACTCAGGTGGAGCAGAACAATCCAGAGGGGCTTCATAGAAACATTTTTTTTTTCTCAATGGACTTTGTTTTATGAATCAGATTCGGGTAGAGGCCATGGCATGTTGGCGACATCTGAAGCAGAGTACTATAAACGACTAACTTGAAGGCATTCATGGAAACAATGAGAACTGAGTTTGAAGGATGTGAGCAAAGCAAAAGGAGATTGTTACCTCACGTGCATTGGCCTATTTTCTCCACATATGACCTAGGCAAGAGCAGCTTTCATCTCTGATGAGCACTTGTTGGTAGGCGCAACACTTCACTCTCCAAGGACTTGTAGGTTTTTGTAGTAGCTGACCTCTTGAACATAATGAAGCTTTAACATGACCAGACACCAGCTGATGTTTCCCTGCACTCCTTGTGCCAGTGCAGGGGCTTAATACTCAAACCGCATCAAGGGTTTGATCAAAACCATTGTCCGATGGTCTTGAGACCTGTACAGGATTCATTGGGCCAGAAACCACTGATACTGTTTAAGTATTTAGAAACCGGAAAGGCAGCTTTTTTTTTTTTTCTTTTTTCAAATATAACCAAGTGGAAAATTTATAGTACACCCAATTTTCAGCTAACCCCTCCATTATCTCAATCAAAGCTATTCCAACTATAGTGACTTAACTGTCGCAACTTTAAACTCCCCATGCGATAAGTTTTACAATGCAAAAGAATCAAGATTATTTTCCACAGTCTGTTTAATAGGCTCCATGAAGCCAAACTGACAAAGAAAAAAAAAAATTGTTGATCATACAAAGAACATAAAGTACAAAACTGTTCCCGGTTGAGATTTTACTTTGGGGAAACGTAGTTACATTTTTCGATCACTTTAACAAGATTAGTCCATTTTACAGCACATTTAAAATGCAGATGTTGAGCAGAGCATAGAAGATACCTTGGACAGACTTCATGAACAGCCGGCCACTTCGGATGTGTAGTTCACCAGTCTGAAAGGAATTCACTCTTTTGGGAAATTGAACACACAGGAGCCTCGGCTAAACTTAGTTTTTAATAGTAAAAAGGAATTTAGCAGAAAATCCCCCAAAGCTTTTAGAGTTATTTTCTTCTTTCAGTTAAAACCTGGCAAGACGAAGGCCAGTCACAAAGACTGACAGGGGAAAAAAGGAATAAACAAACAAGCCCCATCGGATATTTCAATATAAAAAAAACAAAAATAACTAAGGAATCAAAATCAGGAAACACTTCTAATGTGCTGGACAAAAAGAAAAAGTCTACAGCAATGGTAGTGGCTGTTCAACGAAAAGCCATGTGGAGAGCTGTTTGATCCCCTTACTGGGACTTGTCAGTTCTTATCAGATTATACAGTTGCCTTTTAGTTAACAAACGACCTTTGAGGAATCAAGATGCCCAATTAAGCAAGATAAGAGTCTTGAACTGTACTTTGTTACATGGTTTGTTAAGGAATGACCAAAACTCATGGCTACATTTTTTGAAGATGCTTGAGCTACTACAACAGAACTACAAAACTAAGGTCAGCAATAACACGTGGACACTTTTCTTGAGGAGCGCATCTTTGAAATACAGCCAGCCAAGTGATGATCTTGAATCAGGGAGATGTTTACTCGTGTGTAGCTGAGGATAAGAAGTGGGCACACAGGTAAAGACACGGAAAGTTCCAACACTGGAGTTTCACAACACCCCCCTCATCCCACCAGACAGTCCAAAACCCCTCCCGATATGTTTGCGTTAGGTGCTCCATCAGCTTAGGTACGAGAAATAGCCGATTAAGTAGGTTTCATTGTTAAAGGGGTTGGGGGGAGGGGGGGCTAGTGAGATTTGGGACTGGTTATAAAGAGGCATCTACTTTGGCTGAGGTACAAGACTGAGGGGCGTATATGATACAGGTTCTCATATGTTGGGGCTGTGAAATGTGATGCCTAGTGTCATTGAGAATTCAGAAGTTACCACAATTAATACATCTTTCCAAGCATTATTTTCTTCAGAAATGTCATTACAAATACATGTCTGGTTAAGATCAGTTTCTAAATGCAGATTTTGTTTTTTAAAAAAAACAGCCCCAACATAAGTACATACACAGTGCAAATGCATATCATTCATGCTTACCATAGCCATCATATCCATCGCGGTAACTTCCTCCTTGGCGATCATATGTATTCTGACCCCTAGAAAAAAAATAAAAATTAGGTATTATTGTCTTGCAATACACAATGAGAAAACTCATCCAGGTAGCTGTTCTCTCATATTCACCTTACCTATTTTCTCTGTATCCTCCACCGTAGGATCCTCCGCCACCTCCACCTCCTCCACTCCTGTATCCGCCGCCACCACTGTTACCACCAAAGCTCCTCTCTCCTCCTCCAAAGCTCCTGTCGCCATAACCCCGGTCATAGCTTCTTTCGTATCCACCACCTTAAAGTGAGGGGGAAAAACATGGACGGCAATTAACTACTCATCCAGCAGTACAGAAATTTGAATGGAGTTAAAGTAGTAGAGAGAGGAATCCCTGAAGCAGACTGACAGTCTTCACCTCTGGAGTAACCTCGCCCACCTCTACCCCTATTACTGCCGAATCGTCCTCCACCGCCACTACCACGTCCGCTTGAAAATCCTCCTCTGGGGCGCCCGCTCTTTCCAGCTGCATCCACGCGGATCGTCCGGCCATCAATCACCTGCAACAAGAGGCAACTTTTAATACAAGGCCATACAATTTAATTTACAAGTTAATTTTATTTAAAATTAAATAGTCAAAATATATTTAATATAAAAACAGGCTGATAATTGCTGGGTAGAAGTTACCTTGCCGTCCATTCCTGTCATGGCGTCTTTAGCATCTTCAATGTTGTCGTATTTCACAAACCCGAACCCGCGAGATTTCCCGGTCTCTTTGTCCCTGATCACATCCACTGAGGGGGAGGGGGGGGGGGAGAAAAAAAAACACTATTATGTAGAAAACGCTTCAGCAGTTCATGCAAAACTACATTTGTGAAACTAATCCACTGTACAACATGTAACAGGAAAAGAAAAGGGCGTCAAACCTTTTTCGATGGTTCCATATTTGCTGAAGGCCGCCGCCAGCGCGTCCTCACCGGTATCGAAGTTCAGCCCTCCAACGAATAATTTACCTTCGTCCGACATTTTCAACGTAGCTACAGAAAGAAAGAAAAGAAACCTTAAGTCAAACCTGTAATGCAAAATGAAAAGAAACAATAACGCTGCAGCAGGAAAGTAGGTCACGGGTCAAGTAATTCGCGACGTGAATTGTAGATTTGTAATAATTCCTCCCGAAATTCTCTGAATATCTGTCGTGCATACCGATTGTAACACTTTTATTTTTTTTAAGATGGATATTTCGATAGATTTAATCGACAAAGCGGGCTTCATTCATTGTCTTAACCCGTGCAGTACGAGAGTCGGGCCTCGGGGGCCTACAAACGTGGTTAGCAGATTAGGGTCCCGCTAGCTCCAGTTTTCCTTTCAGCGCCATTTTGTAGCAGGGAGCTCGTGGTCATCCCTTTTGTTTCGATGGTTCAGATGCGGACAGATGACTCCTCTACTCGGTTATATAATGCTTATATAATATACAACTACCATACATTCAGTGTGCTTCTTAAATTCCGCGAAGTTTTTTTTTTGTAAACACATTGCGAAATAAACCAAAAGCGGATCGAATTATTTTAATTACCACCGCAATTAATTATAACGGTTTTTGGTGCGAGCGTTTAAAAGAAGTTGAATACCACATACAAAATAAAAATCTTGCTTGAAAATGATAAGCGGGCGCTGTAATACAAGCTGTAAGAAAACCACATTGTGTAAGAAAGTGAGTGATTTCTTCTTACCTTTCGGCTGGCTGTGGTGCTGCTTGAAGGGAGCTGGGCTGCAGGTCGAATGAGAGAGGAGAGAGAGCGCGCGTCCTTTTTCAACTCGCACTGCGATGACGTCTTCTTCTCTCGGTTCATCTGCGGGACAACACGCAACACGGCGGGCAGTGCTGCCCCCTGCTGTATCTGATCTCCAAATGGTGTGAGCCTATTATAGATAAGAGGGGTTTCCAACCTTTCTTAATCTGAGAGCTACTTTCAGAAAAATTAAAAGTGGCCAAAATAAATTATTTCTACAGTTTACGTCAGATGGATTAAAGCTGCTGTTTGTGCGTGTGTGAAATTGCAATAAGCCAATGCTTATCAATAATCTTAAATTCACATCAATGTCCAAGAAAACATTAGTGCTTCATACTTGTTTTTATAGGCCAAATATTTGAATAGTGGGAAGAGGTGCATTTACCGTCGTCAGATTTTGTTTTGATTTTTTAACACAGTCGGTCAACCTATAGGCGAGCTGCTGAAATCCTGCCTACCAGTAGCTCCCGACTACCTGTTGGGAGACCCCTGTTATAGATGGTTGCCTTTGTTGTTTATTTTCTCTTTGGTTTCAGCTTGTTTTTTTTTCTCTTCTGTTTTGTACACAATTAAAGTACAATTAAAGTGTTTTTTTTTCTGATCCACATGTTTTAACTTGTTCAAACTGTAGGCCTGTTGTTGATGCATGGATGGCAGTTCACTCATATACGACCATATGCAAACTTCACTACTTATCTGTAGTGCATCTTCCTCATGTTACAACTGTTCCAACCTCAGTAGGCTAGATATCATTTATTGTTTATTACCAGAGTATATAGTCTCCTAGGCTATGCATATGTCAGCTAAATATTTACGACAACATTTATATATATATTTCCCATAAACATCCATTTAATGATTTCCCAAAATTAAAACATTTACATTTTTTGTATTATGTGTTTGATATAGAATTATGCCTCATTCACATTATTTTGAGAATGGCAGTAAAAACGTTTACTTTATACAAGTTTCGATAACTATATGTCTGGCATAATATTACTCTACAGCTGTGTACTTCTCATGCACAAGGTGCCACATATCTGATAAGTGTTGTGTCTCTTTGAATAAATTTCATTTTGTGTTTGAAAGAAGCAGAAGTAATAATAAACAGTGAAGACACAGATCTTCACAACAGAAAGTCTTGAAGTTTACAGATAGATGAAGAGGAAAATGTGACTTGTTTCATGTATGAAAAAGGCTTAACACAAACATCTCATTCATTTTCTCTCTTTATTCTTTGCGGTTCTTCCCGTTGCTTATGTGTACATTCAAATATTGCATAAGAGAAACATTTTTTAGGAACTCCCTCTACACCAGGGATGGGCAACTTTGGTCACAGCAAGGGCCACATTAATTTAATTCTCACTGCCAGGGGGCCAAATTGTAGTTTCCAAAAACGATTACAGTCAATTATGTCTCAATTTAACTCAACATATACCAGTAATCAAATATTAATATGGACATATTTCTGGTTTTCATGATTTCATGGCAGATTTTGTCACGTTTTCTTCATGTTTCCAAATAATTGATTTGTCAAAATTGAACTGAGGGCCACGTTGAGGGTTGGCCGCCAGTTGCCCACCCCTGCTCTACACAAAACAAAGCCGTTTACATTCAGGACATGTACGGATAAGGCTTTGGAGTCCATGAAACCTACAGCCAGGTTTCTGTATGGAACACGACGAACAACATGAAAAATGCTACATTATCATTATCAATGACAAAAATGTCCCTGCAGGACTGTCTCAGATAAAGTTACATACTCAGAACATTGACATCACAGAACAGACTCTTGGAGACTTTGGGCTTATTTTCTAAAGAAATGCTCATAGTGTTGAAAAGGTGCCTTAGGTGCCTTGGCCAATCTCCCACTGATTTTGCAAGGTCCAGAGTCAGCTCAGGTTTCAATGATGATACCATCACAGTGGAAGGATCTTTTCTTGAAAGCCAGAGAACTAGAGTTCATGGTGAGGAGGCTAGTATGGGTGAGACGCCTGTGACAGGTATGAGTTCCTGCGAGTCCGCCTGCGAGTCTGCCTCTGTTGCATTAAAAACTGCAGCCGCTGTAGCTTACAGTGCAACGCCTGATTCTCCTGTGTGGGTGAGTGGAGGGGAGGACTCTCTTCATCTACAGGAGAGAAAACCATAATTACATGTCAGACACACTACCTGAAAATAAAGCTCATTTTTACCATGAAATCCAATTTATCATGACGTCTTTTGATAGAAATGTAAAATTTGGATAAAACAGCCTCCACTGTCACTAGTCCGTTATCTGATGACTCAAAATATTATAGTACACACAAAAACCAAAAGAAAAGAAACAAAGACAAATGGAGAAAAAGTGCAGAAAAGTGAAAGCAAAGAAAAAAAAAAAGCAATTTGGAGGTTAAAACATGTTTTAGTAGATCGCCAGTAGAGTTTCAAGGTAAGTTTTAAGACATGATCCTTCACATCTTAAAGGCGTGTGACTAAAACTGTCCCAAATGTTTGGTCAGTGTCATTTAATCCATCTGAAATGTTAGTAATAAGAATGTATGAATGCAATCTTTGATAAGTCTTTATTTTGACTGTTGTTTAAAGCTCACCTGGAGTTTTAGCCAGGTGCCCTTCCCTCTGTGTCTCCAGTGTTTTACTTTTATCTATGCTTTGCTCCTCTGTAGTGAGCACTGGGCTGGCTGGAGGGGTTGAAGCAGCACAATGCAGGTTAGGGCTGGCAGGCGAAGCCCCCTGGTGGTGGAGGGCAGCTCTAAGGAGGTCTTTGAGGATCTGGAGGATGATGGCGATGCCACCTTGAGGTTGGCTGATGCTGCTCTGACTGCAAGGGGCCAGAGTGCCTGTTGGGATTATAGAGGATAAAAAGAAGAATGCATTAACATTAGTTTACAGTAAAAATACTAATAGGTTGAGTGGTTCCAGCTGTTCAAATAACTTTTCTTCATGTGTTTCTTTGTCTTGAGTATTTAACAGGTTTGGATTGAGTAAACGATCTGAATTATTTTCTTGTTTCTTGTGTTTGTTTTTTTTGTTTTTTTTCAATGCATGTTAGTTTTTACTCATTGTATAAAGTTTTTAACATTTTTATTGTTTTTTTTTCCTTTTTGACTACCTTATTCATTTAAGTAAATTCTATGATCTGGCTGCCTCAACACTGCAATTTCCCAGTCTGATTATCACGGTATATCTAAATCTCTATCTCTCAATTGATTCGTCCACAGTGTTACAAACAATTCAAAAACATTTATAGGGAGAAGATGGAAGACAGAAAGTAAAGAATGCAAAGCAGTTGACTCCTTAGAGCAGGGGGACCATGACTTGCTTCTATTGAATTCAATAGGTTTCACACAAACCCCCACCCATTGTGTCTGGGTCCCCCACCCATAATCTCTGCCGAAATTCACACCACTGCAGGGGGGCAGCTGTTCTTCTTTTCATGGAAATGATCGAGATGGCCCTCTCCTTTTCTTTTGGTATATACAAACATTCAGAGACAATCCCCTCTTACACGTCACTGACCAGACATTTCCATAACACTGAATGAAGCATAATGCACCCCGCCCCTCTCTACAGCATGTCAACCACTGCTGGGACATCACCCACTGCATCCAAAAAACCCAACACTTACCCCGCCCTTACCCCCAGCCAGGTGAAACAGGAGATCACTAGGCTCCCAATAAACAAAGATAGTGGGCCAGACAACATCAATACCTCTCCAATAAATGATATATCTCAGCTTTACATTTTTTTTTAGTTTTCCTGGGCAAAAGATGTACAGCAGTGATGCTCAACCCATTTGGAACTAGTTGTGACTCTTTCAGGTCCTACTTGGAAAAATTTGGAAAAGTAATTATTTAGAAAAGGGAAACATTCTTTGCAAGTCATGTCACTGTGTTTCCCATGCATCTTTTAGGGAAGAAACAGTTTTTTGATTGTGGCTCTTGCAGAAATATTTTTTTTGTCATTGTGGCTCTTAAGTATAATGAAGCTGATAACCACTGATGTACAGTATTAAGTCCCTGGTACATGGTCCTTTTTTGGTACACAAGGATGCAATGGGTATTGGTCAATCATATCGCATGGCATGACTTGCTGCAAAACCAGCGTTCTGTCTGGGAAATCTGAACCAACCCATTTTTTTAATAGCAAAACCATCAACAATGGTGAACTGAATTTGATACTCAATTTTTCATGTGCATGTTTTCCACTGTTTTTGTGTTGATGTTGTGTAGAAGATTTTGTAGAATCAGTTTTGTATTTCTGTTATTCTGAGTATTAATTACGGAGCACACACACTAGTCAAACATACTGGACTTTAGGGGTGAATCGGCTTGGGCATGATATGGTTTGCCTAGTGTGAGTGCGCCCTCATGCAAAACACCGAACTTCAAACGATGTATTAAAGCCTCTATACAATCTTTTGTTGAGGTTCAGGATTGTGAGTTAAGCATGCAAGGAAGTATCGGTCGCACAGTGACTGAAGGCCTGTAAACTATGATTCAGTAAAGACCTCTGAGTCTGGTTCTACCTGAATTCTCTACTAATGGTTTTCCAGGACCCTCTTCTGCAGTTTGAATATAAGCAACATATGTGGAGGATGATATCTTTTTCCTGACACACAAGACCTTCTCATGCCTGTAGAAGTGAGTGATTACTGAGGGTTGTCTTCTCTCGACTCCTCAACTTTTTAACAACACCCAGCCCTGCCTCCAGGAGGGAGGCTTATTGCTGCTCCCCTACACAATAGGTCCTACAATACCTAACCGGGCAGCTGATAAAGAACTAAAGCTCAACATCAGCTAGACCAAAGACCTAGTGGTGGATGTAGTGGGGACATTGGGATGAAAATCAATTAAAATACTGGCCAGGTAAAACAACCCTAAAGGCCTCCTAGTTAGTCAGTAGTTTGCAAAGTCAATTCTCTGATCTTTGCTGTGGTGGTAACAAGCTGGTAAAAAGGCCACTAGGTGTAGCTCAGAGTAAAACCAGGCAGCTTGGTGTTAGTGGGTAAGAGGAGGACAAGGATATTATCAAAGCCTTCATAGTTTACAACTCTTCCCCTATAAAGCAAGTGTCATTTTATAAATATTTGGATGTAACAATCGACCATTCATTTTTCTGAAAAGACCACATCGAACATATACTGTATGCAAAAAGACAAAAAAAAGAATGTATTTCCCCTGCCGACTGAGATCGTGGCGAGTCGACAAATTCTTGTTTTATTTTCTACATCTGTGATTCTCAGTGACCTACAGTATTATAACACCTCATGGTATAGGCCTATGTCTGTCCACCAATGAAAAACAGGCTCAAAATTGTAGGCCAACCACTACAGAGACTCCATGAATCAGCTCACAAGAAGTGTTAAAGGGATACTTCACCCATTTGCATTAAGCTTTGTATAATTAGAAACCTGGTAGTATTTTTGAATGGTCGTGCATCCCGCCCTCATTTTCCCCTGAGATGGGAAATCTTTGTATTTCTGAGTCTGAAAAGGAGTTTCCAGTGATGCAAAATGACAATTTTTGCGTCACTGGAAGCTGTTGCGGTTAGCGGGGTGTAACTACAACGCTAGTTCCTCATATTTTCGACCACTGAAGCTACAGACCAATCACAGATCAGTGGGTGGGAACTCACTCCCAGTCCGCCATATTGCTTGGAAGCTATGGCTCTATGGAGAAAGCTGATAATGGCGGAAAAATATAAATATAGCGGCGAGATGGCTGCTGCCGACAGGCCGGTCTTGTGTTTTGGCTGCTGCGGCCGCGGGGAGCCCGGCCTGTTGGCAGCAACCGTCGTGCGGCTATATTGATATACTGCCGCCGCCGACCGCTGCCAGCTCAGCAGCAGAGACATAATGCCTGCCTGTCGGCGGCGGTGAGGACGAGGAGCCGGGGCCGGCTCGGGTTGGGGCGGACTGGTAGTGTCGGTGCTCTCATTGTTTGACTATGGACACAGACATAGACTCTGTTTTCTGCCAGGAATTTCCAAGATCAATTCTGGAAGAAATCTCTGAATCAGTTGAGGAAATGGTCTTATGTGTTGAAGTAAATATGTCTGTAAATGTTTTTATTACTATATTTCAACTGCTATATTGTATATTTTGGAGAAACTGGATCGATCGAATTTCCCTCTGGATTAATAAAGTATTTCTGATTCTGAACTAGAAGAACTTAGTGGGAGTGGCCTGCGGTGCTCTACATTCTGGGATTTGGTGTCTTTCATCCACATGACCCAAAAAGACACTTTCTGCCTTTTCACGGCCAAGAAGGCACCAACTTCAAAATTTATTTCACATTTCTACTACAAATATGACTCAATGGCAATACAGATTCATGTTTCAACGGGTGAAGTATCCCTTTAGGGCTGGCTTACAGCATTGTCTATGACCCTATAACCACACACCCTGAACAATGAACTTAAACTATTAGCATTAAATCTGAGAAACAGGGTCCCAGGTTCAAATAAGTAAACTTGAATATGGTAAATGGCCTTGAGCTTGTATAGCACTTTTTCTAGTCTCCTCTCCCGACTACTCAAAGCACTTTTACACTGTATGTCACACCCACCCATGCACACACTGATGGTAGTGGTCAATACATCATCCATCAGAAGTAACTAATCACATTCATACACCACCACAACTTGGGGATCGAACCCTCGACCTTCCGGTTGAGAGGCGACGACTCTACCAACTGACCCAATGGTTCTCATACTGCTTCTTCTTGTTATTTTTCATGTTTACTTTTTCTTTTAACCTGTAAGTTTATCTTCCCTTGTGCTACTTTTAGAACTGAAGTACCCCTTGTAACAATAAAGGTTTATTGATTCATTGTCAACTATACATTTTTGTGCTCTTATTATGCCGTTACATCATATTCAGCACATGCTGTTATCATACTTACCAGAAAAAGTCCCAGAGAAGACACCAGGAGAGTGGCTCACAAAACTTTCGATTACTGCTCCTGGCTGCTTGCACAGCTCAGGAGTAGCATGATCTTGAGTATTACCCTGTAAAGCAATCAGTAAGTATTACTATGACATGAAAATACAATCACGGAGAAATGTATAGTGCAGTAGAACTTGCAAGGCTGACCTCATTGAAGGTAGAAGCCGGTGCTGGACTTGGGGGTCCAGGATCAGAGCCAGTTGGAGCAGGTGAACAGACTGGTGTGGCTGCTTGTAGCGGAGATCTGGGATGCAAAAATTGGGTTGAAGATGTGCGAGGTGTTTGGGGAGGAAAGGACTGATGCGGAAATGCACCCTGGTGGCAGTTTGTCAAAGGAAGGGATGAGCAGGAGGGGCTGGCTGTTGAGTGAAATGAAGTCCTGCTTCTTTCAGAGTTTAAATGGATCGTGGATTTAGAGTCAGAAGCAGGTGGGGTAGAGGATCCTGCAGTGTTGGTGGAGCAGTTGGTGGAGCAGCAGGAGGATGAAGAGTCAAGACGGCTCATTCTGGCCGCAGCAGGCAAGCCAGTTTGAAGGTCTCTCCTGCTACCGACTCTTAAGTCCTGGTGGAGTTGCTGATGCTGCTGCAGCTCGGCCACGTTCTGTGCAGAAAGCTGCAGCTGCACATACATCACATGTGCACCAACGCCAAGGTTTAGGTTCAGAGGTGAGCGCCCGGACAGGAAGTCGCTGATCTGAAGTGCAGTCAGGAGAGAAACACGTCACAGGGAAATTTACAATTCAGTCCAGTGTAGTTTGGCAACACCCCTGGTTACCATGGTAACAGCAGGTGCCGTTTAACTTTACAACACTAACACACATGCAGCTTTTTTTTCTACTTTAAGAAAGATAACTGAAGCAAAAGAGTGTATCTGTTTCCAGTTCAGAAAAATAACCCTTGTTGTTTTATTAAACATGGAAATCATGATGATTTATTGGATTACATATTTTCCCTGCGCATTACTGAAAGTCTCAATGAAAAATGTGTTTGCACGTGTGTGAGAAGCTACATGACTGTCAGCCAACAGAAGTAGAGAAGTAAAGGACACGATGCAATCATCTTTGCATGTGTTTACATATTTTGTGAAAGCCTTATGACTAAAGTGAGTAGGTTTTTAAATTATCACTACAGCTAAACTATAGGCTATAGGCTACTTTGTAATTGTCAAATGAAAGTATGTAAGTCAGTTCCCCCCCCCCCCCTAAGGGTTTTTCTTTCGTTGATTTAGTCATTCTGTGTCATCTTTGAAAAATGACGACATAAAAAAACCCAAGTTCATCTGAGCGAGACATTGGTAGCTGAATTTCAGAGGACATCGGTGAGATGGTGAAAAATATAAAAACGTGGAGTGTTAAAGGGTGTATTCACCTTATTTGTGCTTGCATACAACAGGTGGCAATTCAAGTGAACTTAACTCTTACCTGGGCTTCTGTTAAGCTTTCCAAAACGTCCATGATACCTCTCTCTGCTTTGGCAGTTGAGCACTGTGACAGCAAAAATAAAAGTACTTAACATCACATTAATGTGTGAATGGAAATGTGTATTTTCTCCCCAGTGTAAGATGGTCTTACTTACTGCTATTCCTGCCTCAACTACAGGGACCAGGGTCAGTTTGCTGCCATCTGTTACACCCAGGTCCAACAGCTTACCTGCAGTCAGCTGACTGAAACATATTCATCATTAAGTCAGGACATTTAAATAAAGACATTTTTTTTTTTTTATTACATAGGCTACTTCATGCTGATGATATCAACCAAAGCATCAATGTAAAAACAACCTCACCTGTCTTTATGGAGCAGGACGATTCTGTCTGTTTGCATTCTGAGTTTGTTGGAGATGTGAGTCCTCAATCCCTCCACAGTTTCTCCTCGGGGAACAGTCAGCTCCACTGGACTGCCGGTGGTCGAGGTGATGGTCAAACGCATGTTTGGCGAACTGGTAGAGCTCCCAGACCCGCAGCATGGAGACCTGCCCGGAGTAAAGCTACAGAGACCCCGCTGCTGCTGCTCCATACAGCTGAATTTTTATGAAAAGCCCAAATTCAAACCTGTTTCTGGTCGCAAGATTAAACGAAGACGAGGGGCAAGAATGAGTGTTTTTCTTTTTTATTACAGCTTCTCGTTCCTCATTGGACAGTGAGAAACAACTGTCAAAATATACACTTGAGCGCACGCTATAGATCCTTTTTACGACGGTGACCCGCGCAGCACTACTCCACCGAGTGTAAAGCACCACATCCCTGTCAGTGTAAGCCCCGCCCACATATACGCACAGCCAATAAGCGACATCCCCAACACCGGGCAGCCATTACTGTCTAATCAAAACGCCTGTTATCTCACATGGCGCCTCCCAGTTTTGTTCCTCACTCGCCATTCATAAATGATGCAATCTGCTCAGCTCCATAACGTTGTGTACAGGCTGTCATCATGCCAACATCCCTTATTGATCAACAGGATGGCACATCGTTATCGATAAAAGGCTGTAGCAATTATTAATCACATAATCGAAACCTGTCCTGATAAATACGGAAGTTTGCTCTGCCCTAACTGACTCATAGTCTACACAACAAATAAATTGTGCTATGCTGATCACGACAGTCTTTTTAAAACAAAGGGGTTTTCACATTAGTCTATATTTTATACTGTATTAAGAAACTCCATTCAACCACTTACCTACCTGAGCTCAAGCATCAGACTTACTAAACAACTGCCCTGGACAGGAGCTTAAGAGTCTAAAATAACCTTTATTTATTGCAGTTCTTAATAAAATATATATATATTTTTGGATTGATTACAATTGTTTATCAGTCATGAAAGATTGAGACAGACATGACTAACAGACTGCAGCTATCAGAAACAAATATGTGTGGTGTCTTAAAAATGCATCACATACATACAAATATATAAAAAATACATTCTTCCATATTTATGACATTTGTAACTATAAAACAGTCAAACAATGACAATAAATAAGAGTCTGTAATTAGGGAAGAATAGTCCAGTCATTTCCCATTTTTTCCTTATTTTCAAGGTCACCTGCGTGCTGACAGCTGCCCAGCACACTCTGTCCTGAATGCTTAGAACACCCTGACCAGTCCATCACATGCACGTTTATTGCCACTGTATAGTTTTCCTGTCCAGCCAGTGGGAGGACACCTTCACAGGCAGTATGTATCCTTTATATTCTGCAGTCTTTGTCCCTCTCGGCTGTTTAGTATTCTTGTCGCTCCTCTCATGGTCTGCAGTGGGGCCTCAGGCTGCACCTGTCACATGATGCTCAGTGGAGAGGAGCAGCTTGGAGTAAAGTGACGTAGGGTGCCGGGGCGGGCGGAGAAATGCAGCTAATGTGAGTCTCCACATGCTGGCTAATAATAGCTACACCCACAACACCCCCACTTTATCCAGTCTGCGTCACTCCACTCCGAAATCACCCACCTCCCTTCCTTACCCCTCCCCCACACTCACTCCTCTCCACACTCTCCTAAATGCAGAAATGGTGGGCTCATTGTTCATTTTTTCCATCTTTAAGCAAAAACAAAACAAAACCCTGCAGTACAATCTATCGCCTCCTTTTCTGGGCTGTTAAACATTGCATGGATGTTTTTTGTAGAGTAAAATCATGGATTTGGCTCTTACTCTTCATTGCTAACATGATTTATAGACATATGAGAGCTACATTTGAGATAAGTGGAGTAATTACAAGCAGTGGAATATATTTAAAAGCTCAATTTTTTTCTAATCTTTGTTGAACTTCATTGATATTCAAAAGAAAACTCACACTTATCGCTCCCTTTTTTTCTAAATTAACCAAATGAACTTATTGTCCCTGAGAGATTTTGATGGAGATCTTGTCCTCCCAAGGTGTTCTAAACCCTCTCTCCTCCCCTCCATATTATGGCATATCCCGCCTACGTTTTACAAAGCTGAGCTAGACGGGAGAGGTTGCTGCTTTACATTCTTCAAGCCTCGCTGAGAACAATTCAACAGGATGTCCTGCTCTCCAGAACGAGCACAGACGCAGCTCTGACGTCAACAAGTACAGAAACACCCACACACACACACACACACACACACACACACACCCACACACACACACACACACACAGAGAGCCACATTCTTCCTACCCCTTTACGGCCTCTCCTGGCATCATTTCCCAGATGTTTCAATATTCTGGTATGTCACACATTAGTGTACCTGGCATTTCAGTCATAAAAATATTTGCATGTATGGAATCAGTGCTAAATATGTCAACCAAAATCTCAATTATAGACTGAGATCATCATCAAATGGCTGATGTGTTGTCTGAAAATAAAGGAACACAGATGGAGGAGAGCATTTGGGTCGTTATCTCAGATATATTATTTTGCATCCTTCTAAATTCTGAGTGAAATGCGTCAAAATAATTTTTAATCATGGTCTGACGTTTAACCATCTGTCCCCTCATTAATTAAAATAAATAACTCCCCCCAAAATATTCCTTTTCCCCCTCATATTGTGTTTATTTTTATTTGGGAGAGGTTTTATATTGTAGAACTGCGTCATGGAATAGCCCTGTATGCCCAATTATGAATAGATTCATGCTGTTCCCTGCTTGGGCATTTCAACCTTCAACTCAAGAGGTCATTTATTAGGCCTTAAATACAGCAAAGGGATATTTTTTCAGTTAAACAACTACGATTGCAGATAATTAATCTGGATTACCCCAGACAACGTACCTCAGACAAAGTTCATGTTTTCTAAGGAATGCTTTTTATTATTCTTTTTTCTTCTTCACATTTTGCAAAAAGCAGGCAAGTTTGGAACATTTTGATGCAGGAATGTTACATGTTGGAGCGTGTGAACAAACCATGGTATGCATAGTATTTGAAATTCAAAACAGTAATCTGTCTCTTAAAAGTCCCTATTCTGAATTTGATTCTGAAACCTTTCTCACAGTTCAATGATGAAACAAAGATTAGGAAAGCATTTCAGTGAACTCCACTGATTGAGCACTGCACTTGTGTAACATTATCAGACTTATGATGAACAATAAATATCAAAATAATTGCAGTAGAACTACATTTTTATTTTATTCCATGCGTTTTTCTTATTCGTCAAAGCCTGGCGCCTACATCACCCAGACTGCAACTCGATCACTACTGTTCTCAGATCTGGATTAGAAGTCACTGTACTAAATGATCAGAGGTTTTTATAAAGCTTTCAGTCTTCAGCACTCTGTTCTCTCTGAGCTACAAAATGGTTTATTCAACTTAACTCACACACATATTACTTTCTCCAGGACCTGTCAATCAGTGGAATTTATGAAAAAAACAACAACTGATGGGCCTATATGTAATATTCAAACACTGTCTGTTAACATTTCAAGGTAATTGAATAATTTCTTTTTGCCCTGCAGCAAAAAATGATGAAATACTGTAGTTCTTCTGGGTATGCCGAGATGATCTGATAAATGATTGATGTTAAACTCAAGAGAGAACAGAAACCTGGCACTCCCGATAAGGAAAGAAAATAAGTTGGTCATCACACATGGAATAGTTATGACATGGAATTAAGAAAGTGTAGTTCACTTTCCAGATTTAAATTTTTGTTTAAAAAAAAAATGGTGTTTATATAAAATGTTGGTTTGATTATTTTTTTGTGTGTGACTTCTGTTTTGTTTTTGTTTGTGTCATTTGTTTTGTTTTGAAAAAATTGTTTGGATATATTTTGTTCTGATATGTTCTGTTTTTTTTGTAAACAAACTAGCAGTGCCTTAAATAATAAGACTTTTAAGGTTTACAGTTTTTCTCGGTCGCTTTGGTACATTTCTCAGATCAGAATTGAAATTCAAAAAACTACTTGTTCAAGCTTCACATCATTGTGTCACTTGTGCACATCAAAAATGCAGTTTCTCATTTCTTTGAACAAGTTGCAAATGCTGTCTGCTGTTTCCTACATTATCAATTGCTTATGTCATTTTGATCAAAATGTATTATAATGGGTCTCTGTTGAATAGTCTCACCCCCCACAACATTTAGGCATTAGTTCATCGCATAAGTCTTTACATGCAAAATGGTTGAACAAGTTGTCATAATATTTCAAGCATATTTCTATACATTTCCATTAGACTTTTTTTCTAAATCTGTCCTGAATTAGTAAATTGCTCCCAGGTGAATCTTGACTTTCTCTAACAAAGGGAAATGTGTGAAGCATTAGATCAACCAATGATCAACCAGTTTTCTGGTTGCATCTCATGAACCATCAACTGGCAAGTATATATATAGCCGGAGCACAACACAATGTTACAATGTCTGACAATGGAAGGACAAGGAATTGGACGGGGTCAACAACCAGAAGAAAAAGAAGAGGAAGAGGAGTGAGGCTGTGTGGCGGAGGAGCTGGGAGGCAAAACAGAGGAAGAGGCAGAAGAGGCCGAGGACATATGCGCGTTCCTGATGAGATACGAGCCACACCTGTAGACCACGTTGTCAATCACGGGCTTACAATGGCCGAGGCTGGTCGAAGGGTGAACAACTGGAAATACTGGAAAGTATATGATCGCCAGCCACATACACAGATGACCCTTCTGGCTGCCATGGATGCAGCGTGTGATGACATCACAGCAGAGGCCTGCATTTCTACTTTGTTTTTTTCTTTGTGCTATGCAGTGCTGTCTTTTCCTTTCTGTATCGCAATGACATGGTCTGTCAACAAATTACAGTACAAACAGTAAAAGTGTAAATGTGAATCTTGTCCAGTCTCTTGCAATCAATCTCCCACATACACTAAGGTGTAACTTACAATTTACAATAGCCAATTTAGCCATAGTTTGTATCAGAACACCCCTCCAGAGTACACTGTTATATTGACAACATGACTTAGCAATTTGACTGTCTTATCCGTACACAATGACACAAGGACTTGTCATTCTGATGGCACTGACATGTTCATTGACACAGATATTCACTTTTGAGAGATGAACTAAGGATTTTGAGCAAGACACTGGCTTTTGCAGGTGATCCATGGTGTTTTGCTATTTGTACGAATTGTTTTGAGAAATGCACTTACAGTTTTGCAAATGTCGAGGATGATTCGAGAAATGTACCAAAGCGACTGAGAAAAACTGTAATAAGCTAAAGCTTCAGCCAACACATTTTCAGTCAAAATGTTCTCCTTGTTTTTCTTGAATGCGCATGCCTTTGTACATTTTTGTATTTTTATTCTAGCATTTCTACGCATTTCCTAATGGAAAACTGTATATGTTGACTGACTAAATTACTACTACTACATATGAATGGATTATGTAATGGGCTAATCAGACACAGGTCCAGCTGCCCCGGGTACCAGAGCATCTACTTAAAGGGACTGTAAACATTTGTTGTTGGAAAGTCAGTAAAGCAACACAAAGTGAGAGCAAGAGAAAAGAGCAAAGATGGGCAAAACTGACACTCAAGCGACTACAAAGTGACATGAAACAGCAATAAAGAAACTTAAAAAGACACACAAAATATGCAGGGAGATACACAACAAACTATATTCAAGGATTAACTACCGAAAAGAGAAACAAAATGCTGAACTACACAACAAGCAAGTCTTTCTCCCATGAGAGGGTCAGCTGACTTTAAAAGTCTGTGCCAAAGGGCCATTTGCCTTACTTTCCTCCTTGTTCAGTGTAAAATTCAAGAAAACATAGCAAGCAAATCACATCTTTGGTTTAAACTGACATAAAACTAGAGATGTATTTCTCCGTAAGAAAATAAGTGTTTGAAAACAATCTTGAAAGAGTAAACGGTCTATTTTTCCAGCTATATTTTCTATTCAGCCCAAGTTATTAAAAATAAAGTTGAACATTTTTGTTCCATTAGGGTGCTTATTGTGATGTTTAGACAAAACTAGACATGTTTATTATATGCACAGTAGTCCTATCATACATGTTACCCTTAACAAATAGCTTTGTATGTTTATAGATGAGATGAAGTAGACTTTGAACACAGTCTTCTATTGTCTTAACCTGGTGGAAAAAGAGACAAAGGAGCTACATGTTTCAAAATGTCCTGGAATGTAATATGCGTAGCCTGAGAAGTTTATACACCAACACAGTAAAGGGAACATGAGGTCACATTCCTGAAACAACAGCATCTCATCTGCATGTCTAAAAAAAAAACCCGAGGCCTCACAAAAATACAAACAGTCAGACCATACTTTGTCATACTTTCTGTAATCTTACAGGCACCGACTACAGACAGACAGACAGACAGACAGACAGACAGACAGACAGATAGACAGACAGACAGACATACAGACGGATAGACAGACAGATAGACAGACAGACAGACAGACAGACAGACAGACAGACGGATAGACAGACAGACAGACGGATAGACAGACAGACAGACAGACAGACAGACGGTCTGGGCTAAATCTTCTAAAAAAACTTCCACCCCAAAACATTTCAAATGAAAAACCGACGGAGCAATGGTGCCCCCATGTGGTGAAAAGTGAGATTACAAAAACGACCACAGTAGATCTGTGTTCAGTCGAGTCTTACATCAGGTAAATAGTAAATACAGGAATATAAAGAAAAAACATCAGGATGTCTAAGCTAGCCTATATCTATAAACACAAATGAAATAATAGTTATTAACTAGCCTAATAAATAATATAGACAACAAATCAGGCGGGTCAGCTGCCGCCATTCATGAGCACGTCGCTGTGACAGAGGACGGATTTTCTCCTCCATCTCACATCATCACATACACCACCATCATCAGCGCAGGTCACGTGGTGTGTCGGGAGCGGGCGGTGGGTGTGTCTGTGGTTTCATTCATAACTACAGTCTTCATTCGAAGCTAAAATAAAGTATGCAGAGGGGGCAGGCTGCCTGTGGAGCGCCGCTTCTCACGGACTTTTCACCCGGGTAAGTCCAATCTTGTATCCCGATCACATCAGGACCAGTCCGCGGACACCGCACGTGTGAAATGTGTCACTATTTCATTATGTAAGATGTTGGGATACATGGCTTGAGTGTGGGATGTTTGTTTAACGGGCAGTGGAGTCCGGGCTGTGTGACTGATCGTGGTTTGTTCCCCGCAGACTGAGAGCACACGACGCAGAGATGTGGGATAGCTGTGATCGGAGGGTTTTCGGAGGAGAGGGGAAGATGCTGCTGATGTTGATGATGCTGAGGCTGCTCCTGCTGCCGCGCTCCGCTGGCTGCAGCGGGTCTCTGTAGTCCGTCTGCACGGAGCCTCAACACCGCCTGTATACACCGTAAGATCTTGCACATCTGGACACCGTCACCATCCAGCCCCCACCCCTCCCTTACTCAATATACTGGTGCTGCTTGAACATCCTAAAAATCTTTGCAGACCGCTAACTAGAAAGTATCTCTGTGGATATCTGTCTGTCTGCCAGATGTGGCGACTGTCTGTGGTTAGTGCGAGAGATGATGTGAGGATTTAACACGCACACTCGCGCACGCATAGCCTGCACTCAAGATTTTTGTTGTCTCGGTGTTTGTTTGTGTGATGTGCGCATGTTTGTGTGTGTGGGCATTTTGTTTACTTGTGATAAACGAAACATGCTGAAGCTAAGAAGTTTATAATTAAAAGTAGACAATGATAGAATAATAACAATAAAGATAAGAAGGGGGTGGCAGAGAATGACAAAAAGAAGAATTGTCAGAGAAGAAAAAGATGAAGAGAAGTCTGCACTCATCAACTTTAACTGTGTTAATTGTGCAGAAACTCTTACTCTGGGTAATTGATACAGAATTCAACTAAATAAATAACATAATGTAAATATACAACAAATATGTTTTATTGTTAAGATACTAATAAAGTTACGAACAATAAATGCATGCCACAAATGGAATTTGTAACCATTAAACATCAATGGATATCCCTTTATTTCTTATATAGCCTTAAAGGTAAAAAAAAAATTAATCGACATCAAATGAAAATGTAACTTTAAGTTAACTATGTGTTATAATGTTCACACAGTGGAATATTTGGCTTCACGTCGTTATTTTACATTAAAATATTTTTTTTTCCCCCAAAATCCAGCCCAGGGTTTGAGTCCGACCTGTGGCTCCGTTCTCGCATGTCGTTCCCCACTCTCTCTCTCTCTGGTTTTCGACTCTGTCCACTGTCCTATCTCTACAATAAAGACACAAAAAGCCCCAAAATGAAAAGCATCCCCCGTGGATCAACAAAGTTAATTAAGTGTGTGTGAGTCAGAAAATGGCTAGGCTAAACCAGGAGTATTAGAAGGTAACAAAAAGTGAGAGGATTTGTCTGACTGAAAGAACATACCGGATGATCTTCACCTTCTGCTCAAATATGGGGACGGACAAAATAGACAATTCTGGAAGTCAGTAAATAAAGTAATTGATAAATGAGTAGAAGCTTCCCTGTTATCCAGGCTGTGAGCTTAAAGAAAAGGAAAAGAGAATTACACAAGGACGCCTTTGAGACCTTGAACGATAAAATGGAGAAGACGATTTAATCATTAAATTCCTCCACGAGGTGGCTTTAAACCATTTTGTCATTTAAAAAAAGGTATCTTAATCAGGTCTGTAATGAAAGAGATAGAAAAACTGAATCTAAAGCTCAGAAATCACAGCGTTTTTAAAATTCAGGTTAATCTTCACTTAAATTCTTGTTTATCATGATAATAAAAGTAAAATAAATTAAAAAGCCTATATAAAACATGCGTTTCTAGGAGACACATATCTTCAATTCTTAAATTTGCAAAAGGTTAATGTGTAAAAAAACAACCAGATATACTGTATATTGTTTAGGATGGTGTCAGTGTGTGTGCTAGTGTGTGTGTGTGTATCTATTGTTGGGATGTTCTTGCTATTCAGTGCTCCGTCCTATTCATAGTTACCTTGAGCCATTAAATGTACGAGTTGTTACATAAAACATGACTCTCACATGGTGAGTGAGTGTGCGGCAGGGTTTGTGTGTGCGTGTGTGTGCGTGTGTAAGGTATGCAGTCATGGACCGATGTTACACAAGCTGCTCTCTGTGTAAATAATCATGTACTCTCGACTCCTCTGCTTTCTGTTTATTTTATCACACATCTGACAGAGTCTAATTTACAGACAGGCTTGGAGTCTACAGATTGAGAGCTGCATGTCATCGGACTCTTGGTTATTGTGTTGTATGGTTCACCCTGCAGGAGATGATGGTGAACCTTAAGACACGTCATAGTTGAACACACAGGACTGAATCAAGATAACAACTCGCTTTGTCACTTTGGGGCATAACACAAGTTTAAAGTGTCATTTGGAATAATTTGTGTTCCTGGGAGAGCTTTGAGAATTGATGTCATTATATTTAGGTTTAGTTTGGAATGATGATGTTAAAATAGTAAAAAAGGCATTGTTACAAACTGAGTTTAAACACAAGTATGGAACATTTTATGAAGGACACTGCCAAATGACATGTTTGAGACTAAATGCCATGACATTTTACACTTAGCTGTTCTGATTTTGGCCGATCATTCTTTCTTTTTCTCATGGGTCACCCAGAGTTATGGATAAAAATATGTTATATCCTGATTGGCCACAGTCAGGTCTGTATCCTGAATGAGGCCACTAGTTGAAACACTCCGAGAGAAACCCCAACGCCAAGTATTCTTTTAGGCATGAAATATTTTCTAAATCATCTTTTAAGGAGAGACTCTTAATCCCCATTTCTTTTTTCTTCGGTATGAATTTAGAAGATAATGACTTTAAACAATATAAACAAATACAGCCTAATTTATTCATAAACTTCAAACTTAAATTCCTCTTCAGGTGATACTCAAACTCTTACTGACGATTTGACTTCAGTGTCTTGAATCAGCAAAAGGCAGGCGGCTACTTAATGTGTAGGATGTGCTTTAGTGCCTGTGATTCATACCCCAAAGTCCTCACATAATGGCAACAAGAGGGTTACAATCCAATAAACAAGTGCTTCTAGATCCTTCTGTACTGTGAACACATGCACCCCCGACACTCTTTGAAGAAGCTGAGTAAAAATGGTGGAACTAAGTCATAAAACAACTACAGTTCAGTATTCATTGACATAAAGGAAAATGTCACCAGGTGTGCTTTAACTTGTGTTTAAGCAACAGTGGAGATTTACAACACAGCTTGGTCTTCAAAACAACATTTGATTTGATATTTCCTGTGATTCCTTGAAAATAAGAAAAAAGAAATGGAACATCACCTTTTAATATAAAAAGCCACAGCTCCATCGAACTTCACTTCTTCCGTCCTCTGCAGTGTTCACTCACGCTGACCTGGACCATGAGCGATGAGTCGCCTGTTCTGACAAGTCTGACCGACAACTCCACCGTGAGTATGGCTGTGTACACACACACACACACACACACGCACATACACACAGCTTTCACATTACCTAACACATCAAACTGAACCTGAATCGACCAATCAGCAGCCTGAAAAAACAACACCACTCACAGGTATTATATCCCAGGTGTGTAGGACAACCTGATCCGTATCCAAAGAGGATTGGACGGAGAAACAAGACCGTTTGTGCTGCTATCTTTGTGTGTAATGCAGTCTCTGGAGAAATTGATTATCGGACAGTTAAAGCTGCCTGTGTAAAGGGGGTCTGACAGTCGTTTGCCTCCACAGTGTGAGTTAGCAATATGGCTCTCAATTGATTGATTTGTGTTGTTCTTGTAAGACTGAGCATTTTAAAACAGAAGATTTCCACAAGCTGAAGGAACTCACAAACTGTGTGCGAGTGCTGCTTGTTCTTCTTCGGTTGTTCCTCTTCAAAATAAGCTCTTTTACCTGCTCATATGTAAAGTGTCTTGAGATAACATTTGTCATGAATTGGTGCTATACAAATCCAGATTGATTGATTAACTGCTGCTGAACACACATGTGGATGTATCAATATGTGCATCATTGTTCTGTTATTTTCATAGCTTCAAACACATTATACAGTCTTTCCCCATAAACTTCATATGAATGAGGCCATGACAGCATCTAATTATTGTGAAAATATTCTCCACGTGTGCCTGTTTGTGTGTGTTGAGACCTAGTTTTACATGTTCTGGCCTGAAGCAGGTTTGAGGTTGAATGAAAAAGGGGGAAAATACTTTTACAGTCATTCTGACATACACAGTCGTCAGCCTTTTCTTGCTGTACCTCTCCTTTGCTGTTAGATTGAGTTTAGGATTGAAGTTGACATGGATTGATTGTTGCTTTTTCTTAAGAAACTAGCTCGGCCATTTACACTGACTGCAGAGTCAACATAAAAACAGCTGTTCTGGCTCTCTGTGAGACACATCCTCCGCTTTATAAAATACACCGTTATTGGATGGATGGCAAGAAATTCATCTGCAGCTATTTTGACTATATTGATCTTTTTTTAAATTGTTTTTAGATTTTTGGGAGCTGAAGACAAGACAAGAGTGTTTTGGACAAAGTGATCAATTGGGAAGATTCATGAGTAGATCAATTCATAATGATTTCTCATGGGATGAAACCTGAATGTCTGTACCTGCAGTCAGCAGCAGATTTGACCTTGTTGCTCCCCCTGTTAAGTTGACGTTCATCTTAAGGTCAGTCTGCGCTCTATAAGAAGCTTCCCCACCTCTTTGCTTTCTCTGACGTCGTTCAACCTTTTAACATTTTATAATGCTCATGATGCAATGGAAGAGTTTTCCATCTATGCATTAAAAAAAGCCCAATTATTTTCCGCTCTCTTTTGATACGGACATCGGAAGAAGAGCCAGGATAGTCTTGTGTGGGGATTGCTCATTTGCGTCTGCGTCCGCCTCCTCCAAATTTTCCATTTTTAGCCTACAGAGGCCTCATTTCAATCTCATTGAGAAGAGCTTGGAAATTGAATTAAGGGTCTCGCTGACGTTTCGATTAGCATCCCCAAGCTCTCTCAGCCAAGACTGAGAGTATTAATCAGAGAGAGTAGCAGTCTCTGTGTATGTGCGTGTAAGCAGGCAGGGTCTATATGAGTGTGTGTGGATAAGAATCACTGTGAGGAGTGGTGATTTAAGAAAGTCTTTCAGTGCTAATTCCACCACTTATTAAATATAACGGCGCTTATCTGGCAGCGTAATGTGACAATGACATTCCTCATTGCTGCAGAGCTCAAAGGGGAAATAATCCATTACTGAAGCAGCAGGTCTGATGTAGCGGTTGAGCTCACAACAACAACAACACATCACAACACATCACAACACATGTGTGATTCAGACTTACTCTGTTTGTAGCGGAATGAGTTAGGATTCCAAACCATACCATTTAAACACCATGATATGGACATTTAATGGATGCAGCTCAAACAGAGTAAAGTTAGAGCCTGGGTTGAGTTATTATTGGGTTTAAGTACTTATTTTAGCAGGGACATAGTGAATATTTTCTGTACATTTTTCAATTTCTAATGCTAGCAGTATTAACAGGGAAGAGTTTGTTCTTGTTTTATCAGTTGACTGGGGATTTGGGTGAAGGGACTTTCTTAATTGGACAAATGGTTTCTTAAAGAAGTTTTTTTTTGCTACGTATTTCTTTAGTGAGTACAGAGAGCAGTGAGAGTAAAGGACAGATATCAGGGCATTTTTGGCCTTTGGTAAAAGGCCAAATTATGTTCTGTCAGTTGGTAAATACTGCAGAAAGAAAAATCTCATCTGAATTTGTTGTTCAGTTCATGTAAAATATGAACAACTGAACTCTGGAAATCCAGCACTTATTAAAGCACTAAATCAAATCAAAAGTCCAGTTCAACAATCTGAACTACTACTAATAAGTGATTAAATGACTGCATAATGTCGAAGGGTCATAGTTCAAACGTATTAGGGTGATAATAGATATTTTGTGTTTAAAGACTTACACAGTAATCAAACACAACATCCATAATGTATGTTGCTGGGTATTTATTTTGTGCTGTGTGTTGTAGCTGTCTCATAATAATTGAAAAATGAATAAGACCTCTGTAAAATAAAACGTGAACTGCAGTTAGTAAAGCTTTTAAATATATTCGTAAACAAATTACAATAGCAAAAATTGGAATAAATAAATACATAAATGTTAGAGGCTTTGTTTTTGATCAACACACAGCCCGTCGATCCTTAGGAAACATGATCAAGTGGACTGGATGAAATAGAGTACTACTGGGGTCCTAACCTCTTGTCTTGGTGCTCTCTGTCAGGACGTGCCTGTGTCTGCAGGTCAGGTGGAGAACTATGTGCTACTGTTGGTGATGCTGAGTGTTTTTGCCGGGGGGATGCTGGTGCTGCTCTCCCTGCTGCTACTCTTCTGTCATCGCTGCTGCATGGGGGGGCGACGCTACTCCAGGTGGGTGACTCGTTGTGTGGGACCTGGCAGGTTCTCATTCTTTTGCAAGCAGCAGGGGATTAAAGCTGTATGGAATACGAAAAGTGAAAGCTGTGAGGAGGGGTTGTTGTTTTGGTGAAAAAGCAGAACTAGTAAGACTTCTTTTCTCTCTTTCAGAGCCAGCGATGACCTTGAGAAGACAAACACCACCTATGCTGAGGACTCTCAGCCCACCCAAGGTCAGAGCTGGGTATTTGTTAAGTTCTTACATAAAATCTTCTTCTCAACTTTTGTAACAAACGTTTTCTGTGTTTGTCCTTGTCACTCAGAGATTACCATTCATCTGGATGAATCAGACGCTCTCTCAGCTTCAAGCTGTCACGATGGAGAGTCAGAACGATTCGTCTCCACCGGGTCTACTGGCCGCAGAGTTTCCTTCAATGAATCTGCACTTTACGTACAGGAGAAGACGACTCAGGATAAAGGACGCAGGTAACACTCAGCTGAGCTAAAGAGATTTTGTTTTAACATTTTAGCTTGAAAAGGCTCTTGACGAGCTAGATAAGATGATTTGTTGGCTTTCTCAGGTACACTCTGACTGAGGGTGACTTCCATCACTTGAAAAACGCCCGGCTGACCCACCTCCACCTTCCTCCAGCTCCATGTGATTTAAAGATCCTCACTATCATGGAGTGTGACTCAACAGAGAGCAGCACTGTCAACATCAGTGAGGTGTCTGCTCCCAAACTGCCCCTCACCATCTATCAGGTAACGTTAAACACACCGATTTATCTCGCATGGCAGGTTAGATACTCTAAGCTGATGATGTCCTGTGTGAAGAACTTTGAATTGCCATGTTGCTGAAATGTGCTATATAAATAAACTGAATCTGCTGATTTCTCTCTTCAGCCCACTGACAGGAGAGTCTCAGACTGGAAGGGACAGGGCCTCAGCGGAGGTTTGCCAGGAGACCCGCACCACTCAACCATCCTGGACCAGGGCCCCCGACAGGCCTCATCAGGCCTAAAACCACAACACACACGCTCCCAGACTGTAAGTTAACCATTTTCCACTTTGTATTTAGAGTCAGAATGATTACATAAAGTCAGTCTATCTGTTTTGGTACATTAGAGTGTGTTTGGACGATCAACTTTGAAACATCTCAAACTTAACTGGAAGGAAAATTTATACGGACATTCATGACATCTGGACCATGAAAACTGATGACTTTTGTAAAAGGTCTTTGACTCTGGTTCCCTCATGAGATTGATTAATCATTTTGAAAAATGACAATTGGATTAATTGCTATATAATGTATTAGTTACACAACAGTAAATATCACCTTTTAGAAAGCTCTTGACCATGAGGCCATGGGTGTATTAATGCAGCAGTACTTTATACAGTGGGCAAGTAATGTTTGCTTTCAAAATGACTTTGGTTTCCTTAAATCCACAATTATGATAACCACTTACAGCTAGAGAGCCAACGCTAGCAAGCTAACTCAAAAGCTAGTAAATGTTTAAACTTAAATGCTTAACACCACTATGCTTGGTAATTATTATTTTTGATCTCACGTTTTATTTTGTTGCCTTTGTGAAGAATGTTTTAACTCGGATTTGAAAAGTACACCATAAATAAAGTTTATTAGAATTGTGTCTGTGAGAGCGAAAGCGTGCAAACGTTAGCATTTAGCCTAGCCTCTCGTAGACACAAATAAGGCTTTAGAGTGAGCCATGTTTTACAACCCCAAGTTACATTTCCCATCATGAAAGGAGATGCTCTGTATTTTTTTAACCTTCGCATTTCCCAGGCAAAATCAATAATTTCTTCCTTGGGTCTTGCTGCTTATGAAACAGTAAGACTCTCAGCCTGAGGGATACGTTTTATACAAGAGCTGATATTTTATCATTTCTATCATACATTTCCTCAAAACTGCAAACGATACATACATAATCTGTTCAGCAGGGAAATTACAAGTTATTAAGAATTCTCACTGTTGGTCAAACTTTATTTACACAGATGGACTCTTCAGTGCAGCTTTATCCATAAACTGAGCTGTGAAAAGCTACCGGCTGAAAAACCACTGATGCACTGTGACATCAGTCATCACTGCAACTGGGTGATAAAATGACAAACTGCTGTCCCCTGAGGGCTTTGCCTCTGCCTGTCACGATTCATCTCAGCCTGTGTGATTTAACCCCTCCTTTCTTTTCCTCTCGCAGATGGAGGCTGTTGGGGACAGGGAGCAGGCCGAGGGAGAAAAGAGGGTGAGAGGAGAGTTGACTCAAACTTTGGGCCAGAGTTCAGTTCTACATTTCTTCACTAAACTGCGGCGTCATGCCAGTCTGGAGGGGGCTGGACCATACTTCAGGAGGTGGAAGTTTGACAGCAGTCACCGGGCTGCCAGCTTGGATGCTAAAGGTTTGGATAAATGTCATAGATAGATGAGTAAGATTGAATTTGTGGCTAAAGTCTAACTTTGCAAAAGCGTGGTTATGTACATTCCATCCAGGGTTTCATAGGCTTAATTTGGTAACCTCACAAAGAAGAACTCTGATTCTGTTAATCTCATTAATTTGTCTTCCAGCATAAAGTCACTGAAATGTGACAGAGGGGATTACTATCTCACTGCTCAAGTCTATTTGAGATCAGTACTGACACACACATGAGCACATATCACACATTAGAGCATATGGTTGGTGTAACATAGGGAGCACAGTCTCCGACTGGTTGGCAGACCCCACCCAAGGCATCATGGGATGGCTCAGTGGACAGCTAGAGTTTGGAAAACTGTTAAATAATACAAGAATACACAGTGTTGTATTTATTACTACAGATACACTGTAGCATTTCTGCAACAAACGGTATGCTATGTTGCACCAGAGCTCGCTTGAACAGCACAGTTATTTGCTTTACATAAAAAAGGCATTCTTAAGCATGCAGCATTAGAAAGATATAAAAGAAAAATTGGGTACAATAAAGGATTATCGGTCAAATTTCACAACGGTTGTGATGTTTGGACAAATTGGAAGCTTATGCAACATAGCCAGGAATTGGCTGATTGGGGGTAAATTGTTGCAAATGCATTCCTTGAGGGACTGATTAATAATGGGGAGTAAAATGTTGTCAATTAGGATCTTAATATACTTTCTAACAGGATCTCCCAAGAGAAGGCCATTTCAGAGACAGAGAGCAGCAAGTGAAACCACTGATCACACTGAAGATGACTCTTCTCCTCTTCGAGACGAGGCTGTTGAATCTTTCCCACAAACTCCCAATCAGACAAGCGGCCTCCAGGCACTCTCTGCAGAGTCTCTGTCTCACCAAGCCACTGCTCCCACATCCTTCCTCAGCAGGTACAGAGCTTTTCCATTATCCAATGACTTGCACCATGAAATTCTATGAACTGTTGATGAACTGACCCTCTAACTCCCTCTGTGTAGGCTACAACTTGAGGCCATGGCGGACGTAGGAGGCAACAGCAGCGTCAGAAGAGAGGATCTCTGTTTGCCTACAAATGACTGTCAAGCTCAGAGGCAAGAGAAAGCCACAGCAAATGGAACAGGAGTAGAAAAAGAAACAACGTTTGGTGCAGGTACAGAAACGGCGGGACTTGAGGGAGAATCTGCTGAAGAAGACGACTTGTTTGGGGAAGAACAAGACGCTGCCATAAAGGAAAGGTTTGAAGACCTGTTGAGTAAAGCTGAAGACACAAAAACAGACAGTGTGACATCAGACTTGAGGAAAAAAGGTGAGGCAGAGTTAGATGATGGGGATGAGGCGGTATTGGGAGCTGAAGCCAGACGACGAGCCGACTCAGGCTCATCCTTTACTTTCATAGTTCGTCAGGAGAGCTCGGAAAATCCTCCCTCCCTGTACAGAGACATTTGGAGCTTGCGTGCCTCTCTTGAGCAATACGCCTCCTCAGACCAGAGCAGCACGGATCGGGAGTCTATCCGCAGTGATGCTGACAGCGTTTCATCCCTTAGTGGCGCAGGGGCTCGCTCTGGACTGGACAGCTGCTTGTCCCAAGACCTGGATGATGAGCCTGAAGGAGAAGGAGAAGGGGAGGGAGAGAGGGCGGAGGGAAGGATCAGAGGGGCGTCAGGTGGAGACAGTGACATGGGAAGTGGGGCAGGAGGGGAAGGGGAGGCAGGCAACCGTAAGCTACTCCAGATGGACAGTGGCTATGCCTCTATTGAAGCACCATCCAGAGCTCCTGAAGAAATGCGACTTTTCGGGACTCCTGGAGCTCCTCGAGGAAAGACGGCGTCTGAAAGAAGGATGTTCTTTACAAGCTCAGGGAGAAAAGGTTCAGTGTGTGAGAGCATTGAGGCCCGTCTTTTTCAGGAGGAGCTGGAGGATGAGATGGCTGACAGAACAGAGAAGGAGAAGAAACTTAAGAACAGATCTGAAACTGGCAGCCAATCTCTGACACTTCAAGAACCATATCGACAACGTCTGAAGTCCCTCCATCCTGAGAAACCTTCAGAATCTCAATCACAGCTTATATCTCCACTGATGAAGCCCCGTAGTCCGCATAAACCTCGTCTCTGCCGCCGTGACTACAGCATCGACGAGAAGACGGACGCTTTGTTCAACGAGTTCCTCCGTCACGATCCGAGGTTCGACCAGCAGGAATCTCCATTGCGCACCAGGCACCGATCCAGGGTTCACCTCCGGAAACAGTGGCAGAGACACAAGCAATACAGCGACCCAGGGACAAGTGCTGGGGGAAGGTACTCCCCATCTTTGGAGAGGCAGAGGTTTACCCCTCTGCGGAGAGGTGACAGTGCAGGATACCCTCTGGACACCAGGTATCACAGCACTCTTTCACGCATTGCAAGTGCAGCTGATGAAGAAGCCAGTGAGGTAGCGGCTTGTGAAGAAGCAGCCAAAGAGAACAAGGAAGACAAAGTTCCATCATGTGGAGGGGCATTGGGGGGTGGTATAGAAAGTACAACCAGCTCAACCTCTGAAGGCACTGAAGAAACAAAGAATTGTGCAGAGACGACCTGTGCCGCAGATGGCTGCCAAGTCTCCATGAAAACGGAGACAGAAAGCACAACAAGCCAGTCTTTGACCACTTTGACTACACAGAGGAGGTTCATGGATCCCAAAGTCGACAACAGGAACAACAACAGTAGTCAAGCGATCCTCTCAGAGGTTTCCCTGCAGACAGAAAGATGCCTGACAGACAAGCTGGCGGTGGCAGTAGAGGAGAGGCTCTATGGGGACCTGCGCACTGCTGAGAAGCTCAGTCAGGGAGGAACAGAGAGGGTGCTCGCTGGTGTGCGAGCATCACCTGGCTTCAATCCCACATAACCTGCTTACAAGCTTCAACTTTATTTCAAATCCATATCTCTAGAGACAGCAGACCTGAAGTTGTCTAAAGCACTTAAAACATCATGTAAGATACTTGGTCATTCTCTGTTCCCCTTACATTTGGACAAATCTTGTGATAATCATGCTGTCATAACTGAAAAATCTAAACACCAATATACTCTAAAGGACAGATCTACCTTCTTGATGGCCAGTTTCTTCTAGCGATTCCATTCAGACCTTAATTTCCACTGTGACGCCATGTGATACCCCCCCTCCCCTCCCTTTTTTTTTTTTTACACTCCTAAAAACTCAAATGCGGTTATACCATAGATATACAAATACAGGCCCATATTCAGAAGAAAAATCAATATTTTCAGACTGAATTGTGAATTTCCCGCATGCTACTCTGTGTCTTAAACAATGTTTATGTGAATAGTTTACAAATTTAACTTTAAAACATGAAGCACTTTGATGGAAGAAAGATAATGATGCATTTTCTGTCACCCATGTCTCTCTTTTTTTAAACCATATCGTCCTCAAGTGTCCTTGTCTCAATCACCATAAGGGGTAAATGTCTCAATAAAAAAAATGTGGATTCTTTTTTTGGCAATAGGAAGAACAGATGTTTCTTAGAACAGATCGCACTGCTTCAGTGCTTACTGCCCTCTCTCATTGACAATACATGCAGATGTGGAGAAAACAAAACACTTTCTGCATAAAAGCGATTTCACATTTCTTTCTTTAATGTATCCTAATTAATCATCATATCCTGGTATCCTGAAGGTTCTGTGGGCCTGAGCTGAGTGTTTTGTATCTCTGTTGGGACTCTGCTGAGAGGGAGACTGATGGATGATACTTTAAAAGACTGGCACCAGAGCCTCTCAGGCTTTTACACAGATGGTCCAGGGACAGAGTTGAGGCTGTGAAGGCGGAGGTTGAAACTGATAGCAGCAGCACTGTCTGCTCTTGAATCCAAACAGAATATTCTCACACTGTACTAATTAAGTCTGGTTATGTTATAACTATTCTTAACTGAAAACACAAGAAATCAATATTAACAATGAAAGCTTATAGAAAAAGGCCACTTTGCTACTCTGCTCGACATGTTCTGTCATATGCACAAATGCTGGGACCTCCGTTTATTTTTTAAGTAAATCCCACATCACTTGCTCTGCTGCTGTATAAAAAATACAACAGAGAACAAAAAGTGTGTTAAACCACAGCTGGAAATAAAAATGAATTTCTTTATGCTGTTCAACAACCAACAGTGTAAAGCATTTTTAAAGCACGTTTGTCACAAATTTCTTAACATTTTTGTCTGAGCTTCAGTCTGAGAACAACAGTAAGGCTGGGGGAAGTGAAAGACCATTGTCAAATACGATTGGAAAGACGCACCAACACTTTGTTAGTTTTATTTTAGGAGATTTGTTTTTAAAAAAGCGAGGGAAATACTGGCTTTCTATAAGTTTACTCATTTAATATTCTGCAGGTATCATTTTTTTTTTTTTTTTTAAACGTGTTGAAATCTGGCAAAATCACAGCTTTCCTTCTCTTTCTATCCCAGTATGGATAGAAAGATGTAATTAACGATTCTGTATTTATATCAATCTGCTCTCTTCAACATGAAAGCACGTTTCTACATGTCAAGATTGTCTCACAGGAATCTGAAAAAGGTACAGCTTGTCCCTTTCCCTCTCAAACACACGTGGCTTCGAGCGACAGTATGTGTGTATCTTGTGAAACTCGCGTCTTTGTACGCATCCATGGACAACCATCTGATTTATTAGAACTCAAACAAGTAATGCAGAAAATTCAATGTCTTGCGGCCATTACAAAGGCTAGACTTTGTGGGACCAAATGAGGCATAAATTGTTTTAGGACTGAAGATTTTTCTGAATAAAAAAATAAAAGAAGAGGAAAAAGAGGGGACTCTGTTAACTCTGATTTTATGCTGTTGTGTGAGTCATATCAGACGTAATAACTTGTACTGTGTGACAAGCTACTGAATGTTGTCATGAAAACAGAAAGTAAGGAGTATCCTCTTTTACTAAGAATGTTGCTTTATATTTTTCCTCCTCACCATGTGTCTCGTTGAAGGGAGAGCCTCTCTTTTCGACCTTAGTGACGTGATAAGTGCTGCGCTCTCCCTCCCTCCGAGTTGTGACTCACCTGCTCTCTGATCTTGACGATGATGATGATGATAGGCCTGGCTGCGTAAGGGGGGGGGGGGGGGAGGCAGGGCTCCTGCTGATGTGATCGGCACAACAAAGAACATCACTGGAAAACAGGCGAATGGGTGCTTGTGACGACACAACACCTGCAGCTGAGCAGCATCAGCTCTTGTATTCTAGGTTCTGACTCAGAAAGAAGTGTAGGTTTCCTCTAAACCGTGTAAATTTACCGTAAATAAAAGTAATCAATCAGGACATAAACCACTTAGGTGTAATGGATAATAAAAAATCAATTTAAAAAGAAAAGATCATCCAACAAAACATCCTGTTTGGGACATCTTTTTTTATAAATAATAATTAAAAAATATTCATTGGAAAAGAAAAAAGACAAAAAGAAAAACCTTAAATGGAAATCAAAAATCCCCAACAGGTCAGAGGAGGGGGATATCAAGGTTCAGTCTGTCAGTCCGTCCACAAACCAAGTACTCTCCCTTTCTTCCAGCTCTGTACAGCATGCAGTTTTTTTTTTACGTTTGGTGGTAGAGTACTCTCATAAGTATTCTCATCACAGATCTAAATATAGAATTATTCATAGCATTCGTCATCTTTTTTTCCTCTTTAATTTTGTACACATCACAATGTGTCTTTAAAACTGCCCATAAGGATACCGTCAAACAAAAGTCAAAGAAACAGAAGATGGGGGAGAGGGGGAAGGGGAACGTGGATGGGTGGGGTACATGGGTGATGGTGTCTGTAAAGTCCTGTGCAACACTTCACTCTCCTAAGAAGATGAAGAGGGGGACTAGCATATAGAACTGGATGACAGAGGAGTTGAAAGTAGCCAAAGTATGGGAGAGAGAGAGAGAAAAAAAACATCTTCACAGCCAGTGCCTCAGTCTCAGAGCAAAAAGAACATTTCATGCTGTCCTCCTCCTCCCAGTCACTTATAGTGCCTCTTCATAAGACTCTGCAGGCCAGCGGTCTAAGGAGGTACAGGGGCATTACGTCAGCAGGTTTCTCTCACAACTGTGTGAACTCTGGACACAGAAGGACGGGGATATATCAACCTGAGAGAGACAGAGAAAGAAGGCTGAATATTACAGACATCAGGGGGGACTTTTATTTCCAAATGTCATCACATATCACAACCAAAAGGGAGTTCAAAGTAGAAGCTGTCAGAAAATAATATCGAGGATAATTAGTTAAAACGGAAAGACTCATCTACAGGGTGAGAAAGAGAGAGACAAACATCCGACAGCCCACTTTCTCTCATCCAGAGTGAGTCATCGCCTGAACAAATTAATACACAGCATCTCCTCTGCAGTGCACCCATGACAAACAGCGTCATGCCGTGAGTGGTTTGTATGAGTGAGAGATTCAAAGAGCAAACTGTGGGTGGGAATTGGACAGAGGGGACAACCTGTTAAATTGGTGTGTGCTCTTGTTACAAAAATCTGTTTATTTTCTTTGCCTGAATAGCGGGCCTTTGACGAAGCCTTGGACTAAAAGGATTAATTAAAATGTTCCAATACCAGACCAGTCCAGATTTAGTTCTCTGACTATAGGAAACCGCCCATGTGTTTGCCTGGGGAGCAATGGTGAGTCAGAGCAGTGCTTGCTGAATTTCAACACAGACTTCTTCTTCCCTCATTGCTTTCACCTCTACTCCCCCTACTGCCTGATACTCATTTCAATGTCTCTGTTCAAACGTATTCTTTTGCTCCTTCTTAATCTACTTCTCATTCCCCTGTATTGAAAGGGTGCCCCTCTTAACACTCATGGAGCCGATTCAGTCTGAGCTTTTGGTAACAGTGGACACACTCACCAGGTGGGATGTTGCCGAGGGAGGGAGGGAGGGAGGAGGTCATTGCTGTTTGCAGGTGGAGAGCTTGCGGATCTTGCTGGCTGTGGAGACTCCTTTACGTGAGGGGTTGGATGAAGACGAGGATCGACGCTCGGCTTTGGCCTTGCTGTTCAGACCTCCCCCCTCTGTGCCGTTAACACAAAGTGGCTTGGCTAGAGGCGGACTGTGATCTGCGTGCCCTTGATCCAGATCTTCTTCGGCCACTTGTCCTAAAGAAAAACAAAAAAAACATGAATACATTTTGCTCAAGACAAGTTCACAACACTCTCAAAAAGAATTCTGATTAGCTGACCGACAGTTTATTACATGTGAGGTAATAGCATGTGTGTTAGAGAGAACATCGATGAAGTCACAGCAGAGCTGGTGCTGTAAAAGCTGTAAACATGTTTTTGAAGAGGAGACCTTTCAAAATTTCTTATCAGCAGAAACTAGCAAATGTCAGGTCCCACAACTGTAAGAAAAAACAAGAGAAGACAACAACAGGAAATCGGCTGGCTGAAAAAAAAATAGACCCATGACTTTAATGATTGATTTCAACTGCTGGTATGAGTAAGTGGCTGGGAAACTTAAAGTTCACACACTGTAAGAGCTGTAACATTAAAGACGTGAATTAGAGAGAACCACCAGCTCTATCAGGTTTTTGTTGTTGTTTTTACCACACTATCTTTTAATTCAGATGCAGCATCCTGTGAGCGACGGCGCTCAGCATGTGGGAGTGAATCCTGGAAAAACCATTTAGACTCCCACACCAAAACCTCCTCTACTGGACTATTTTTAGACCTCTTCATTCACATTCTGCAGCTCTATTTGGTTTTATGTGGGGCACCAGTTCTTGATACCCGACACCGACTACTGCATCTATTATAACCCGCTGTTGCCTAGCAACAGATAAAAGATCTGAATTCTGGGGGAAAGATAAAAAGAAGAGTTGGGAAACATGACAAAGTCGCCACCTACTCAACCCAGAGTCAATTAACAGGCTGGTTAAGTTTGTATAGTTCACTAAAAGAACATGTCAATGTTAATCAGTGACAGGCATCTCTAGAAGCAGTCAACCAGCCATCTCAGATTGTGTCTTACTGTATTTAATACACTTTCTTTAGAGCAATAAACATGGCTTACTGTGCAGTAATAATTTCTATCTTTAACGCATGTTTTGATGCTGTGATCCTGTAATGTTATGCACTCATGATCAAGCATTTCCTAATCGTGTCATACTTCGTATTATGACAAAGTCAATTCTCTTTCAGACAGACAAAAAAATTTAAACTACTGTGGATGAGAGGGACTCAGCTTTGCAGTAGGTTAAAAAAAAATCTTCCTACTATTTAATTTGGATATTCAGTTAATACTATAAGAGAACTAAGAATAAAAGCTGAGCTGCTGTTGATAGACTGTAACATCGATCTTTTTGTCCACCCTACAATATTCTGTGTCTCTTATATTTAACTGGCCAACTTATCTACCTACCCTCTAAAATGTAGGTTTGCCTGAATACTAATTACCAACAGAATAACAAATTGAAGGGATATACAGTAGAAGCTATTTATTTATGGAGTCTTGATTCAGGGCCCACATACGTGTGTTACTTCATTGTATTTGCAGTTTTAGAACAAACAGTTCTTTGTAATGTGACACTGAAAATGATCAAAGAAGGTAGACACTGTAAAACAATTTAGGATTCTCATGATACCCGTATTATAAACTTTGACAGGAATAAAAAAATATATAAATGAATAATTAAATGAAATAAATAAAAAAAGACATTTCCCTTGTGGAGGTTTGTGAGGTGGTTGTTTTAATAATAATGCGTAATATTTTCTGGATATTTCTCATGCCTTTTTAGATGAGAGCGAGGCTGAGCTAGACACATGCATGCAGAGGATAGAAAACACACACAGCTGGTAGTGTGAAATGTGCCTCTGGCTACATTTAAACCAAATCAAGCACCTTCCCCCATGGTTTACCGAAGATGCAGGCTATGTATTTACAGTTTATTTCTCGAGCCCCTTTTCAAAAGGCTTTTTTCTTTTAAGTGCAGTAACTAAACTCCGCCGTCATCACATCTTTGTATAGTCATATTGATTCACCGATGACGTAATATTGGCGTCCTAGTCTGTGAATTCACTTTGCGTTGCGGCTTTGCAGAAGCACGGCATAGCGGGAGCTGCGTATTCACACAATGTATTTGTAAGAAAGATGGTACATATTCGTCATTGGAGAGGAGGAAGTGGCTGACAATGAGGCAGCAGACAGACAGCTAACCATCTTCTCAAAGTCAAACCGAAAGAATACAGAATTAACAACAACAACAACTAAATACATTGTCATCAACACTGTTGTAATCCAAAATGTTCAAATAAAACTTTTTCAAATAAGCTCAAGTTAACCTGTAAGAAAGGTTTGAGCTCCTCCTCACCTGGCACTGTGAAGTCCTGAGTGTAGATGATCTCATCCTCTCCGTCGTACAGATCGTCATCATCCTCCTCTGTGTAGCCGTGCAGATCCTCCAGGTAGGGCACCACCGTCATACTCCGCCAGGGATCCCTGCTCTCTGCACTGGCTGGGATGGGCACAGGGGGCTCAGACGGAGGGTGTTTCTTACGTACCCAGCTGTTAAAAAAAAATTAACATGTTAGCAACAAATCAATCTTTAATGCTTCTTTAAAAAAATGCTGCAGGTAAGGACTTTTTAAATGTGTACATAATTAATTTGAATAAAAGTGATCACTCTATACAATCACTCACTTGTGTTGCCTTATGTTCTGTATGGAAAACCTCTTTGCAGGGTCGTACTCGAGCATTCCTGACAAACAAACAAACATTATAAAGGTCAACACAGATTCTACACTCACACCTCTCCTTCTGTCAAGTGTTTTAAATAAACTAGTGGGAGGCTGCAGAGACTGTGAGTGGTGAGTTAACGACACGATAAACTCATCCACGGAAGATGAATTAATGCAAGTAATAATCACATATATCACAGTTTCAGGGCATTCTGCAAAGCTTAAGGAGTCAATGAGGTACAGTAAAGAAACATCAATGTGAGTAGCATAACAGCTGTACAAATGTAATGAAGATGTTGTTCCTTAATTATCATATAGTGGGGAATCTGTGGGAGAAGCAGAGTGTCCGTGTGATAAGGCAGCAGTGATGATGATGATGATGATGCAGTGCCTATCCACACCTAATAATGTAATTGCCTCCCAATAGGCAGAGAGCGGCAGCATGCAGAGTGCTGATAGTAGTGCTGCGCTTGCTGAAGGACACCTTTTGTGGCGCTAGTCTTATTTTAGACCATGTAATTATGGACTGACAATCTCTAAGGTGCTGCGTCATCACACACAGACGTCACACCCACAAAATGGGGGATGGAGGGATGATGAGTTATCAGAGCACCAGAACAGGATGTTTTTTTCCCCCTTAGTCATGGTTGATCATGCAGGATGAGAGACTGTTCGAAATACCTTCTTGTAACAAAGTCATTTCAAATATTGAAGAAACAGGATAGGATGTATAACAATCTCCGTTCTAGGGTTTTATTTAGCTGCCGTGAGAATCTTAACATGTCGTTCGGCTGGTTATACGTTTCACTATGAAAGGAGCAGGAGCATTGCAGCATTCTCTGGAAAAGGGATGCTTGACTGTGATGTCTTTAGTATTCTGCGAGTGGCTCAAGATCAATGGAAACTACGTCAACAGCAGAAGGGATTTCTACAGTTTTGAGGGACCCTCCTGTGCTAAGGAATCACAGTGACATTCAGTGTCACAGCACCATCTACTGGACGGACACAGGAAATATTATGCAGTGTATAAGGAAAGGACGGAAAAAACCCCAAAAAACACACATACTACAGATTTTAAAAAAGAAATAAACAAATACTAAACTACTAAAATATGTCTTGTCATGACTTTAGCAGCAACATGTTAGTCAATGCCATTAAATAGTAAAATATTTGCTGTTCAATAGTTGACACAATCAGTATTTTTTCTTGCAGACCATTTTTAGCACCGAACAAATCTGTTCCAGCATTAGGATCTATTTGATGCACCAGTTTGTACCTTTTCTGCAGCATTTTAAAATGATGATCTACTCTTGTGTGTTCTGTCTTTTGTGCCATGTCAGAGTTCATCTAGCATTTTCTTTACACCCATGATAAATGAATTATTTTTGAATACTATATTTTTGAATTATTATATAGTTATTGTGTTGATTGCACCATTATTTTTCAAGCCCTGCAGAATTTATAAAGCTGTAGGTTTAGTTAGCTTTTGTATATTTCACATGTATCCTTTGACATGACTGGATTTACTTTACTTTTGTTTATAGACTTATAATAATGGCAAAGAAATGCGAATTTAAACAGAAGGCAGAGTGTGATTAATTTCTGACACATGGCCAAGCTGTGAGGAAGTGACACAGTGCAGAGAGAGTGAGAGAAAGTGAGAGAGATGCTGACTGATATCCCTTCAATGCAGCATCCTTTTTATACCACCTAACACAGGGTTTTTTTTTTTTTTTTTTTTTACACCAACCTACAAGGCTGACATCATCACCTCTATCCTTTCTCTCTGCCTGTGTGTTTCTGCTCCTTCAGCAGAATGTTGCATTAAGTTGCCTTAACAAAACTTCAGTTTTTAAGTTTCACTCGTGATTCCGTTATCACAACAGGTGAGCCTTTGTGTAGACAGATGTAGCATAGCTATGAGCAAACAGTTGAACAAAAACAGCAGCATTAAAAGGCTTATAAACTTAACTTGAGCTGTAGGACCACAATAATTGCATTACGGGAGAAACAGCGGATCTACTCTCTCTGTCTCTCTATAAACCTGCAGAGCATACAGATACTACTTGATCAGGGCGGCTGTGGTTTAGTGGTAGAGTCTGTTGTCTCTCAACCGGAAGGTGAGGGGTTCGATTCCCAGCTCCTGCGGCCACATGTGTCCTTTGGAAATAAACTTAACCCCAAGTTGCTCCTGCTGCTTTGTCGTCGGCGTGTGAATGTTTATGAATGGGTAGTTAATACTGATAGACACTTTACATAACAGCCTCTGTTAACTGTGTGTGAATGGGTAGGTGTGTCCATTAGAGCAAGCCTTTCCACTACCTCTGTTAAAGAGGCAAAAATATATCAGTCAATGGATCAATCCTACACTCAGCCACTACAGCACAGATATCTAACTACACTCTCACAGCGTTACATTTAAATATTGAGCTGTAAACCACACTCACCTTGCAGCAGGTCCGACAGGAGGGGTCCACAGTCCTCAGGAATTGTGAAGTCACCTTTTCCAATGTTCTCAAATAGCTTATAGATGTTGTCTCCCTCAAATGGATACAGACTAGTCGTAATGTTGTATCTGAATGAATGGAAGCAGAAGTCAATAAATACTGTTAGTGTTTCATAAACTGCGACACAGTGACATATCTAATGTTTGATATACATGAAATTAAGATGAGCGTACAACTCAGAAAGTTGTCAGTCTAAAAGCATCGGACTGTTCATCACCAAGCTTTGACTATTTCTCCCTTTGTTAATTAATTCAGTGCCACACTTAACTGGTGTATCAGTCAACAAAAGAGTCAGGGTTTACCTATAGGACCAACATTTTATGACTGTCTGTCCTCTGTGAAGTGAAGAAAGTCTGAGAAGTATTAAATTAAATGTTAGTGAAACACAGAGCATCTCTATCTCCTACACAGTCAGTCAGGGTGGATAGCAGTATAGGAGGATGTATCGACATCTGGTTAAAAAAAGTGGTCTAACCAACAACACTGACGGCCATGACCAGGCTAGAGAGAGTGGGAGCAGCTGATAAGGCATCATGATGCCCTCTGTTTTGATCCCCCTTCTCCTCAGTCAGTTTTGTGGTCATTTTCAGACTCTAAGTTTGAAGCATGTCACAATTTTACTCATGCGCTGCTCAGTGTACATTGCAGCTAAGAAACAAAACTGCAGAGATTTGACTTACACACTTATATTAATCAATGAAGGGTTAACTACTGATTTAAATCATGCAGTTTTAGAGGGGAAGCCCTTCAATTTAAGAGTATTATAATCTCCTGCAATCTAAAATCTAACAGCAATATACCTTCATACGTATTAACCACAGCTCTGGTGATAACAGCCTAACATGCCCACATACACAATGATTTGTCAAACCGCTCTGTATCATCTGAGTGAATGTATTCATCCCCTTATGTCCTACACTTTGCATACAAAGAGCAGCATCAGTAAAGACTCTATTTGAGGATATTGCAGAAGGAGAACAGAGTGAAATGTTTAATAAGTCAGGTTGTCTCTTAAGCATGGCAATTAATCTTTAGTAACCTCAGTGATGCTTAGAGCTCACGATGAAAGGAGGATGAGAAAGCAGAGATGCATCGATTGCACTCTCTTTAGCCAATTCAAGATTTCAAAAAGTTTGGTGGAAGTGTCCTTATATTTGTTAAATAAAACTCTGTCTATTAAAATAATACATCAATTGTATTTACTGCATTAAAAGCACATTCTAGAGAGATTCAAACAGCTGTCATTAACACTCTCTTCATCCCTAGTTGATTCATTTTACTTATTAATACATCAAATCAGAGATAAGTGTACTGCTTCACTCTCTTCAGCTGCATTCACCCCGACTCATGCAGGATGAATTACAAAACAAATGACTACAATTGGTGACCATTTCATTAGTCTCTCTCTCTCTCTCTCTCTCTCGTAAAATGATTTTATGTAGTTTATTTCTCAATAAGCATTAACTTATAATATTTCCTGTGTAGTGATAAGCCTCACAGCAGGTCAAACTTTTGAATCACATGCTCAAAAGCTTTAATCATTTAAGTGTCCCACTGCAACCAAAGATTATTTTAGGAACATTGATGAAATAATATTTAAGCATACTTTGCTCCCCTTTACCTTCTGGTACAAGGAGCAACTTTTTCTGTGTCATTCTTTAGTATTTCAAAGCTTGTTCTTCTTTGCTGATAGGTACCTCCCGTGCACACTGCCTACAGTGTAAGCTTGTGTGTGGCTGTTAGTTTTTGTCGCGGTGCACATGGTATGACATTTTCAGTTGGTGTGTTATTCTGAGATTGGCATGATTGTGATGACCAAGCAGTAACCTCTGGTGTTAAAAAATACCAATGCAGAAGTGCAAAATCCTGCTGTTTGTCGAGTGTCCGCTTGAAGCTGGCTGCAGAAAAACCACAGTCACATTCACACCACACTCGAAAAGCTTTTTTTCAACTCCAGAAATTTACATGTTAACAGCCTGGTTCACAAATTAAAATTGGTCTGATTAGTTCATTACTGTATGGGGTGATTTTTTTTTGATAACTCATCCGTTTTGATTTAATGAAGGATAAGAGTTATTCACAATAAGGCGCGTAGCTGACCTGATAGATGGGTGGGTGCGATGTTAGTGGTTTGTTAGGAGGCTTTAAACCCGCCTCAGCTCCAGCTGTTAGCCTGTTGTTAGGTTGAATGAAAGTTAGGCTGAGACAGCATTTCCAGCTTGGCAACCACCATTGATGGGCTCCCAAAGCCCCCTGCAGTAACAGATGGTCGACGTCACTCAGGCTTCATCTGTTAATATTTACAGTCTATGGTGACGACCAGTCAGTCACCAATCACTGTCGAACAGGCTGATAATTGACCATCAGTTGGTCTATGAGCAGGAGAAATCCTCTCTAACAAACTATCAATATCTGATTGTGTCAGGAAACAATGCTACTAATCAGATCTAGTGTCTTATAAAACACTGAGTTTTTAAAGATTCTCTGACTACTCACAGTGTTACTCCAGCAGACCAAATGTCCACTTTGAACCCTGAAAAGGTGTCCAGTCCGTTGGCGATCTCTGGAGGCTGGAAGGCCGGAGAGCCCTGACTGGTGCGACATGTGTCATCCTCTGCAAATGGGTGAAGGGCCTGAAACATGTAAAGAGAGTAAGATAAGTATGGACTTAAGAGGTTTCTCCAGCTAATTGGAGATTTGTCATGTAACTACCACTAACAATTGGCAAGACATGTGTAAATGGTAAAAAAAATGAGTAGACATTTGATGGTACTGTTAAATAAAACAAACATGCTCTCCCAGGGCTAAAACCCGAGCTTACCTCTGCTACTCCAAGGTCGGAGATTTTAAGTGCGCCGTCTGTGGTCAGCAGCAGATTCCCTGGTTTAATGTCTTTGTGAACTATTCCCTGGCTGTGCAAATATTCAAGGCCATCTAAAAGTTGGCAAAAATACCTGAAAAGAAAACCGAGTTGTCAATACATCTTTCCAATACAGAATAATCCATTGTTAACAACAAACCTGTATAAAATCAGCAAAAAAAACCTGTTTCTATCGGCACAGACAAGAACCAGTGTGCACAGTCTCTCAACATGTTAGTTTACAACAACTAGCCAGTCATCATGGATTGCATTTCAACAATTAAGGTTGACTTTTCAACAAAAAGTGGTGAATAAACTCACATTTCCATCACTAATGCTGTTTGTACTTTAACACTACAGGGAACCTGCTGTCGTGAAATTAAAAAAATATATACTCCTGTGACTGTTAAAAAATACTTTCTAATGGTGCATCCCTTAACCAGCGCGATCCCGTTTTTCCTGAGTTAGCATTCAAAGGAAAAATGTTTTAAAAATGCCACGGGGAAAAGAAAAAAAAAAATACTGTAGCTGTATTTTCTGTATTTTTCATGTGTTAACCAACATACAAATAGCTTTTCAAATGATAATTTCATTTACTGTGTCATTTGTACTCAATACAACAAGACAAGCTACATTTGGAGCACATTTTAATATATCTGTAAATTATATATTCATATTATATAATATCATCATCAAACAAGAGTTAATACATTTCATTTTGGATCGCTTCCATTTACCAGGGACCCACTCTACTCACCCGTGGGTCTTGAGGTCTCACTTCATTGAAAAACCTATCAACATCACTGGGTGTATGAGTTTCATTCAATCCCACATGAACAACAATCTAAATCTTAAACTATTATCTCTGTGGTCAGATGAACCTTGACTCAAGTCTTAATGCTTCAGTAGCTTTCAGACAATGACCATGTTCCACACAATCAATGGGCAGTTATTGTGACAGTAGAGGCCTTGCAGTCTTTCTTGAATCTAAACTTAGCTTTGGAGCAATGGCTGCAGAGAGACTCAGACTAAATATAGCAGAGACACTGAGAGAAAGAGGGAGCAGAGAAAGGGGGGGGGGGGGGCAGAGACTTACCCGTGAGCTTGAAATACTGGAAACCTTTTTTCTGGGACGCTGTCCAGCATTTCTTGCATCCCACAAACGCAATACTCCATCACCATATACGTAAAGTAGGAGTCAAGGATTTGCCAAACCAAAAAAAACAGATCCTTTAATTAAGGGAGATTATTACTAGACAGCTGATCACTAACAACTAGAAATACTTTTGTTCAAATCAATTCTACCAAAAGCATCATTTATTGCCTGTAATGACCGAATCCTTATATATGAAAAAGCACATTCACATTTATACAACACAATAAGGATATATTTTCTGCTTCTCTTCATTATAGAGCACATCCACCAATTGAATCACATTCTTGTGTTGGAGTCTTCTTAGCAGCTGAATCTCCCTATAAATGGACACAAGAGCAAAAACAACAAGTTAGGGATCAATCAAGCAAATACAAAGCCTGAGAGCTATTTGATCACATTCTGGCCTAGACTGCAGTTAATGCTGGCTATAGAAGCAGGTGTCATACAAAAAGACTCTGGCAACTCAAATCACTTCAGTCAGTAGTTTCTGTTTTGTACTTTCACATACATTTTTAATTAATTTTGTGAGCAACAAAACCTTAACCCTCTGTGTGTGTCCACTAAAACTAAGAGTAAATCCCATAAGAGACTCTTTAAAAGATGATGACGGGAAACAGAGTTGCAAGAATGATACTGTAGGACTTGATGTTGGCCGAGTGCAGCAGCAGTGAATTACAACAGTCCCATAAACACAGAGATCCTGACACTTGGCTACAGAAGGAGAGGAGATTTAAAACTGCAGCATGACTGAACCACCAGGAGACTCAACATTCATCAGAGAGCTGCGAGAGGCGACACTAATGAATTTGGATCGGAAGTGCACAGATAAAGAAGCAGACATCGCCACATGCACGCTCGAATGGAAATACCAACATTTTTCATAAACAATTAGTCCAGTCATCTAAACGATTTCAAATAGCAGTGTATGATTGTCTTAATGCAGAGCCCAGTGAAAAGGGATGCAGAAAGACGTGCCAGTAAAGGCCATCAGTTTGAGCCATGTAGAGTTGCATTGTATGTAGGAGATCAAAAATCCTAAATAATGGCATTTGGTTAAATGAATTTCCCCCCCAACATCATATCAGTGAGAAGTGAGTGAGTAGATACAATAATGTGCAAGTCTCCATTTCTGTTCTCAGTGAATATATTAAGAATTATATGAGATAAAAATCTTTCTGTTATTTCATTTTATTCCTACATCTCCCAGAAATAACACATTTGCTTTATCGTATGAAACATTAACAGCTCAAAGCTAAAAAGGAGTGTGCCTTCTGACACAATCTCAAAACCCTCTTTTCTTTCCCTTATCAGCCAGCAGTTTTGGAGCTGTGTCAGTGCTCTGCCTCATATACAATCATCTTACCCCTGACAAATGGATATTCTGACCGAGTCAGCCTCTTGCCTGCACTCAGACGCACACAAGCACTTGCTGCTGCATCACTGCACTGATAAAAATACAGAGTCACCACATGCACACAAGAAGAACAGAAATGTGATTTACATATGGTTCGGCATAATCAATCGCCCCGCTTTTAACAGCACATCAGCCCTGCAGATGATGTTTCTGAAATGTAACAAACCAAGCTGCATCTGTATCCCTGAATGTTTCCATAAAACAGATTTTTAAACAGAGCAGCGCTGCCACTGAAGCACCATGACGCTGCAGTCCAATCTGTGTTGATGGACCTTATGTGCTTATGTACACAGACTGCAAAGCTTTGAGGAATTCAGGAATCTGTGATACAGCAGCTTCTCAAGCATGAAGCAGCAGCAAGCAGCAGCCTAAAAAACTGATAAAATGATTCACCAGCACTGGGATGTCAGGAGCTTGTTAACAGTAAATGTATGCATCCTTGTGTCCTTTTGTCATACCAAACAAGGGATCTGCATTCCTGGACAGTTGTTGTAGAAACAGGAGTGGCATTGCTAGATCAATGCCAGAATGAGCATGCCCATCCCCATGGCAACCATGTCAAAGTAGGAAGTGTTTGGCAGACAGGAATGCAAAACAGAGGTTGAATGGAGTAGCTGGCGGCCTACTATTGCATTCACACACAGACAGGCCTTTACAGGATTAGGGATCAAGCTTCCTCAGACTGGGACACATAAGGCCTTCACCAAGGGAGCCACAACCATGTCGTCTAACGCTGTGGCTTTGGCGTAAAATATCAGTAAAGCTTGGAAGAGAAATAAAGACATCTCTGAGGAGATTTAAGCATGGACAAGACTCCAGATTATCCAACCTGACTTCAGGGAGGGGATTAAAAATAATTGATGTTACAAAGGACATTTGGGACAACACCAGGATGACACAATAAAATGAATTACATGGAAAATTTGGACAGACTTAGTTTTAAGTAGCTGTCCACCTGCAGCACAAGGCCCTGGATAACTACCGTCTCTAAAATGTGTGACTCCAATTTTCCAATTTGTGAAAATCATTTACACAAATTGGACCATTTGACCTTACATTTTGAATTTAATACACAACATAACTACCAGTATTTATTCGTTATAAGTCAGAAACTAGCAAAGTCTCATTTGTCCGCAGTTATAACCTTGAGACTATGTTCACGTTTTTATCAGTCCTCTACAGCTAAAGTTTCTCAGTATTCATCTGTAAAAAGATGCTCAACCTGCTGAACCACAGATTATGGAAATGGCTGAGGCCCAGTCTTAAATTATGCCACTTAAGAACATATTTGTTTTTAAGAAATAAGGGCTACAACAACTGCCTTCCATTCTTGACCAGAGCCAAATAAATAAACAAAACTGACAATTCATTAAATATTTCTGTCATAAAAAAAGGTTTCATGTCAGCTGCTTCCAGCTTCTTTAAACTCAGGAATTCCTGATTTTTTTCTGTCGTTCATGACAATAGATGATGAGTTTATGTTTTTATTTAATATTGGTCTTCAAAGCAATTTGAAGACCAATATTAAAATAAAATAAAAATCTAACATTTTATAGACTTAAGGAGTTAAAGATGCATCTGTGAAACAATCAGCAGATTAATCAATATGAAAACAATAGTTAGTTACAACTTAGTTTTCAGGTTAGCTACATGTGTGTGAACGCAAATAGACATATTTTCCATCCTGACATTACCTGGGCCCTTGTAACATTCCTGCATTTAGTGGGAAAATTCACCACAGGGAAACGGGAAGGGGTGGTCATGTTTATATCCCACCACCACCACCACCGGAGAGCAACTGGTACGATCAGCCTGCTGCATGGCATGAAGCTGCTTCATATTCTTTTCTGCTTGCCAGTATGTTCTTTGACACTCTAAAGATGATTGTGTAAACATGTCCAATTACACTTAACACTGACATAAAGGCAAATAATGACATCATAGGGTCAGACTATTACAATGTGTCCTTCCCCCTGAGACACCCACCTGCCGCCCTTCCACCTGGAGAGTTTTCTGCTGTAAGGTGTCTATGTGAACAGGTAACTCTGAACTGACACTTCCTTCAAGTTTTCAGGGGAGCATAATCACTTTTCTTGCAAATAGCATAAGGGTTTTAATCACCTCACTCTGTTTCACTGTGTTCATTTTATTTTCAACCTTCACTAACCAAACTGTCACGTGGGATTTTTTCAACCCAGGGAACAGTTGCAGCATGCAGTGTCTACCCCACAGCCCCGCTTCCCGGCCTCTTAATGGCCTTCTAACAAGGACATTTTTCATTATATTATGACCCTGCGGAAAGATCAAGGCTTGGAAATAGCAAGCTTTCTTCTTGGTTCATCTAAATAACAAAGTTAAATATTTGCCTGAGATTTCTTTTGTCTTCATTCATTCACAGCACCATGGCTGAAGGGTCTCAGTGTAGAGACTGATAGAAAACTGCAGCTGCTGCTGGAAGAAATCTTTCAGTCCCAAACTGAGCAGGAGCAATGTGGTATTTCCTGACTTTAAGTTTTGTTTCTTCAAATTGTTAAAACATTATCCCAGGATGAAGACCTAAACAATAAGTCTGGTTACCTGATAAACACAAGCTTTTGCAGTATAAACTCAAAAAATGAGTCATACTGACCTATCACCACTACTCATCATTTTGTGGTTCTGGTGCTGCCGTCCTCACTGCCACTTAAAAACACCCCATCTCTCTGAGTGACTAATTTTGACAGTTTTCTAAAGCTCCCTCTCTAATTAGTGCAGTCCCGCAGTGAGAGGCTGGAGTCATATTTAATAAAGTACTGTGTGATTAAAACTTCTGACACTCATTTGGAAACAAGGGTTTAACCTTATATAGACATAACAGGAAGATGGCATTCAAACAGAGACTGTAGAGTCAATATTGAATTATAAAATCTGGTTTTGAAAAGTATAATTAGCCTTCAACTAAGAAAAAAACTGCATCTGTAATGTGTATGTACAATAATGTGAAATGTACTCTGACTGTTTCATTCTACATTTTTTAAGTCATTCAGCAGCTATCCGTCTTCTTATGACTTTTGAATGGTGAAATTGTTGTGTTTCTATGCGAGCAAGGCTGAGGCTTTGTTGGCCACATAACTTCCGTACTAGCCGTTCAGAACTTAACCATGCAATTACCGTAATATTATTATTTAAAAAAAATCATTGTAAACTGATTTTGACAACCGTTTTTAAATACCCTTATTAACATTATGAGATGTAATAAATAAATTAGTGTTTTACATAGGCAAACTTTTAGACACAAGCTGAAAGAGCTTTTAATCCACTAGATGATGACGAATACCTAGGGTGTGCTTAATGCCCATTTTTGGGCATGGTTACTAGTGATGCAGAGCACAATTCTGCATATTTAAATTCGGACATCTCAATTTAATAACATGCTGAAGCATTTTAATGGGGGACTCTATTAATTTCATCTATTCGAAGGGAAATATTTGAGCCAAAGGCTTTTACAAGTTTTAGCATGCAAAAGACAAAGTGTACAGGTGAGAAATGTGTAACACTTGTGTTATACAGAGCTAATAAACCTAAGCATACTCACTTTTTCACATTGGCTTCTCCATTGGGAATCCGCCTCAGCTTCTTCTTCTTCAATATTTTGACAGCCCTGCGACAAAGAGTCTCTGAGTCCAGCATCTCCTTCACTTTGCCATAAGATCCTTCCCCCAGCAGGTCCCCCATCAAGTACTTTCCTATCAGCTTAGCTCTCTTTCTCCGGGGCTGGTAGATGACCTCAGTAGAGTCAATGCGATGAATGAACGTATCCATCTCCATCAGTTCATTTTCATTGAGATAGTCAAGATGATGCAGCTCGCCGGTACTCATGACTAGTTCTACAGCCACAGCTTAGCTTTCTGTGCAAAACTGTTCGCAAATAGCTATGATTTCTGCTGGAGGGTAATCCACTGGTAACCTTTCAGCTCTGCTTTGAGAATTTTAAATCCTCAAGATGAATTACAGTTGAATTACAAAATACTGAACATGTGAGAAGGTGGGAATCAAGCCTGAGAGTTGAGGGAGAAGGTGCAGGATCGATCCCAATTTGTAAACATTAGGGTAACTCCGTTGGTGCAAACAGAGGTGGGAAAGCAGTGAGGTCCAGTGCCAAGTTGGTGCTTAAACTTTGCATTTTGTTCTACTTCTGTGACAAGTGCAATTAGAATGTTTTTTTTTTATGTATGCAGATACATAAAGAAAATGACAGATGAAATGGATCTTGAATCCTTCTCTGCTTTACTCTAGATCACGTCTACATACATTTATTACCATACAGCCTTAGGTGGGGGGAACCAGTCCTGTTTCAAGGCCATGCAGCAAGGCATCTCTGTCAAAGGTCCATGCTTCATAGCATAGTTTTCTCAGGGAACACGTGTGTGTACAGTTGGACTGTATCCAAGCACAGATCTACAGCCAAACGCATGCAGCAGTATCAGCCCGGCTCCTGTAGACTGACTGTGTCGACCCCTCCTCAGGTCTCCTCCATCCTCCTCCCGCGGCTGCCAATGGCCGGTGCCTGTGAACAAGGGCATTAGGACTTTGTTGAAATAAAGTACAGATAGAGGGGTTTTTCTAGCTTCTGGATGGAATAAGCCTCATTAGATAAACAATCTGACATCAACACTTCACCTTAAAGGGTTAACAACACGCTGCTGAGGGTTTCAATGAACACGTAGAAACTGTATTTAAACAAAAACACATTTAAATACACACTTAAATTGGAAGAGCTGGGAGTTGTAGATGAAGATAACGATGTTCATATTAAATATATATCATGAGTATTAGCTTGTAGGCTAACATAGCATGTCTGCTTGAATGGACGTCATCTATTACTATTTGCTTCTTCGACGTGCTTCTTCTTCTTCTTCTTCTTCTTCTTCTTCTTCATCCCCCCCCCCACCCCACACACGCACACACACACAGTAGATTTAAACCCCCAAAAGCCTGAGTTTAAACAGTGGCAACTAAATGAATGTGCAGGGGACAAAGTGTGAGCGGCTGGGGGGGAGATGTCCCAAAAAACGTCGTCACACAGCTGAAGCTAACGGGGGCTAAGCTAGCCAACTCCGTGAGATTCATGTTGCCAACTTCACCTTCGTTTGCCGGTGAAACAAGTTTTATAAAAAAAAAAAGAAAAAGAAAAAAAGGCGTCAAGCACACTTCAGTGGAATAACATCGTAGCTCGTAACAAAACGCATTTCACCGGTGAGCTCTCGCACACAATCAGGAACCTCGACACTGAAGAAAACAGCCAGCTAACGCGAGCTAGCTACACAGTTAACAGGCTAACTAGTTAACGACTAATCCCGGATCTCACCTGGAACCGGGTCGACTTGTGTTTTCGTCACCTTTTTCCTCCCCTTGTGCAGGTTCTTGTTGGAAAAAAAAACTGTTTTCACGAGGGTGTCAGTAAAATGTTCCGACACTTTGGCTTCAGTCTTTCCATTCAGGTTGTCGCCATCTTGTTTACCTCCCCCTGCTCCTCGCGCTGACAGCCCGACGTTACTGCGTCAAATCAAAGTTGGTTTTTTTTTCTTCTTCGGCAACATTTAAGATCCGTGTCAACACACTTTCACTTGTAACGTTTTGTACCTTTACGATTTATGGATCAGTTTTAGAAAATTCAAATTTTTTATTTTTAGGGCGCGACCACAGACTGTAAATATTACCTGGACTCTTTCAACCCTTTAGTATCAAGGTGTGTATTTAACCCTTTAGTATCAAGGTGTGTATTTAACCCTTTAGTATCAAGGTGTGTATTTAACCCTTTAGTATTAAGGTGTGTATTTAACCCTTTAGTATTAAGGTGTGTATTTAACCCTTTGGTATTAAGGTGTGTATTTAACCCTTTAGTATTAAGGTGTGTATTTAACCCTCCTTTTATTTACAACCACTTATGAAGCCCGAGCGATTATAATGAAAAAATGTATACAGAAATATATATTTTTAACTGGTCATACTTTCTTGCATTGCATGACCCCTCAACCTACTTTAAAATTTACTAGTATTAAACTCAGCCATTCAATTGCACAGATTCGCATCCAAAATACTTAAAACAAAATAATTCTATTACATAACCTGAAATGTTTTAATGAACCATTATGGATTTAACAATGAATGTGAAATGTAAATAAAAGTTAGTTGTCACCCTACACCCCACAAAAAAAAAAAAAAGTAAAACTGATGACGCTGTGGCCAACACTAGAGCAGCTCTTGCTTAGCTGGGATTTCGGAGTTATAATTATCCTGTGTAAGCCCCCTGGGGAATGGCAAAGTGAAGGTCCGATTTCACTGATCTGTCGCCCTCTTCAACACTGGCTGGTCAGCTTGAGTCAATGACTCACTGCAGTCTGGAGACACAGCCTTAGGTTGAATACCTGCACTTTTGAAACAGCTATATCATAAACAAGGCGACTTGAGCTTAGCTCCTCCTGATTTCCTTATTAACAGTAAATAAACACACGAGTGCAGTAGTTATAAGACAAGTGTGTGGCGACTTCACATTTCTGTAGGATGCCTTTTTTATTTGGAGCATTGTAGCATTTAGTGAAAAGAAGCAAATACTGATACAACACACTGTGGAAAATTATATAATTTGAGAATCATACAGAAGTTTGTGTAATAATACAGTACTATGATATTTATTTTAAAATGCAATTTGAAACCAGCTTTGAAGGGGATTAAGATGGTAACAGACAACAGAGGGAAATCCTTAAGGCTTCAGGCAATATAAGTGTACATGGAAGTTGTTACAGTGTTACAGAAATGCAGAATAATTTGATCAGTTATTTAGGGAAAACATTTAACTTTTTTTTCAACCAAATGAAACTTCAAATATAATGGAGAATACACCTTATGTTTCTACTTATCTCCACACACACTTTCAATTTAAAAATTTCTATTGAGCAGCAGTCTCCATAGAACAACAGAGCCGAGCTGTGGCAGCTGCAGAAAACAGCCTTTAAATTATGCTACAAAAAAAAAAAGAGAGAGAGAAAAGTATAAACGGGAAAAATCCTCCATATCAGTAATACGGTCTTCTGGGATTATTCTGTGGAAACAAAGAAGAAACATTAGATTCAATGCTAACATCTTGCTTTAAGGCCCATAACCCTGTTAAGTACAACTCTGAAACATTTGAACTGTTTTTTTATACATTAACTTACAAACTCAAAACTACTGCCAATATCATTAGAAGAATATGAAACATGTTACCAGTGGGTTTGGCCTGAAGCGGTACGCCAGCATCATCCTCTTTCTGTAAGCATCATATTCATCGTCATTTTTGGTGAGCACAGCCGGACGGTCGACTCCAAAGCCAGCTCCATCGACTGCTGTGGTTCCCCTGAAGTGGGACAGACGGAGGGACACACAAAATGAATGTGTTCTTTTTGTATTCTCTGTTAAGCCAACGAAATACTACTGTTTCTCTTGGTCTATCTGGATAAAGAAAAAACAATATAATTACAGCCCCCTTTTCAAAGTGGACATTTTGGCATGTCACAGAAGATAAAGCAAAGGTGTGAATAATACAACCTCCATTTTTTGCTGCTATGTCAAAAAGAAAGAAACAATCACTTTAAATATCGTATGAGTTGTTAAAAAAAAATCTGTTCAAAAAGTGCAACCATAAAGAGATTTCATAGCCAACTGAAGATAAGCTACTCTTGTGAAACTGGCTATTGTTGTGTAATAGAAAGATGTTTGTCCACAAAATAACAGTAGCTCCAACTGAAAGTGCACACCATTCAGAGATCCACAGTAACAAACATGCATTCAAGTAAAAAAAAACAAAAAAAACCTCTATTGCAGAGGGAAGTGATGTGTTGCATGTAAAGTATTGAACAGTAAATGTTACACAGTAAGTAAAATATGTCTCGATGTACATATTAAGATGATCATACAATTTAAATTTAGGAAAAAAGGAAGAACTGTATGTAACAGTATTATTAGATGAGATACATTAACATACTGGGATAAGATAAGATTTCTTTATTGTCACTGTACAAGTTCTGTGATGCAGAGAGTCAGCGGGTGTCGCTTCTGTGAGTGAGACTGCTCTGTGGTAGAAGCTGTTACGGAGTCAGGTCGTGTGTGTGTGTGTGTGTGTACAGCACCCTGTAGCGCTTGCCAGAGGGCAGGGGGGTGAACATGGCATGTCCGGGGTGTGTGATGTCACGGATGATGACTGTTGCCTTCCTGGTGCAGCGTGTCTTTTGTAAATGTCCTCTACTCTGGGGAGCTGGGAGCCGGTAATCCTCTCTGCGGTCCTGATGATGCGCTGGAGAGACTTCCTGTTTTCTAGAGTGCAGCCAGAATACCACGCTGTGATACAGTAGGTGATGACAGACTCAATGGCTGACCTATAGTAGTTTACCAGCAGCTGTTGTGGAAGTCGTGCTTTCTTCAGGCACCTCAGGAAGTGGAGCCTTTAAGTCCTTTCTCGGCCATCGCTGCGGTGTTAACGGACCAAGTTGCGTCCTGGCTGATGTGGACACTGAGGTACCTGAAGCTCTGCACGACCTCCACTGTCTCACCGTTGATGTTTATGGGGCGGTGGACGTTGGACTTCAGCCTCCTAAAGTCGAGGATCATCTCCTTAGTCTTCGCTGCGTTGAGGATCAGGTTGTTGTCTTGACTCCAGTTCTCTAGGTTCTCGACCTCTGCTCTGTAGGCTGACTCATTGTTGTTGGTGATCTGATTCTCACCTCGTGGGCACTCAGCACCAGCGCACCTGGTGGGTCCCGTTGCAGTGTCAGTGGTGAGTTGTTGTGACTGTCCCCGCAATCAAACCTGGCAAAGAAGCGGCTCAGATCTTCGGGTAGGGATGGGTTGGCAGTGTGTGTTGGGCTGCTGTTGTTGCCTGCATAGCCTGTTATTGTCTTGATGCCCTGCCACATGCGTCAGGAGTCAGAGCTGTTAAAGTGCTCCTCTATACGCATTTTGTAGCACCGCTTCGCTTCTCTGATGCCGTTCCTCAGTTTGGACCTGGCTGATCCCCTGTGCGGAAAGCAGCATCACAAGCCTTTAACAGGTTAACCACAGCTGCATTCATCCACGGTTTGTGGTTGGGGGAGTGTGCATATGTTCTTGTCTGTGGTTACATTGTCCATGCAGAAGGTGATGTAGTGCAGCACAGATGAGGCATCGGTGTTCAGGTCTGTGTGGTTGTTGAATGTGGAAGTCTGTTTGAAGAGGTCCCAGTCTGTCTCATCGAAGCAGTCTTGTAGTCTGGCCATGGCTTCTTCAGGCCAGACCCTGATGGTGCGAACTGTGGGCTTAATCCTTGCAATGAGAGGTCTGTATGCAGGGGTCACAAGCAGGCTGATGTGGTCAGACCGGCCAAGATGGGGGGAAGGCGAGGCTTTGTAACCCCTTGCTATGTTGCAAATGCTGGATGTGCTATGGATGTCATTCTTTATTAACAGCCACTTACTGTTCCAATTATTACACAGCAAGGTAATGCCTAAAGATAAACCAATCTCGTGCGAGAGAACATTCAACATGGCCATGACTCAGTGAAAACCAGATGTACATAAGAAGACTGCTCACTTGTTAACAGGTGCCGTGATGCCCTTTCCATCACTGCCCAGACCTTCACCTTCCTTCCAGCCCATCTTCATGAGCATTCGGAAACCAAGATTCTCCACCGTCAACTTAAACTCTTTGTACTCAGAGTAGTCTGGATCCCGGCCCTCCTGCAACACACAGAGAAGTAGAGAGGAGAGATTATTGATGACATAGGTTAAGGCAAGATTTTCTGCTTTTTCTTTTGATGACATTGAAATTACTAAACACTGCCTGTCACCTGAGTCTGTTCACTAAAGAAAAGTATATTCAAGTACAGAAATTTAATTTGATTGACTTAGAACTCATATGGTGTGTTTTATTTTTATTTAACAGTTACATCTTGACTTCAAAGTGAAGTCATCTTCAAAACTGTTTTTAATGACAATTCCCAATGGTTGTGTAACAGAAAATCCCTCTCTATTAGGCTTCAGAAAATGGAAGAAAAACTGACCTTTAGTGCCTTGAAGGTCTCCATAAACTTCTCCAGCTCTTCCGGGGGCAGGAAGTCCCCTATAAAGTGTTTCCCTTTCCCCATTTCTGTCAGGGATTCGGCCCACTCTGGAACAGAACAAACAAATCGTTTTTGTTTTGTTTGTTTTTTTTACAGTAACAGTTGATCACTTAATAAGGACTTCTTATCAAACACCCACTGATAACCAACAATTCCTGATAGTGGTGGTCATCGTTACCTCGGGTCTTCTCCATTTCCATCTGTCGGAGACGATGCTCCCAGGTGCCGGCCTGCTGGTCCACCTCTTCATCGCTGTCATATTCATGTTGATGGTCTCTCATGGCCTTATCCCACATTGACTGCATCTCTGCCATTGCACGCTTGTGTTTAATGATAATGTCATACATTTCTTGCATCTAGAGTGTGTGAGAAATAATAACACAGAGACAGGAACATGTTTACTAAGATGGTAATATACAGGTAATAGTCCTTAACTATTGGTGTGAATAACTTGATTCTATTAAAGACAAGTTAAATAAAAAACAATTGCAGAATATATGTCAAAAATGTTTTTTACATTCCTTAGTTATATTGGGAGTTGACTTTGTTTTTACCTCTTGCTGCTCTTTGATTTGTTTTTTCTGTTCCTCTGAGAGTTCTGTCACTCCTACCAGACCAAGAGGCTTCCCCTTTTTATAACCGAGACTTTTTAGCTCATTAACTGAAAGAAACATCACAACAAAGTTTAGTACTTATAAATACATGACCTAATAGTTGAATGAAAATAACAAAGGGAAATGTGATTTGCAGAACATTGTTTGAACAATAAGCAATACTTATTACTTCTATTTTTGTATTCTTATTCTGAAATTGTTGACAGTACCTATATTTATAAATATATAATATATATAAATAATATATATTTACTATAATCAGTTTCTTTTTTTTACTGTAATCACTGTATTTTTTTTGACTATTTCAAGTATGCACATCAGTATGAACATGTATGTGAAAATCTATGACAACGTTATCAGTTACAAAAATATACTCTTGATGCATTCTACAAGGCTTTTACTCAGATTAGGTTAATGCAAAATTCTCAAAAGAATAAACTGCCAATTTGCACATATTTGTGTGTGTGTGTGTGTGAAGTGCTACTTCAAGTACCAGAGAGGGCGGGTGTGTTAATGTCTTGAACAATCTCTGGAGGGACAACGATGGGAGGAAGCGGCAGCTCCACTTTGTCATCCTCTGACCCCCACCGACTCTTTCTTTTCCGTTTCACAGGTGGAGTTACTGTGTCTTGAGTCTTAGACAGGGAGGTGGGGTTCGGCGGTGGAGGGATTCCCAGTGGTGAGGGTATGGCCGGTCGTAGAAGGTGTGTCCCAGACACTTCTGCTGGAGGTGAGGAGTTCTGAGAGACTGAAGCACGATACTCCTGTACTTTCTCTTTGTAGAAGTGGTAGGCCGGACTTTGGTGGTCATACAAGAAACTGAAGGACAGACAGTGAATATCTTGTGTGAGGTGGAACTTTAAATTATGATACACAGTTAAATACTGTGTACAGTGACTGACCTGCAGGCAGGATTGGCTCGGTTGTGCTCAGCAGCGATGGCTTCCACCTCAGGACCACCCTCTGACACAAACCTTGCCAGCTTCTCGGCCATCTGCAGGGTTTCCGCGTCCACTGGGGGGGAGACTTTAAGCAGCCTATCAGTACTGGGACTCTATTCACACTCAACTACTGTACCGTACTCAACTGGCCCTCACACACCACCAGTCTAGAGCCAATAGGGGATAAGAAGAGGAAGGAGGAGCAAGGGGGACATGGGTGGTGAATGGGGAACTGCATGGATGTGAGGATTTAACTGTAACAAATGAAACTCTAAAATTCCCAGAGCGGCTGCAGTCCACTAGTGGGTACAGTACACCTTCACTGAGAAACCTTTCAGTATCTGCTTGTATAAACGAATGCATATCGCAAGATTCAGCTAAATCTTAATCGTAGCTAAATCCTCAAAACCTCGCTCTGATTAAACGAGGCCAGTCTAGAGATTAGCAATACAGACCAAGCAATATAAATCACAATTTGTTGGTGGAAGTGGTGTGCCCTCTTTGCAACCTTCAAAGTCCTATTGGAAACGAAAAATGTTCGACTCCAACACAGGAAAATGAGAGGAATACTAAGAAACCACAGCTGTAACTAAAACAACCTCAAATAAGAAGCTGCTTCATGCTGAATCAGTTCAGGACTTCTTAAAATGATTTTACAATTTTACAATGCACATCAGACATCGGTCAGCATTATAGCTTCTCCAAATTAGAGACCCAAAGGGAGAATCTCATATGACAAATTATGATAATTTATGAAACACAAAATAAGGGATTCTTCAAGACATTTATTCAAGTCTGGAGTTAACAGAGAGAGAAGAATGTGTCTTTTGCCCCTGCTGTTGTTGCCATTGTTTGGTGCAACACCAATTTTGTATAAGTGAGAGGAAATGTGAGATGAATAAAAAAGACACAAATGTGAGTGTGTGAGAAAAGGTAATCTTACCATTATCTGATGTATTCTCCGGGCCGAGTAAATCCTTTCTCAGAACTGCAACTCTATTTTTGAAGTAGAGATACTCCAAGCTGCTTTTATTGTATAAAAATCTAAAGGAAAGGGACAAAAATCAATCAGGTGACTTTGAAACTGCAGTTTGATTTGAGGATTCAAGAGGTTAATTGTCAATCCAGAGCATATATGATCTTGAACATGAATTCAATAAGATACTCAGGTCTAGAGGAAGAAATTAAATAAAATACAATAATAGTAACTATATGCAATACAAACTATATATACGATAAAATCAAGTCTATATACAAAGACTTTAAAGTCTGTAAAAGAAAATTGAACAATAAATATTTTGCATAATGTATGTATATATATGGATATAAGAAAGGGGAATACACTTAGCCAAGTGACCACAATTGAGTAATTAAATCAGGATGACATATATTGTCTTCTTCACTTACGCGAAAACAGGATTGTCTTTGTAGTCCTCCCTGGCCTTTCTCTCCAGCTCAGGTCCTCCCTCTGCCACAAAGGAGGCCATCTTATCGATGATAAGTTTAGTGTCTGAATCCTCTGGGGGAGAAACTTTAAGCAGGCTATGAGTACAATTACTCTAAGGACACCTTTGATAAATGCCACTCACAAGGCATCTGTGCCATAGGAGTAGACAGAAGATGCACTGAATCGTCCAAGCCATGTCGCTGGCCAGATTTATACTGAAAAACACAGGCCTTGAATTACCTTTCATCTCTAAGAATCTGGAGTAATCAGCCTCTTCTTCCTCTTCATCATCGTCTGGAGAACAAAACACACTCGGTCTCTGGCTGACGACAGGATTCTTCTTTGTCTGCGAGTAGTTCTTGAACTGACTAAGCATGCTACTGACTCCAAGGCCAGGCCTCTTGCCAACAAGAATGCTCTTTTTTTGCAGTGCGTTTCCTCCTGGTGATGGAGCTGAAGTTGAGGGATTTGTGGCATCAGTTGTTGAACCTAGAACAACAAAATCCAGTGTTGGCCTTAAACTAATTGCAGTTATTCTGTCTGTTGAATCGGCAAGTTTTGTTTTACTTGATAGGAGGTTATCAAAAAAAGTAAGCAATATTAGTGTGTGCACTGTTAACCTGCTTTTCAGCTGCTTTGGTAAATTTTCAAACACAACTGAACTCCACACTAGCACACACGTTATAAATACATGACAAAACAAATGTCAGTAATCTTTTCTGTCAAACCGATAAAAGATACTAACCATTTTCTGATTTATCCTTTTGCATCCTTATGAACTGCTGTAAGAAGCTTCCATCGTTTGCAAACTTGTTTGAATTAGGTCCTTGAAGACTGGGAGAAACACTGGGAACAGAGTTGTCTTTATTAATATAACATTAAGTCAATATTGTTAAATAAAGTATTCACACGAAACAATAGTGACTGACAGCACCAGGCATTGCTGTACTTTCCATCAATTGAATGTTAACTCTGTGTTTATGTCGTTGTAGGCAGATATTGGTACCTTGGAGGCAGAGGTTTGTTTACAGGTTTTACATTCATTTTTGCTTGCTCAGCCATTCTTTCCTCAATCTCTTTCTTCTTCTGGGCTATCAGCTTCTCTTGACGGAGAATATTTAAGTTCATCTTCTTTTTCTGAGGCTGTTCAGGTTTAGACTTCCATCCTCCTCGACCTGAAAAAAAAAAAAAAGATAAAAAATCTGAATACAACAAATAACAACAACAACAAACATGTTATAACAGGCAGATAGTGTTGCAGAATGCTTTTCTGACCTGTTTCCTTTCAATTATTTTGGATTGTCCCCCAAATATTTAATATTTCTGTGTTTTCAGATGATTAATGTACACGAATAATATTCTAATTTTGCGATACAAAAACAAACAAACAACAAAGCTAGTCTTGATAACACATGTTAAGCCTTTGAATGTGATGGGTGACTGTGGGTATGAAGGCTGCATTTAAAGATAAGGTCAGTGTATAAAAGGTAAAGCTTTAATTAACAGGGGGTCTAGTTTCGCTTAGCCAGCAACTTGCTAACGTTGAACTGCTAACAAGAAAACTGTCGCACGGCTTCATAAACTCGCTATCATCTCAGCGAGGGAAAGCTAATATAAATAGGACCATCATTTTAGCCCAAGGTGATATTAACCTGAATCGCTGTAATCCATGGTCTTGGTAGGAGGACAATATATTCCAAAAGAATCTCACAAACTCAAGTAAGGCCTTCACTGCTACAGTTGCAGTTTACAGATAGCTTAGCCCGCTAGCACAAATAAGAGCAAGACTTCCGGTTACAGTGTTTCAAGAATAAAACGCTTAAGTTAATACATCTAGGTAGAGCTACACAGGATGTCAGATGCTGATTAAGTTTCTAGCTTTCGCACAATTATATATATTTTTTTTGTATAAGATAAAGTTTATACTGTCGTGTTGCGTGTAAATTATTCCCACAGACGGTTCATAGAGCATTTATGTGTGCCTTTTATTGCCGTTTTCACCGACATGACAATCCCTGTAGAATGCTCGTTAACTCAACAACTTCCTGTTACGAACGTGTGTCCTTCAAAATAAGAGCACATTGTAATACTAACAGATTACACCACATAGCCTGCACTATATCTCAGAAATACTGATTTAAGTACTAAAATCATTTAACCACAAATACACAGGTGACACCTGAATAAACCAGGAGTATCTGTTATGAAAGCCCAAAGAGCAATATTGACATGCACATCGTACAGATTTTACCCTTCATCACAGCTTCACAAACATTTGCACATGATACGGAAATGGAGTCTGTTACATTCATATTCAGTCATTTCTACATAGTTTATGTTACGGTGTTCTACCTAATGGCATAGAGTTGAATTGCCAATTTTATGTCCTCATTTAGAACTTTAATATGGCTGTGAATGTTAAATTAAAGTGATTCATATTAACAGATAAAGACAGATGAAGACATCCTATGAGGGGAAATCACAGAGAATATACAGTGTCCACTTTTAATAACAATAACTCTTTCCAGTGTAGTTACTGTGTAATTTTCCATTATTGTATTTTTTTTATTTAACTGATGTAAATATGTTTGATTTGATTTTTAACTTCTATTTTTATTTTTTAATAATTATATTCCCGTCCCCTGTTTTCTTGAGCTCCTGTAATGCACAAATTTCCCCCACGGGAACGACTTTGTTTGAATGTAAAACCGGAATTCGTCTGCTTGAAGCTACCATGATCGTTCATTTGGCGTTCGCATGTTTCCGTCACCGGGGTACTTCTACTACTGTAATATTTACAGTCTATGGGTACTTCCCATTGCAACATTGCCAAGTACCTACTCAGTCTGTCAGTAGGCAGTAGGCAGTACCTACTATCCGTGCTGTCTACTGTTTAGTACCTACTATTCAGTAAGCGTGCACAGTAGGCAGATATTTGTGTATACACATACACACATACACATATATACACATATTTCTTCTGATTCAGGGATAAGCAACTTTGGTCACGGCGAGGGCCACATTAATTTAGTTCTCCCTACCAAAGGGCCAAATTGTAGAATACAAAAAATTATAAAATCAATTATGTCTCAAATTTAACACAACATATACCAGTGGTCAAATATTATTATGGACATATTTCTGGTTTTCATGTTTTCATGGCAGATTTTGTCACATTTTCTAAATGTTTCCAATTCATTGATATGTAAAAATTGACTTGAGGGCCACGTTGAGGGTTGATGGGGGCCGCCAGTTGCCCACCCCTGGTCTGATTAATTCAGTAAGGAAGTGGCGTCATTTACGTTACCCGAACCGGCCGCATTCACCCGTTTTTTAATTTTATTTTTTTTAGCTTTATTCAAGAAGAGTAATGCGCATATACAGTCAGGTAAACAAAAAACAATATCACAAGTAAAAGACAGATTAAATAACTAAATAACATACAGTACATAAAGGAAAGTACAAATGAAAGCCAGTAATATACAGAATATAAAGTAAAATAAACCAATTAAGACGCATTTAAATAGTGAAATCATTATTTAGATAGAGGGGAAAAGGTTTTATAATAATGCAGACATTTGTTACATTTTCTGTTGTTAACTGAAGGTAGCGATTTCAGTCGGGACTTTAAATTAATATTAAATTAATCAACGCTCGTTTGTTTTGATTTGGAGGCGCACGTGAAGTGACGATTTACGTTTAATTTCGCGCAGGTGTCTCGAGCTCTGTTGTCCCTCGTCGCTACCCGTATGTACCCGTTCAGCTGCTCTCCTACTTAGAAATGGCTGAAGCTCCCCCACGGCCCTGCCGCTTCTTTTGTCACCGGTGTTCAGCAGAGATTTGTCCGCGTTTACCGGTAAGGACTGTGGAGAAATCTGTGTCCACACAGGCAGTGATTAGTAACATTTGGTCATTACTTTGTGTGCGTTTGTTTGGCGGACGTGCAGTCACGTCTGCTGTTCAGCTACGCTAGTTAGCTACCTCAATGGCAGCAGCTGTACAGTATGGTAGTGTTGAAGTTCTCTGTTACACTCGCATTATGGTCTTTTGTTAGACAGCGATGATTTTAACAATGTTGAATTACAGCAGCTAGATAGAGTCTGTTTCGGCTTGTTTGATGCGCATTATAGTGGTAACGTCAGTCAGCTAATAGAAGAAAGCTCAGGTTCACTTTTTTTTTTTAGTACGATTACGATTGTGTTGTGAAGCTATCTTCAAGTGTCTGTTTGATTCAGTGATTAAACCGTGTCTTTCATTCATCACAAGTCTTATTGTAACCGTGTCGTGTGTATACCCTAAAGGTATATTGGCAATATCGCTTCAATCCCAGTAATCATCTGCCGCTTGCCTGCCAAAGCAGTCTGTTGTCAAGCCATCCATGAGAAGCTTCTTGAATGTTAGAGTAACTTTAACGTAACTAAGAGCCAGTCAGCTGCTAGAACTGCAATTTACAGTCCCATTCAATTACTGATTATAAATTCTAATAATGTGTTTTTTTATACACGAAGACTGCAGTTTGTGCTTCTGTCGATTCAGTCACCTGAAGAGGCTTTAGTACATTTTAAGTTTCTGTATTTTAATCTGTTCCGTAGAGTTATAATTCAAGAAAGCAAAATACAAGCCAATAGCAGCACAACTGGAAAAATCTAGAAAGAGCATCAAGTTTACAAACAACATTTCTCTCAAATTTGTTACCCCAACTAGAGAATGTTTTTTTTTTGGCCAAGTTGTTGAATTAGAGTGCATACGAGCATATTTACAGTCTATGGTTTTAGCCAAGTGTTTCTGACAAACAGACAACTTTGTGCATGTTTGTTACAATGTTGACAAACTAAATACATATACTGTATATCTTGACTGTAGGACTACACTTGTCCACGCTGTGATTCTGGTTTCATTGAGGAACTTACTGAAGAAAGAAGGTACAGAGACCTATTGTGTACCTCATTTTTATCAATTTGGTTTTCATCTAGCTCTCTGAGTCTTTTACTGTCCTTACCTTACCACTTTGTTCATTCAGTACGGAAAATGGGTCCGCATCCACATCATCTTCCAGTGATCAGAACCGCCCAGCCTTTGAGGTCAGTTTGACTTTTTAAATCTTCTGGTACATGAAAACGTGCTGTCCATCTAGTTCTTTGATGCTGACATAGTCTCTGTCTTTTCTATCAGAACATTGATCACCAGCACTTATTTACATTTCCCTCTGGGTATGGTCCCTTCTCGTTTGGGATTTTTGATGAAAACTTCGACCTTCGAACACGGCTACCCACAGAGGACAACAGAGAGGCAGAAAACAGGAGAGAGAGGGAAATGGCGTCACGGCAACGATACAGTGCAAGGCAACCCCGGGGTCGGCACGTTCCTCGACGACAGGGTACGCGCCATGAAGGAGTGCCCACATTAGAGGGGTGAGACTTTTTCAGCAGTACAGTGAGTGTGGGAGGTTTATGTGGGACACAAGAGGATACGGTTAAATAATAACTTCTTGACCAATATTGATTTTAGTTTTGTGTTTAGATACTTCTGAACATGATGTGGAAATTTGGTTTAAAAAAATCCTTGAAAAATTAAATTTGATTTCAATTGTTATTTCCCTTAACAGCATTATCCAGCAGCTAGTAAATGGAATTATAGCACCTACAGCCATGCCAAATATCGGAATGGGCCCTTGGTAAGTATGAGAAACTGTGCTCCGTTTTTAGATTCCGATATTACTGTTGCTGTGTTTTTATTTACCATGTTGTTGTCTTGCAGGGGAATGCTACATTCCAATCCAATGGACTATGCCTGGGGGGCCAATGGTCTTGATGCTATCATAACACAGGTATAAAAAGTGATATTTTTTTCATGACAGAGAGATTGATATTTCTGAATCATGTTATCATTTACTTCTTAGAAAAAAATGTGACCTATGGATCAGAAGTCCCGTAGGGTGTTTCTTCATTTCAAAACGTGTTGACAGTAAACACACAGCATTTCTCAAATTGCATTTCTGCTGCTGCCAATAATTCATTCTTTAAATCAGACTTCATATTTAAAAGAGTTGTCACTTACAGAAAAAAATGCTTTCAAATGTAGAAGGGCCATTTTTTGGTACAAATTTTCATTTTTTTTAATTGTAGTTATTGAACCAATTTGAAAACACGGGTCCTCCTCCTGCTGACAGGGAAAGGATAAAGAGTTTACCAACCACCTCCATTACAGAGGAACATGTGGGTAAGTCTCATTCTCACTTTTTTTTATTCCACGCTCTCACTTATTGACTCTCAAACCATTCTGTTCCCGAAGTAACGAGAACCAAACAGATCGGAAAAGTTCTTTTGAATGACGTTGACATACATGCCCCTACAACCTTGTTGACATAACTCGTAAAAAGTAAACCCATGCATTGCATGTCTCAGACAATAATCACCCTCTTAAAAAGTGCTTTAACATGTTTGTAGTTTCATGCTATAACAAACTAATGTGTGATCTTTAGTAAATGTTTATATGAACCTCTACTTGGACTGTAGAGACTGTCAGTGGTATTGCAGTAAAGTGCCTGAAAATCTGAATTGAATCGTACACTGCTGAACGTTTCCTTAACTCAAACAAACAGAATCTGTGGGGTCAGAATTTTCCATGCAGCTGAAACTTGTGACCATGGGTGACACACACACACACACACGCACACACGCGCACACGCTAACAGTTTGTGGTTTTCTGTTTGTGCAGGTGCTGGTTTGGAGTGTCCGGTGTGCAAAGAAGACTACAGCGTTGAGGAGAGTGTTAGACAACTGCCATGCAATCATTTATTTCACAATGACTGTATAGTACCGTGGCTTGAACAGGTATGTAAATATATCAATAACATCCGTTAGTATGATATCAGACATTGATTTAGGATTGAAAAGGTATCTGCTACATCAGCCTGAATATAAATACATTCAATTTAAGTCAGAGTTGTGTATGATATTTATTTTATCACAGTAAACTGTGCTTTTTAAAACATTGGAAAGTATTCCTAAACAAAGTTAATAAGTGAAGTGTAAATAAACACAAACATCAGCAGCCAGAGGTTTTAGTTAAAGGGGAAGAACTTGATGGCTTTTCAGTGACAAAAAGAAAGACAAGCTTTCTTTGGGTTAAAAATTATGTTTGCTTGGATTTTTCTGATGATTGAACCTAAGCATTTAACTTCCTCTTGGGATAGGGTACACATTTTCTAAACCTTGAAATACTGTACAGTATAAAATGAAAATACAACACTTGGTTGAATAAGAACAATCATAACATTTCAACATAGATACCAAATGAAAGGGTTTGATTTGTTTTCTTAATAAAGTCATTGTGGTGTCTTTGGAGGATGGATTGTCTTTTTCTTTGCCCTAACCATTCTGCAGCGAGTGCAGAACATCACATTTTTTCTGCTGATGTTTATAGATAACATGCGACCAAGATACATGACATTCCACATTTTATTTAACCTACGAAGCACACAAAACACTTTGATACAAAAGAAAGACAATAAAGAGAAAAGGAGGGAAATAAAGTCTTGTTCACTTTGACACATGCACAAGATTTAGAAAACATACAGAACAATTTCAGAAAAAAAGGTTCAACACAATACAACAACACCAATATATACCAAAACTTACCAGCACCATAAAATGCTTTTCTTAGACTTTCTTCATTGTTATTCAAACTTGTACTTTACAGTGCAGATAAGAATGACATTTTGTTGCAGGATAAAAACAGCAGCAAGTATTCACATAGAAAAATAAGGTGCAGATATAAAAAGAAAAGTTATGTATAAAATTTCTATACAGATAAATATATTGCATGTTTGTGATGTATGTTATATTGTATTTTACAGTCCAGTGAGGTAGTCCTGTGTGGGGGTTTGAGGGGGAATGGAGGGATTCTTTTTTTGTGTTCAAAAGTCTTATGGCCTGTGGGAAGAAGCTGTTACAGAACCTGGAAGTTCTGCTTCGGAGGCTGCAGAACCTCTTTCCAGAGTCCAGCAGCGAAAACAGTCCTTGGTGGGAGTGGGAGGTGTCTCTGCTGATTTTCTGACCCCTGGTCAGGCAGCGGATTTTCGGTGTCATCACAATATTAACATGCTCAATAAAGACATCACAGTAGGCAAAAATGAAATGCACTGAATAGAAAAACAATTATTTTCTAATGTCCGTTTGCTGTGGACTACAAAGTTGTTTGGCACAGAGGCTGAGTGAGGGGACAAGAGCAAGACAAATGTGGTTGATGAGATCATTCTGTTGAAATAACAGCAACTATGCTATTTGGAATTATTTTGGCTTTATGAGAGACAAAGTGTTCTAAACCAGGTACTAGATAAACATTACAAACAAACTCTTAAGTTATAACTGGTGTGCACTTAAATATTATTCATATTGAGTTTGTTATTGTTTGAACATTGGTGTTACACTTTACAGATTTTCTTTACATCAGCACCACCTTATAGGCCTGATATGTTTTCAAAGTTAAATACGTAGCAATCATTTTCTATTAAATACGATTGTGTGTTCATTCATGTCACTTTGTAAATATATTGAAAATACTTCACATTTTAATAAAAGTCTCTGTCCTTCATATTTCCTGCAGCATGATACGTGTCCTGTGTGCAGGAAGAGTCTTAGCGGACAGAACACGGCCACAGACCCGCCAGGGTTATCAGGAATGAACTTCTCCCCCTCCTCCTCATCCTCTTCCTCCCCCAGCTCACCTAGCAATGAGAACGCTGCCAGCAACTCGTAGAATTTTACCTTCAAGGCCACCTCGCATCTGAGAAATCTCACAAAACAAGTGAAACAGGCCACAGCGACTCCTCTCTACAGCTGAGACCAGGACAGCTGTCTGTTTCAATTCAAGAGGACAATATCGAGGTGAACTCTGAATCTTTTGCTGAACTGATGCTGGGCACAGCTCCTGCTGCTATACTAGCGGCGTTCTCGGGGTGGGACAGGGCAGTGGTAAAGAAGGCTCCAGAGAGACTGTGAATAGTGATAATAAAGGTAAGATTGTACCAAGAACTGGAGTAGAATTTGAGCTTGAGTGGACTTCTTCATGATGGAGATGTTTATTTGCCAAGAGGTGGAAAAATATTTAATAGACAAGAGACGAAAAGCTCTTTTTTTAATAAAAACATTTCCTGTGGTGGCAGAGTACATACTGTAGGTGTGTAGTTAGAGAATTCATCTTGAACTGTCAGCTGCTGTACGGCTAACGGATCAACTCAAACCTTGCAGAAAGGGAACTAAGTGTATGCATCAGATTTAATTTAAATTTATTTGCAGCTTTATTTTTTATTTTGCACAAAAATCCTGTCTGATGTTGAGAATGTGAATTTTGGGAAACTACTGAACAAAAAAGGGATATTTCTTTTACTTTTTTTTGCATTGAATGACTTTTAAGACTTTTTTTTTTATAAGATTCTTTTTATATCACAGCTTGATCCAGTGTATTTGGTGTATTTTGACAAGTAACGATGCGCGTAGCTCAAAACCGACTCATTATTGAATGCTTTCCTGAGATTGATCGATGTAAAAGGATAATCAAGACAAAAAAGGCATGGGATTATGTTACCTCTATGGAACTGACCAAATGTGTTTCACAAAACAAGTGTTTATTATTTTATTTACTGATTTTTCGTACAGTCACAATAAAGTGCTAAAAAACTGTTTTCCCTGCCAAGTATGTGCAGTTAAATGTCTCAATAATAATTATGGATTACTCAAACTACAGAGTCCTGACAACGATACCTGGGCCTGTGGTGTCTGCAAAGACCAAGCACCGATCCCAACCATTGTTAAATAAATAAGCCCACTGTGCTTACATGTGGAAATGAGATGAGATGAGATGAGATTCAACTTTATTGTCATTACACATATACAAGTATAGAGTAACGAAATGAGGTTTGGCATCTCACCAGAAGTGCAAATAAGCAGAAAGTGCAAGAGTCTGTGCTATTAACAGATCATCCTGGGAATCAGCCACAATTAACAGATCATCCTGGGAATCAGCCACATTGTCTTATCGCCATCCAGCTATCTGTCTGAATAATTCAGATAACTAATCACAACTCAGCCTTGTGTTTACTTCCAAGTCCCAAACACAACCACGCTCCAAGACTGGTGAGTACTTTTACCTAAGCACTGTAAGACTCGCCTTTGTGACGAAGCACAAACTTAATCTTGATATAAGTCTTAGAGTTCCTACATTAAAGTAGCATGTCAGACCTGATGTTCTCAAGGTTGATCAAAGTCACATTTTAAGACATTCACAGTGAGCCTGACAAAATGTTTAACTTATATGATTAGCTGACCTTAACAATACAGAGGTTCTGGTTTAGCAATTAAAGCTTAATTGTTTGCTAAAATGTTGGAAAGAGACGCATGCTAATTTGTCTTTAAAAGTCCAGCAAATTTGTGTCTTTGCTCCACAAAAATAAGGTAATAACTCAATCTTCCATATAGGTCAATACTAATTTTGATTCATAGATCCATTTCAGCTCTTGTCTCTAACTAAAATGTTTCTGGGCCTTTGCCCCCACCACCACTTACCTGCCTACTTGTTTGTGACACTTTTAATTGTATTCAAATCCTTTAACTAAATCTGTGTGTCTTCTTCATTTCTGAGAGAGCATTGTACTGCATGCACCGACCTTCCAGGAAATAGAACTGAACGTGGGTGCAGCTGTCCAGCTAGAGGATTGAAGTGAAGTTAGGATTGCAGAGAGAGGGAGACAGAGAGAAAGAAGAGGAAGGGTGATAGAGTGATGATGTTTATTTCTTCCCTGCACTGATGTGAAAAGGTAAGAAGTCGTTTGGAAAAGTAAAAGATATATCATGGATGAAATAAAAATCCAGTGTAGGTATATTTCTTTTAAGTAGGTCTATATCAGGGATGGGCAACTTTGGTCAAGGCAAGGGCCACATTCAATTAATTCTCCCTGCCAAAGGGCCAAATTGTAGTATACAAAAACGATCAATTATGAATCAATTATAAAAAAAAAATCAATTATGTCTCAAATTTAACTCAACATATGCCAGTGATCAAATATTATTATGGACGTATTTCTGGTTTTCAGTTAGGCTATCTGACATATACTGCTGTATATTCTTCCATTAGAAATGCCTAATAAAATGCATCTTACACAATCTGGATATAATATTTCTATGACCTCACCATGTTGTCCAGAATTTGAATTGAATTTTGCTTTGAAACCCATTTGTGGGAAGTTAATGGCACAGTATGTTTCCACGGAGTGGTGAACTTCAACACCTTAAAGATCTCACACCAATGAGTGACAAAAGCCTACGCGTTTTGTTCTGTAGAGACCTAGACTTATTCTGTAGACTTTGTTGATAGTGTTTAAAGTTTGGCACCGCTATTGAGTCAACATCTCATTGCAGTGAATACCACACAACCTCTGTGCTACCCCTGTGAGGCCGCTAGGGTGCGCTAAGCACCAACTCGATGGGTGACATCTATTCAGGAAGGATGTCATTGAGAACACCTTCTAAAATATGACATCATTGGAGTTTTCATTAACACGTGTTAATTAAACTTTTATTGTTAGTATAAAGAGTTGTTGACAACATTTCAGTCATCAATGGACGTGTGGTTCTGTGAAAAAAGCCACTTAAAGGCTCTTCATCTAAGCTGTAGGTCATGACTGCGAGGCCTTGACTGAAAAAAAAAAAAGCTGGAGCCGAATTAGCAGCAGCGTACGCTAATAGTTTAATGATATCTGACGCAGTCAAAGGGCTCAATTAGTTTGATGCTCAAGCATCTTTGACACAATGACTAGTGAAAGTAAAAGCGCAGTAGTTTGCAAATAAGTCACGTCCACCCCTCCCTCTGTCCCTCTCTCCTTCCTCTCCCTCTCTCCTCTTCTTCTCTTCATCTCTCTCCACCTCTGATTGGTTTTCTGTAAAGATAATTGGTGGCAAAATTTGATATGCCCAATGTCATGGACAGGAATGAGGTTTCACCGGCGACTGCTGCCACCATGAAAAAGAAGGCGGTAGGCGGATGCAGCCACATCAGCGCCCCTAAGGCTACCGCGTCCAAATGCACAAGAAGCACCAGCAGCCAGAACTGTCTGGACTCTGGTTCTTCCGGCGCACCGAGCGCTAAGCAGCCCGGTGCGGCCAGCAACGTCGTGATGGACGAGACGGAGGACGGGGAAGAGGAGTCCAGGTTCCAGCATCCGCGGTTGCGCCGAGCCGGGGGGAGCGGCAGCGGTGGAGGAGGAGGCGGCGGCGGCGGCGGCAGTATCAGGATGAAGAACTTTACGCCAGGAGGGGGAGCCGCGTCCTCGGGTTCCAGGAGAAACTCCAACAAGGAGCCGTGCCATACGCACACAGAGGACGCTCCCGCCGCTCCACGGCCCACTACTGCCTCCAGATCTGCCGAGACTCAGACACCCTGTCCGGGCGATGCTGCCCGGCGCGGAGAGACCAGCCGAGCATCTGGGGCGGAGGCGTCGGAATCAGCGGTCGCGTTAGAGGTTTTAAACGCGACAGCAGGTGATGGTTGCAACAGCGTCGTTACAATTTCCAGTATGAAATGCAACAAAAACGGAGAATGCAGGAGGGACTCGGGTACCGGGAGCCTGCGCTCAATAATCTCCAAGCAGGAGAAGCAGACAGGAGGGTCGGGGAGGGCCGAGGACGGGGGGAGCACGAAGCGGGGAGGCTGTAACTCGGCCACCGCCAGCATGGACGGCTCCATCACCCCAGGTGGGTCTTTGACCGGCGGACAGGGAGGCGAGAACGCTAACCCTGGCGCTACCCCCGTGTCCAGCGGCGTGCCCGAGAAAAAGGACTCCAAGGTGTCCTTCTCCAACGCACCGAGTCGGAAAGCCTCGTCCTCGCTGCATGGCCCGGCTCAGACTCAGAACCAGCAGCCCAGGAACTCTGTCACTTTCCAGAAGTCAGAGGAGGATGGACCGCCAATCGTGCCCGCCGAGGACGCGGAGCCTCAGGGCAGCCAAGCCAGCTTCATGCAGCGACAGTTTAGTAGTATGCTGCAGCCTGGAGTTAACAAATTCTCCTTACGCATGTATGGTAGTCAAAAAGCAGTAGAGAGAGAACAGGAGAGAGTAAAATCAGCTGGAAATTGGATTATCCACCCTTACAGTGATTTCAGGTAAGAGCTGCTGGGGCTGCCATTGGTTGCAGGTTGAAAGTCATGAGGGGCCCGTGTGGGTCCTCATTGTCATCTACAACTCACTTTAGTGTGAGAAACCACTGTCGCTCAATGGAAACACATTCATGGTTATTATTTAAGGCTAGATGCGGCTGATTTTTCATTCAATCCCCTCTGAGTTAATATGTACAGAGTCTAATCGATGCATTGCAACGTACGGCCGTTTATCCCCCAAACAACCTGTTGTCAGGCAAATGCACTTAAGCGGAGAGTGTCCTTTCAAGGTTGTAAACAAATCCTATTCCTGTCTGCATGTACAGTAGCATGTCTGGGATGCTCAACAAGCCTGGCCTGCTAACACAACCCCACTTTTCGTTGCAGCACGCGCACAGTTAACAAAGAGGACAGCGCCCTGGCGCTTATTTGAGTGTCAGATCTCTCAAATAGTACCATTACTATTCAAAGATTGGGTTATTATTCGTGGTTGTCTAAGCTCTGCGACGAGAGCCGTGCTGACAGGATATAGGCTATGTGTGTGTGTGTGTGTGTGTGTGTGTGTGTGTACGTGTGTGTACGCGATGCACTCAGTAATGGAATGTCACCTTGAGCCAAGTGTGCGAAAACCTCAAGCATGCTCACTGGAGACACATCCGCCTTTTCGACTCCCCGGATCCTGTATTTTAATGACGGATGCTCTCTGTTTACGTATCTCAGCCTAAACCCTAATGACCCAGCTGGACATGAAGCGGCATTTCTTTCATGCAAATATTTAGGGACATGTACGAATCAGGGGGGGGGGGGGGGGGGGCTCCTCGTGACTAAGTTTAAATAATTAGATGTTTTTTTTTTCTCTCTGGTATTTACCCGTCGCTGAATTGAAAATGAGTAGGTTTAGTTGTCGTATGGTGCTGTTTGTTTTCAGCACCACACCGGGTGGACAGCTCCCGGCTAATTTGTAGTCGGCTCGCGCTCCTGAGCTCTATTCTAAAAAATACCACCTTCACGTTTGGCCCATTTTTTGATTACATGTCTAGTCTGTAGACCACCAAAGCTAAACTTGAGACACTTTTTTCAACAACAGAGAGGTAATTTAACGACAGGGCCTCTTCTGAGACCTTTCTTTACCGTGTAAAATCCCACACAATGTGATGCAACAGCTGCCCCCCCCCAGTAACTCGTATGTTAATTGATGCTAGGTTAAACAGCAACGTTGCCTCCAACATTAGCCTACCTATCATCGTGGCATTTTCTGTTGTTGCCGGGAAGTGGAATAGTCGAGCTTGTTGCATAAGTAGCAGTGTAATGACTCAGCGCTGCACCTGTCCTGCAGAGCCTCCTCTTACGGGCTCAAACACCACTTCTGTTACTCTGTCCCGTTCACCTTACCGTCACATCACCATTGGTAGCAAATAACAAGTCCCTTACCTTCTTATGTGCTAGAAAGGTCTGTGTTTATTAAAGTGATATCAGGTGTCCTGGAGACCTAGGGTCCTCATTAAAAGCTTTAGAAGCATGCTTAACATGTTTAATCAGCTTAATGCTCAGTGAGTTTTTCATTTTTTTATGTGAATTAAGTGTAAATCTAAAATGGCAGCTGCACAAAAATGTCACTCTTGTCTGGGGTCTCAGAGACCCTGGCTTGAAACATGGTAAATATAGTTGAAAGGGAAAGTTCAACCCTTCTGAAACTCTAAATAGTTTTATTTACATGCCTATGTGTCTTGGATTTTATACAAATTTTACTAGTAAAACTAGTAATTTCCCCATGAAGAGACAACACACAATCCCTGGCTGAGAGGCACAGCAGTCACTACTCCTAAAGCCAACCTTCCTGAACTCAACACTGGGCTTTTAAGCTCTGAGGCCAGGTACACCTCATTGTGCAATCAGTAGCTTCACCTGGCAAGGATGGAAAAAAACAGAAGGAGAGAAGGACAAACAGCACAGGGAATATACAGCCATTGTGCAAATAAATGGAAACAAACAGTTTAGTAGTATGCTGCAACAATTGAAACAATGAGAAGAAACACAATGCTCTTTAAATGTGTTTTTACTCAGTGACATCCCATGTTATTTAAACCAGTTTAAGACAAAGAGAGGGTGAAGATGTTTCTTCAAACTATAACTATTCAAACTTTCATTTTAGACAAAAAAAAGCAGCCAGAAGAGTTCAAGAACTTAAGTCACAAACAACCAATTCTAAATATCGAAAAAATACCTTATCAGCTTTGCGTCGATACTTTTCCAACTACATGAACAGAGACAGTCATATGTTTCATTTAGTTTTAATTTAAGAATTTAGTTGTGTGGAAAAGTATTTCCTGACATATTGTTGTGGAAGATGAATTCTAGAAATGGTGAGTTTAACATAATGAGTCTTTGTTGTTGCTTTATGCATGTTCAGGCAGGCAAAGTGTGTTTACGCTTTTCCATCTTGTGTTTGGAAGCCTCTTGTGCCTATCGGCTTTCCACTGCAACTCCCTTTTCTTATCTGACTCTATTTTTGTCCTTCCCCACCCCTTTTCCCCCTCCTGTACACACACACACACACACACACACACACACACACACACACACGCACACACACACACACATCCATTTGAATACACTTTCATGTACACACCACAACCACACGCTCACATGCCTGCTAGGTTCTACTGGGATTTCACAATGCTGCTGTTTATGGTGGGCAACCTGATCATCATCCCTGTGGGTATCACCTTCTTCAAGGACGAGACCACAACGCCCTGGATCATCTTCAACGTGGTCTCTGACACCTTCTTCCTCATGGACCTGGTGCTAAACTTTCGCACAGGAATCATCATCGAGGACAACTCGGACATCATTTTGGACCCTGAAACAATTAAAAAGAAGTACTTAAAAACTTGGTTCATTGTGGACTTTGTCTCCTCCATCCCAGTGGATTACATATTCCTAATAGTGGAGAAAGGCATCGACTCGGAGGTGTACAAGACAGCTCGGGCGCTGAGGATCGTCCGCTTTACCAAGATCCTAAGTCTCCTGAGGCTGCTGAGGCTCTCCAGATTAATACGCTACATTCACCAATGGGAAGAGGTAAGAGCTTCATGACTGTCCTTGTGTAAATATTGTATTAACTCTAATCACACAACTCTGAGCAACAGAGGAAGAAACACCAAACCTAGTTGGTGATAAAAGGTCACTGATTTGCCTCAAACATGCTGATGTTGGCTGGAGACCAAACCAACAATCTGCCTCTTTGTCTGCTCCGAGCGGCCTGCTCTCCTCCGCCTGCAGGCTCTGTGTTAATGTTCTCACCTGCCACCTGGTGAGAAATGTCTAATGTCAGCAGCTTTAACTTACTTTGCATTCTAATTTCGATTATTGTCACACATTCCCCCCCCCCCCACCATCTGTCTGACCTGGCAATCCCACAGGTGGCATCAGCTGATTTAATAAGAAGCCTATTAACAGGCGGGAACACACTTAATCAATTAAGTCACCATAGAAGAGCAACTTATACAATGATCATAATAAGCAGCAATAATGGGCTGTATATTTGTATTATATGTGTTACTAATTGTTCATTTAAAAGAATAGTGGAAAGGGTGTTTCCAGTGGCATGGGCCCCCCTGAAATCTGATTGACCATGCCATGTGTCACCCCATAAACTGTGAATGTCTATCTGCCCGGTAGGAGACAGGACATATGAGCAAACCAAATCATTGAGCTGTTTTGCAAAAGTTTGCATGAGGCTTTTTTTTGTACTCTTACATTTTTCGAACCCATCTAGTAGTGACCAAGATATATGCCTCTCAGAGAGATGGGCAACTTTCGGGACTTCAAGTCCAACCAGCAACTTGTGAGGCGAGAATGAGGGGTAGAGTTGAGAGATGACGTCCATGATCCATGATTGTTAGCTGCACTTCTATGCAGATACTATCTTTTAAAAACATTATTTGAAGCCCCATGGGTTCTGAGATAGCACTACAGCTGATGTGTGCTGCTTCTTCTCCGCACGGACCATTTTCCTGTCTACTGCAAATGCCTGCTAGAACACTAGTTGATGAAAATTCCTTGTACTACGAATCAATCACAAGAACACCTTTGCACCAAAATCCGGTCCGCCTAAAGATTCTACTTTTTCAGCTTTTTTAAATGCAGAATCCGTAGAAATTAGTCTGTTTTACTGTAATTTGGATCAACATCTTTTATCTTTAGAGAAATAAGCAGTGTTGTAGTCAACACCACTCTAACCGAGACCTAGACATACCTGAGATCCGAGTGCTCCCAGACCAAGACAAGACCAAGACATTAAGGGATCAAGACAGGGTCAAGGTAAAAAGATAAATATCAATGAAAAATCATCAAGTTGTGTGCAGCAGGCATGTCACTCACTTAGACCGTAACACCGTTTGGGCCCCTCCAGTCAAATAATCCTGTATACACCCCTGAATTAGAGGGGTGAGGAAAGTGGTTTTACAGGTGAAGATTGGTACTGTTGCTAGGTAGTATCCCTCCTTCCTGAACTCAGCCTGAACTCAAAGCCCCCTTCCTGACCTTCCTGGCACACTCTGCTTTTATTCACTCTGTGAGGGATGCACTTTGTCAGGGTCCCTGCTCCAGCCTCTCCTTCTACTCCTTCCTCAAATGAAGGAGAGCAGCCTAGGAGACAAGAGGTCCAACCATGTCATGAGATCACTCGACTTTTTGTGTATGCCAGTATTGGCAGCCTTGTGTTGGCATTTTGCAGTGGCGAGCAGCGCAGTGGGGCCCAGCTTCGAACTTGACCTTTGGATAATTGGATTTCTGAAGATATGACACACACACACACACACACACACACACACACACACACACACACACACACACACACACACACACAGAGGAGTGAGATGGAAAGAGATACTTGTCATGCATGGAGAATGAGAGCGAAGACGTGATGGAGAATGAGAGACTAAAAGTGGAAATGTCTAGTTACAATAGTCTTTCTTTTTGAAGATATCTCATAGTTTACTTTGGAAATCCAGATCTCGGCACCTTACACTAATTCCAATTGCTACGTGGCCTTCTGAGTACCTTCTGAAAAAAAGTATGGAAAAAAAACTGGGAAAACATTTTTAGGGGCTGTATAGTACTGGCATTACAAGGCTTTCATAATTGCTGTCATTGTTGTATGGTTTGACTCACTGATGGAATCCATACCTGAAAACAGATTTAGTACCTAGAAACAAGCTAATTCTACTGGCTAATTCTCCCTGACGTCCTTTGTTTCTTCATTCAATTTCATTCAAAAAAGTATCAAAATCACAGTTTTCCCTTCAGTCTTTTCTTTCTTAAAAATTGATTGATTAAGTATTGCTAGCTTTGACCAACAGTACTCTCCTTAATAGCTGGTTGTTGCACCTGAAGCCAGTTCTTCTTTGTCATTCTAAAAATGTGTTGGCCATTAACAGCCAGTAGAACGGGGAATTAATTGGGGTATTCGCTGATACCCCATACTGCATTTTCAGCGGTATCTTTTGGCATTTTTTGACCGTGGTATTGGAAACGAAAGAACTCTGATTTAGGTTCCTGTATGTGTCTGAGAGCTGACCGTGGTGCTGAACATCTCCATCAGCAAACACAATATGGCTGTGTCCTCTCATCCATCCTAAGTCAAGAAGATATGACAAATTAGTATTTTTTGTGAGTTTCTGATTGATAAAGACTGACAGTAAAAACCCTATAAAGGTTAAGCAGCTTTAGAAAGATCAGCACATGTGATTCATGTCCAGTCTCATTCGCCATCACTCCCATCACAGAGTATCACTTCTCCCTCAGCTGCACTGAGTAACAGATGACCCATTTCTCAGTTTGTCATAGTAGGCTCATCCAACACTTCTACATATTAAGAGCTTTTAAAGATGATGTTGGTGTTGAATGCAACAAGGTAAGTGCTAGGCCCCATCCTGAAGTCTGTCAGGTGATTAAACTACAGGAACTTCCAGCGACTCAGAATGATTGATGTGTGGGACAACAAAGACTATCACTTGTTAAGGATCATGATGGTCCCTGTCCATCACTCTGTTGGTTTGTGTACATGTTAGCATGTCTGTCTGTGTTATTGTATCAGTGTGCCTTCAGGCTTTTGTGAGTGTTTTGAGCGTGTGAATAGACTGTGTGTGTGTGTGTGTGTGTGTGTGTGAGCCTCTGATTAATGTCATGTATCTCTGTGTAAAAAATATCTTGCTGTCTCCTGCTGGGTTTGATTTGGGACTGATGGGAATCTGTCTCCCCTTCTTATTAATCAAACTTGGTACGATCCATAGGAGACTGTAGAGCTGAGTGGGAAGCCTATAATGCCACAGAGAAATACAAACAGCATCTTTAGCAATGAATGTCTTCTTATCTAAATTATCTTCCATATCCAACACACCTCCCATCCCATTGTAAATTTTTCCTCACTCTGCCATTGTCTCTATCTAGATCTTCCATATGACCTATGACCTGGCCAGTGCGGTGATGCGGATCTTTAACCTGATTGGTATGATGCTGCTGTTGTGTCACTGGGACGGCTGCCTACAGTTCCTTGTTCCAATGCTGCAGGACTTCCCCTCAGACTGCTGGGTGTCCCTCAACAAGATGGAGGTTAGTGTCAGAGATTCATGTCTGCGCATACAAATCAGCTTATATGAACTAGATTTACATCTTCTGTTCTGAGTTGATTCACAAAAGAGGTAACAATGGTCACAGAATATTGATTGAAGTTTCGGACCATCATTAGAAAATATTGTGTGACTGTCAGCCGAAGCTCTAGTATAGTTTGTAAAAAACAAAAGTCAGTTGACAACTAGTCAATGTTGGCATTAATGAAATAGGTACATACATATTATAACCATTTTTTCAAAGGAATCCATCCAATATTTGAAGAGATATTTGTATTTATCTCAGGAGGAAAAGTTAATGTTTATTTCCAACAAATCAAGAAAATTACTCTTATCACTGCCCTCTGCAGTAGCATGCAGCTGTTGTGCCAGACATAGGAAACAAATGTAGGATACCCATGAAGACGTTGTGAAAGAGAAGGCAGAGAGGTTTGTGCTCACCTCTGGATCCCTACATACCTCCTTTTCTGCATGGTGGGCGATGACAGGAAAGATAAAAGGGGAAAACAGAGGGATGGGGTGGGTACGGCCGGGCAGCTGGGCTCTTTGTTGCTGTGTCTCTAGCACAGAGATAAAAGCTGCTTGTTTATAGGTCTGTCTGTCAGCCCAGCCTTTGACTGAGTGAGGGGCGACCACACAAACCCAGACACGAGGCACACGTCCAAATGGGGCTTTAAACAGATTGGGTTCTGCCAGGGCCTGCCGTGAACACGTCCGTAAATTTAAGACTTGAAGTATTTCCTGGACGACAGCACTGACTCTTGTTTTTATTGCTGTACAAAAGTAATTTCAGTTCAAACAAGTTAATGTGACAAGGAGAATAAATGTCAGATTTTCCATGTCGGTGACTGGAAAGAAATTCCTCCATGTTTAATTTGTCAGACAGAAACCTAGTGCAGAGTTAGTGCAATTATTTGGCAAGTATTGATAACGTCTTTTATTATAATATTGGTTAAGGAGCTGGTTATCAATATGGAGGAATATTGATAAATGTTACTATTATGTACAATTGAAATAAAAATTATCTGATGATGACCTGATCCTGAATAAATAGATTCTCCTATCAATCTATTTTCTTTTAATGGTAAATGGACTTGAGCTTATAGAAAGCTTTTCTAGTCTTCTGACTGCTCGAAGCGCTTTACACTGCAGGTCACACCTACCCATTCACACACTGAGGCTCTTTCTAAAGTGACCATCAGAGGAAACTAATCCCATTCACACACATTCATATGATGCTGCCGATGCAGCAGGAGCAACTTGGGGCTAAGTGACATGGACAAGGACACGTCGGACATGCTGCTGCAGGAGCTGGGGATTGAACCCCTGACCTTCTGTTTAGGAGACGACCGACTCTACCAACTGACCCACAGCCGCCCAAATATATGCAATATGCACAGATAGCAGCAAAATAGAAGTTAAACAGTATCTGACTTTGATGGTGACATATTGTAAATTTGTGATGGGTATTTTTCACAAATTTCAAAAGTAAACATTACAAAGCAGTCACAAATAGACAGTACATATATATACAGTATACACATACATTTTATTTCAGTAAATATATTTAACACAATGTCAGGTCAAAAAACAACAACAGGATAAATCACATTATATTATTATATGGATAACGTAGACCATCTTAACCTTCCCTGAAAAGGCCTTCAGGCAATACAGCCTCCACTACAAAGACCTTGAATATTCCTGTTTTTATGAACTTACCTGACAATTCAGAGGACGACTTGTTCTGTGTATAGAGCCGAGTCTGAGGTTCAGGATGATGAAGTTTTGGTCTGACAGGCCACTGACTTCTCCACTGCCCGCTCTCTGTGTATAATCAGAGACAGTCGGTCTCCAGAGAGCCGTCACTCTGAAACTAAAGGGCCGCTCTGGCATGGTACAGGCTGACTACAGCCACCGGAGACCACCCCCCCTATTGAGTGGTTGACAACTTGTAACATTATCCATTGTGTTACAGCCAGGCCATCCATCAAGCCTCACACCCTACAGAGGCTGTGGTGGCAGTGTACGGCCCACAGGCTGCACCCATGGAGGGCATTGAGAACACTCTGTAACTCTGAATGACATCCACAGCACAGTAATTAGATTCACTGGAAGTCGTAAGACCAAGGGGAACACAAGTTGTTTTTGTAGTACATCTCGATTTCCAACCATTCATTATTTTAATTTATGATTATTATTAGCTGTATGCAGTCTTGTATGTCACATTGTTCATTTCCACAGCAGAGAGCGTTTGGGGGCAGATAATCACTGTGTTAGAGGCGACTTGTGACAACAGCGTTAAGTGACAGACACAGGGTGTATAGTTTCAACACTTTCTTTACAACTATGTGTGAACCCATCCCTGACAGAGTCTACATCACAGAGATGTGTCTCTCCTATTATCCCCCACACCATCAGCAGACGCGGCCTCTGCAGAAACAAGCCTGTCATGTAAGGTGTTAAATCCTTTTATTTACTCTCTTCACCTACTTTGACCAAACAGTATTTCCAGTCAGCTGCTGGACTTTGCAAATTTGATTTAAACTACTCCCCTGGCCTGTAACGACATACAAACATGGAAAGTGAAAGCTGCAGTCTTGCCTCTATAAATGGACTGGGGATTGGGTGGTGTTTGCTTCCTGGGAGAGCAGAGGAGAGGATGTGATTATCTCTGTCCCAGAGGAACTCAGGTGTTTTTGTTCTGAAGGATCTCATTGTGCTGAGGACAAGCAGTTCTGGAATATCCTACTCATGCACCAAGTAATGTTACTGCACTTAAACTTCACACAAGAAGCACTTAGGCAACTTCTGTTGAAATCTACTCATCACAAGTGCAGGCTACTGTTGCCCGGTGTGGGCACGAGACTTCAGACCACCTAGAGATTGGAATTGTCAGGGCAGGGCGTTCTCGGTCGGGAAAGTGTACCTCTTTGATGACATTGAGTTATGTTAAATTATAACCACGATATTAACGGCAAGTTCAACCTGGACTCTGACAGCAGGGATGGTGAAAACACGGTGGGTCAGGCTGTGACAGCAGGGGCAGAGAGATGTGTTAGAGCCGGAGCTCATTAGCCCCACAGCTAGTGCTAGCCCCAGGTACCCAGGGGCTGCAACGACGGAACCCCTGTCTCATCCAGGCCGGACTTGTTTAAACTCTCCATGTTCCTGTAATATTGATGTCATTCTCTGTTGTTCAATGATACAACTTTCCCAAATAAACAAAACTTTCAGTGGTAAAGAGTGTGTTCTCCCTCACTCTTTAACATCAATAATAAACTGTCTCACAGAGCACCTCAACAGGCCTGGAGCACGTCTATTAAAAAGGCTGGATTTTTAACAACGAGTGTAAAATTGGAAAATTTCCCCTCCCATGATTAATAAAGTATGTGTTCTTCTTCTTCTAAAGGTAGCCAGGCAAGCTGTAATCTATCTTATTCAGGGCTCGCATAAGATAGTTACACAAACATGTTTGAATCTTTTCCATTTTGGCAAAAATAAAATAATAAGCATGTTGACAACCTGTACAAGAGTCAAAGTAGAACAATTTATGAAGAGAATTTTTTCTTTTCTTTTGGCCTTATAATGAACTGTCGGGGGAACAATGGATGACTTGCCGTTCACATCCAAAAACAACATATTTCACTGCCCACCAAACAGACTACAAAGAGACCACACACACTCACTGAGGCAGACGAGAAAAGAGCAAGAGACACAGACAGCTGACTGTACAATAAACTCAGATAAGCCTTTGTAGACTAAAGTGGTGGGTGTGTGACAGGGACGGGCCAAAACCTTTGTTGCATTGTTGATTATCTTCAGTTTTTTGTTTGGATTATTGGACGATGGACAAACAAAGTGGTCGGTCATTCAGTGTGATTTAACTCAATTTTATGTGATCTGCTTCACCCTGTGATTTCTTCCATCCCTGTATCAATTAGACCCCAAAAACACTTTCAACACTTTGTGCAAAGAGGGTTAAAGTGACGGAATGAGTACTTAAATAAATGTTTTAAAATATTTTTTTTTCCTGTGTGTTTTTGGATGAGCTTTTCATGACTTTGAGCCAAACTAGCTGCGTTATGCCAGGGATTTAAATGCTGGTCAGCCGTGGCTCCACTCTTTTTAACTAGACCGAAGTTTCTCAATATTTCTCTGAAAGATTTCCATAAAATTGTGTACAGACATTATTGGTGTGCAGAGGATGATTCCTTAAGAAGTGGCTGATCGCTTGACTTTTTTACCTGGAGGTTAGAATATGTGGTTAGAGTAAAATGTCTACACATTCATGTTGCATTTTTGATAAAATGATCCCTCCTGAAACAATGACTCTGTCATCAGCCTGAGCTGTACCCTGTTCTCTGTGACACTTAGAAAATATAAGCATGGGAAATGTGGTGGGTTTCAAAGATCACACAGGGAATCAAAAAGCAAATAGGCTAATAGGCAGTTTACTACAAGTTACAAAGCAGAGTCAATCTGCAGATTTCCCATCAAACAATAATCAGTGTCAGTCAGTAAATGGTAAATGAGCCTGAGCTTGTATAGTGCTTTTGTATCGCTTTTCTAGTCTTCCGACTAGCAAGTAACTTATCACCTATATAATTTTATTTATGATATTACTCTTCCAAGTGTCCACATTATTGCATATCATGTTTTGTACCAAAGCAAATTCATGTTTCATTATTCCGTTCCAAATCAACATATTTGTCAGGTTAACAAATAGTGTTCCAATGATATTATGGTTGTCGAATTAGAACTAATTTGATGGTAAAACATAAATGATTCATAACTGTTACTAATCATAATTGGAGTTTTTTTTTAGCCATGTTCACTCTCTCACTTAAACTCAGGCCATCCTGACCAGGTTTGCTTCCTGGCTAAGGGTTAGAGTGTGCCCAAATTGCAGATACCATATAACATGCTATAATATTAACAAAGTAGAAAAATAATCAAAACTGGAGGATTTTAAACACAATTTATGTATAACTGTGGGTTAAACAAGGAATGTATTTCCTACATCTCTTCAGCCAACCCAACATGTGATATCACAAACTCTCACCTGTGACAGTGTGACATTTGTTTTTGCTGACTCCATTGTCACTTTGCCAAACACACACCAATCATAACACATAAATGCTCAAAAATTTTGTATTTCGGTTCCTTTCTTCTTAAGCTTTACAGGCGCCAAATGCTGCTAGTGTGACTTCTAACAAACACCCTGAGCCAGATGCTAGAACTCTTTGTCCCTACGAGAGCTATAACTAACCTGCATGTTGACTTTCTGCCGGGCAGGTGACATTTATGTTAGAGTGTATTTATGAGATATATAAGGCCTGTTGGGATGCAAGGTCGCAGCAACACTAACAAAGAGGCGTTTTAGGACACTAGAGGATAAATTTAAAGCTCCCTTGCGCTATCAGCCAACCTCACCCAGACTGATGGAGACAGTGATTACCAACGAAGCTTCGGATAGTTGCCAAACTGAAATCTTTGGGGAGGGCTGTTGAGACTTATGAGGGTACTGGAGTCTCTCTCTCCCTCTCTCCTGCCTGTGCTATTTCAGAATTGAAGTGCTCATCATTCATCTATTATTCAATCTGTTTCACTCCACTGTTTCTCTTTCTGTTTGCACATACACCATTTAGCCTCAGCCCACTTGGTGGAGCTGTATTTATTTTTGGAGTCTGCTCATGACGGAGGAGCCCTTCTATCACTGTGTGGCCCTTTCATGTCCGTAACAGTTTCATCTACAGAAAACACCTGCTGAATTGCATGTCATTACATGTGTTTACTTGTTAAGGCAACTAATGAGTCATTTAACTATTCATCAGTCTATATTTAGCACTCTATTATGGATTTGTACATTTTTTTTGTCAAAATAGATACAAGGTCTTTTAACACTTAAAAAAAACATCAAAATTAACAATTCACACTGTTAAAAAAACAAAGCATCAGAGGTTTACTTTGAGAAGCAAAAATAATTCAATCTGTACCATATGTACTGTTTAAATATCCAAAAATGTATTGTATTTTGTCATTCAACTATTTGATTCCTCACTTTATCAGCTAATACCTGCATAATAATAATAATAATAATGATAATAATAATAATAATAATAATAATAATAAACAATACCTTCACACCATGCATTCCTTCTTTTCTCTTTCACAGTCTTAGCTCATGTGAAAACCATGTACCTGAATATAGTGAATTTTACTGAAGGATCCAATGTTCCCTTTTGGTAAACTTTTTCATCTAAATAAACATATTTAAAACAGTTAGAATTTGCAAAGCTGAAAACATTTTTTTGTTTTTGTTTTGACAATTTGACACTTTAGACAACATTGTTTTAACAGGATGGTGTTGGGATAATAATGAATGCATAGATCAGAAAAAAAACAGGGAGGGGGGAAGTGTAGTGTATAATGTTAGCAGATGCGCTAAAAGACTGCTAATGCACTTTTATAGGTTATAAAAGAGGATATAGGTACTTGTTGCATGAGTGCATACTGTAACGTCTGTGTACTCTCGCACACTTTTAGAAAGGACTGTGTGCTAGTCAGTATCGTGACAGAAAATGTCATTTTTTGGGGCTTTTAAGATGTTTTCAGGGTTGCTGTTTTTTAACTTCACAGATGATGTGATTTAATAAATACAATTTCATTACCCAGGATAGCTTGTCTGAGGGAGTTGTTTTAATCCAACAAGAAAATGGCCTCAGTCCCATGTTCTTTTTTTTTTTTTTTTGGGCTTTATCTTGAATTAATTGGCATCAGCAGTGTGTTCATGCTGGGGTCATGGCGGTCACAACTCAGTGCTAATGAAAGAGAAAAGGGAAACAAAGAAAGCTCCGCAGACCAAAGTATCAGATCAATCAATCTCCTGTGGATTGCCCAGCCACACTCCCTCTCTTCTGATGAAGGATTTAAACATACAATATCATTGTAAAAACACATATTTAAAGGTAAAAAGTATATACTCTGAACAATATGTTATTATAGATACCCAGAAACATGCTTAATCCTCTCGTTTTTGTAAGTTAAGCCTTAGATTTGTTCATTTGTTCATGAATCTGAACACAAGCAGCCTGGTGACCGTTGCCTGGCTGTCACTATGTTCCTGTAGTAGATTCCTACTCACACAGCTCTGTAAGGGCATATCTAATGACCTCTCATTATCATTTCTCTCAAAGGAAATAATTTCCAAACTGTCTTCACTTTACTGATTAGGCCTCGAAGGATTCCCCTGATGTCGTTCCTCATCCTACCTCTTTCTTTTAATGCAGCTCTCTCCCTCGAGCTCTCATTTGTTTAAGTGCTATTCCATGACCTCGCCATCCCCGAAGATTTCCTTTTAGTCCCCTCCTCTGTGCCTCAAAACATGCCTTTTTTATGTAACACTGGTGTCCTTTGACGTTTTATTTGTCTCTTTTTTTCTCCTCTCTCCACAGAATGATACCTGGTCAGAGCTGTACTCCTTCGCTGTATTCAAAGCCATGAGTCACATGCTGTGCATCGGTTACGGTCGACAGGCCCCGGAGAGTCTATCAGATATCTGGCTCACCATGCTCAGTATGATTGTAGGAGCTACATGCTATGCGGTTTTCATTGGTCATGCAACAGCTCTTATACAATCCCTGGACTCCTCCAGACGCCAGTATCAGGAGAAGGTAAAGAGCGTCATTAAGTCTACTTTGTGCCATCTTCTCAACACTTTTCTGTTTGCTGTTAACACATTGATATCAATTTTAAACATGTATTTTCCAAGTAGAAGTTCGACATTTTTGAAAATACTCAGTGTTTTCTTGCCCACATTTAGAGAAAATGAGTCTCTCTCTTATGCTTTTTAGTTAATATAAAACTACTACCTGTAGAAGGATTACTTAATTTAACTGAACCCTATAATGCCTGACCTGATAAATAATGGACAGAAAATTCTAATATTTTGAATTTGAATCCTTAATTTGGCCCTCTAACAAAATGTAAAAAAAATGATTGTATACAACAGGGTTTTGAGCAAAGTTTTTACCATGTGGTGATGCAATAGGTCTCAGAAATGTTTGTATCAAATATAATACCCACGGCATTATAGGGTTTAAAAACACAGGAGAAGCATGAGATTCATTTTGTCTTATGCTCTCAAAAACCTCCTAAAATCAACAGCTTACAAACTCTCTATTGAACACGTATTCTCTCATTTGTTTGAACTGTTCCAAAACTGAAATGTATAAAGGATTCATTTAAAATGAAGGGGAAGTTATGTTCTGGACTCTGTTCTCTGGACTCGCCAGTAACTTCTTCATTGCTTCATGTTAAGATTATAGAAAGTGGCTTCATTAAACTCTAACATGAAAGGCATCTTTTGGATCTTTAGTATCGCCTACAATTTGTCATATAGTTTTATTGGTTTTAGGATTAGTTGGTGTCACCACTGAAACTGATCTTAGTAAGTGGATATTCCACTTTAAACATTACATCGTTCAATCTTCCATTCGTATATATTATTAGCTGGTAGTTTAACCTGTTTGTTGTTAAACAGAAAGTGTTGTGAGTAACTGCACCCATAAACATGAGCCAGATAGTTTTTGAGCTGTTTCGGTGAGTAGTATGATCATTGATTGTATTTCATATTATAAAAGCTTGATGAAGGAGAGATATTGATTTGCCTGAGACAGGAAATGTTGGAGAGAGAGTGGGGGATGACATGCACCAAACAGCATCAGAATTGGAAGCAGAACCTGCGAGCAGTGGGACAAGTGCTTGTCCTCTGCACATGGTCTCTACCGCCCTGGAGAGATATTGTTTAAAGTTTACTTGCAGCAGCCTTAAAAATGTGGGTGAATGAATCGCTCTTAAAAATGTCATAGTATGACGTTACAACCCCATATGACCTTATGGGTGTCAGAACGTGTGGCTGCAAGTTTTCTCCCTACTGAACCAGGGTTGAGTCAGTTTTGTTGAAGAGGTTCATCAGTGGTTGAGATTGTTTTTTTTTTTTAAACAATAGCATAGCTCTTGATCACATCCTTCTCTCTTGTTGTTAATCATTGGCTGCAGTGGATTTTGCATCACTGAATATTTGCTGCTGATAAATGGAAATTTGAGTCTCCCGCGTCATCTTTTCATGTATTGAGAGCGCAGGGTTTTGATACAATGAATGTGAATTTTAGAAACTGTGGTTTTTTTTGTGTGTAACTTTGTGTATTCTCCTGCAGTGCCGCATCAGATCACACCCAAACACTCTCCTCCGCATTTTAACCTTAATCACACATTATCCTGTTTAACCCCTCATGCTTTTTTTTTGTCATTAAAGGCGGATAGCTCGTTTTGTTCTGCCTGTCTGACATCTTTTAAAACATGATGTGGATCAGAGCGGTGCTGAGACGTGCTGCAGCAGTGGCCTGAGGTGGTAACAGCACAGCCTGTCTGTTTCCAAGCAGAGTCTCATTCGATGGGGAGCAGGGGGAGTGTTGCTGGCTTTCAGCATCCAATCAGAGAGTGCGGGTGTGTTTGGCCAGGTAGAGCCACGTTGCCAAGGGCTGGGCGTATGCTTGTGTGTGTGTGTGTGTGTGATGGGGTTGAGAGAGAGAGACAGAGAGAGAGAGAGAGAGAGAGAGAGACTGTGTGTGTGTGTGTGTGTGTGTGTGTGTGTGTGTGTGTGTGTGTGTGTGTGTGTGTGATATGATGTCCCCTTGGGCAGCAGTAGAATTGATGAGGCAGCAGACCTGTGTGTCCTGCCAATGTCATCCTGAAGGTGACGTAAGCAACCATGGCTGCCTTTCTCTCTCTCCTTCTCTCTATCTGATCACTCGCTCACCGGTTCTCACTCTAGCTGCACTCTGTATCATCTCTTATGCATCTTTTACTGCCCTCTTCACATTTTCTCATCCCCTCTTGTCTTCCCCTCCACCTCCTTAATATTTCAACCTGACCCGCAGATGCAAATAAGCTTTGAGCTTTCTCTGGTACAATGCATCAAATGGCAACGTTTATATTCAATATTGTACATGGTCCCTTCATAAATGCAGCTAATTAAGTTAGCTTAATTTTCCTCTCTCTCCTCACCCTTCAGCATACATTTCTCATCTATTTTCCATCTCTCTCTCTCCTCTCTGGTGCTGGTGTCCTTGAAAGGTACACTGCTACTGCTAACTATCTGCTATAGGGAGCACAGAGAGGGGGAGGGGAAACCTGTGGGTGACGGAAACGGCCTTGTTGTCGACAAGTCTTGCTGGTGCACTGCAAGATGTGGATTGCAGTCGTTTAGAGTGTTCATGTTGTCTTTTTGTCCATCTAGTATTGTGTGAAACTTCCTGTAGGGGTATATCAGCCATAAGTCTGGACCCTTGGGTATAAATTATATCCAATAAAGGGTTTAGAAGACAGCGATTCAGCAAGTGAAGTGATTACTGGTGCTCCTGTCTTTTCTGGATGAAGTTAAAAGGCTCGGGAAGAAATCCATCTGGTTCCATCCTACATGTGTCCTAGGGGTCAAGAGAACAAGCAACCTGTCCCCTTTCCTGTCTGACAGTGAACAAAAAGTCACCTAAGTGTTAAATTTGCACCATAAGTAGTCTAAACACCGACAAAAACGTAAGTCTTATGTATTTAGGAGCAGAGATGAGTCACACAAACGTGTATAATCCTCAAACAGCCTGTTTTGTTCAGTCTGAGGATAAACTGAGAAGTAGGAAACATGCAGGTTTTTAATGTCAGAATTTCATTCCACAAATTGTCTGGTCTGTGTGTATTCACTCATATTTAAATATTTGTTCTAACCCAGCCTCACCGCAGAATATATAAATATTTTTTTCTGCTGAAGGGAAGAAATTGCATTTCCCCAAAACCCTTCTTCTGACCAGTTGTCATATTTTCTTCTCTTTTCTTCCGGCTGCTCTGTGAGGATTAGTAATTCAGCTAAAGACGTGTTTATAAAAAATAAAAATAAATGCATAGAGCAGAGAAGTGGCAGCTATGCCAGTGGGGCTGATGCTGCCGGCTGAATTCGCCACGCCTCCAGATAGGACTGAGAGTGACGTTTTTCTCATTGGGAGACTGTTAGCACAACACGTCTGCTGGCAGTCTGGTGCAGCCCTACTGAGGCTGCAGCAAGCATTGTGCGGAGTTTCCATTTCGGATCAGCAGTAATGTCAAACTCACAATCCACGCTGGTTAAATTTAGGCAGATTTCCACTTGGTGGCTTTTGTGCAGGGACCTCTGAGTTATTTATACATGGTGCACAGTGACACACAGCAGAGGGGCAGACAGACCTACATACATGCATGGAGGCAGTCCCAATTGTGCCACCTTTAATGTTCCGCCTTTATAGCTGTCTGTGCTGTGTTGAGCTAAGGAAATTTGCACATCAAAATTCATGTTTGTTGATATATGCAGATATGCATGGTTGACCATAAGTGACATGATTTTTTGGTCCCTCAGTATTCTGACATTACCATGTTTTATGTAAAAATTTGCAGCATTTAAATGTCTTTTTCTGCATTTATGCATCTCTAGCAGAATAATGAAGAACCAAAAATCCATCCTCAGTGTTCACATTACAGCCCATTGCTCCTTCTGTGGTATTCTATATTCGGGACGTTTTCTTCATAATCTCTCTTTTAATCATCTAAGTTTTGTTCATTGTTATTCAAAAGTCAGGATTGGTGTTTTTGCAGACTAGTAAAAAAGAAAAATCTGTCAACACTTATTTTCACTGAGTTAAAAACATCTTTACTGTCCATTGAGTCTGATGTGACTATTTTATGGTCTAATTAGACAATTTGAATGGTGCATATGGACTGTGTGGGCTTGAGTGACATCTATCGCAGACTTGAATTCATACAAAATTAAAACTCATAATTCCTTTGGGATCTTAGTGTCACTGCATCGTCCCTTGATACAGTGCGGTGAGGGGCAAACCACTTCAGCTATTGGTTATGTCGAATCTGATTGACCTTTGACACCAAAGATTTATTTAGGACACTCAAATGTCAAGCTGTGGTGAAAGCAGGGAGAAGAAATATTGTTGGTGTATAGTATTGTATGAAATCTGCATTGTAAAATGTTTCAAGCAGCAGAGAAGACGTTATGCTGTCTGGATGAAGTGAGTGCAAGAACAGTTTAAGCAGTAATTGACTGCAAAACATTTTTGGACTACACTACAATTTCCTATACTAACTGCTACTTTGTTACAAAAACAATGTCTGTGTGACTGCAGCGGATTAGTGTATTATCACATCATTCAACTGATGACTTGTCTTATTTCATCAACATGATGACTATGTTTAGTTCAGAGATTGCCTTTCTCAAACTCAGCATTCAGCAGCTGTTAATCATATGTGACATCACTTCCTGACACTTTGATTTGTCAGAGCAGTAGAGGCACAGCTGTTAATAATAATATTAACAAGGGCAGAATGCCCAGCACCAGGGAAGTGAAATTGGAGCAGCCTAACAGATGTGAGCCATCATTATTTTAATGTTTAATTTAATGTTTACCTGTGTCATGTCAATAAGCCTTTCATAAAAAAAAACCCTAATACACAAATTAGATTTCGTGTGCACTTTGTGTGAAAGTATTTAAAATACTGGCCTGCTGAACTCTTTTTTTTAAGAATCTAAATTTTTGCAGAACTTCTTATTTGGTCCTTGAGACCTGTGGATTAAGAG